AGAGTTGCAAATCAGTGAATGCATAATGCCACTCTTCTATTGTTTTATTTGAAATTGGTGTACTCAGAACACACTGGGGATCTCGTCTGGGTGATTCATTAACCCAATGAGCCAAAATCGAAGTTGCCTGGAAATAAATTGCTGCAGATTCCTTTCCTAAAATAGATTCCTAAAATAAGGAGGAATGCTTCAGCACTGCCTCCGGCATGAGTAAATCATTCATTTGAGCTCATATTCACAGGTGAATGGAAGTAGAATCATTACCTAGGTGTCTTAGACACAGACAATTTGCCCACAGTTTCCATTTCACCCTTGGCTTTGATGCTCAAACTTGTGACAGAGGTGTTTGATGCATGGTGTTTAATCGGGGTGGGGGGGGGGGGGGCAAGAAGCTGAAAGTCACCCTTCCTGTTGAAGACAATATGCTTTATTCCACCATCACTCATTAGTCTCTTACCCAGGTCAGGTCCAATCAAAGTCTTCCATCTTATTTGAAGACTTCCACATCACTAAACAACGATCCATGTGTGTTGTACGAGCAATGATACAAACTTCAAGTGTGATCATTGCCAGAAAACATCAAACTAAGCCATTCGAGTAGCCAGGTACCCAACTACCTGAGCCTCAACAATGGAGCAATGCCAACAGAGCAGGAATTCACTCGTATTTCTCGCTGGGTTTACAATGGAGTGTGTTCTCGGTTAGATTAATGAATCACCATCAATCAAAATCCCACCTCATTCTTGTAACTTATACTCTGTCTTGGTGTGTTGTCTTTAGGGTGTGTCTGATTGCTCTCTGACTTCGCAATACAATTAATAAAGGTCTCAGTACAGATAGTCCAGACTCGTCTCATAAAACATGTTAAACGAGTCCTGCAGCTCAGTGGTTAAGAGCACTCACTTTGCAAGCGAGAGACCTGGGTTCAATTCCTGGCAGGGCAAAACCTTGGGCAAGTTTCCGTACTCCACACGCCTGATAATAATCCCTCAAAAAAAATAATAAATTGGTGATTTTCAATCCACAACTGTTTGTGGGATACTGCTGTGCGCAATTGGCTGCCGCATTTTGCCCACAAATATACAGTCAATTCACTTTACAGTCTAAACTGTGAAGCACTTTGAGACGTCTAGAAGAAGTGAAAGTGCTATATCAAATGCAAGGATTATTATTATATTCTGATATGGGGCTTGAACCCACAACTTTCAGACCCTCAAACAAAGAATGCTGCCAATTGAACCAAGCTAGTTTACACTGTACATACATTTGTTCCTACTGGGAGGAGGGAGAAATGAGAAATTGTAGGGTGAAACATCCTTGTATTTGTTGGGTTCTTACAAATGTTTGGGTGGGGATATTTGTATCATTGCATTATTTTATTGCCAGTCATCATCTTAGTCCATCAATGTGTCTACAGAATTTGTAAACGCACAGATTTTGTGCAATGCTCTTTTTAAAAAAATATTGACATTATTGTTCATTTTGTTTTGTAGTAACATTCATGTAACCTCTGAAATACTAAATGTAGTTGGGTTTGGTTAAAATCTGTCATGTGTCTTAACTTATTGTGGTTTCAGACATGAAGATGCAAATTATAGTTCAGCATGAACACACAGTGTTTTAGTAAAAACAGGAAAAACTCTGGCTCACACTTTTCAGCATTATATTCCATAACATTCCTCAAGGTGATGGATAGGAAAATTGGAGAAAATTAACTTTTACCACATTTTGTGAATTTGTCAACATCCCCATTGAGTACTCCTCAGGGGTTTGGGTAACATGAATTGGATGCAGCGCAGCACTTTCTCTCCCTTGCTTTTATTGAACAGGCACTAAGCCAGAAAGCGCCCATGCTTACTGACACCAGATTATGATCATGTTTTTCTTGTTGAGGATTTGACATCACTATTTAAACCACACAAATGACCAACCAGACTATGGTAGATTCAGATACTACACTAAGACAATTTGCATGGAGTTCACAAATACAGGAAGAGACAAAGACTTCAACTTGGTTCTGGTTTTAAACAAAATTGATTGATTCAAATTTTCAGCATTTTAATTAAAAATAAACCATCATCCATCAACTTTTCAATTCAAACACGGTGCACAAATATTTAACTTAGTCTGTTTGCATTGAATAAACTGTAACTTCCATATTCCTTTTTTTCCTTCCGTATCCCTCCTGAATACATTGTAAGCCAGTAATATTCAGCTCCCATTCCTGCCGTTGTTTGAGCCAGGTCTCCGTTATTGCCACTACATCATAACCCCATGTGGCAACTTAAGATGCTCTGAGACCCCATCGGGTGTGCTGGGCGAAAAAATCTCCCAAAGAAGAGTAACCTATTTCCACTCATTTTAAAAATTGTTTGAACTAGCACTAATGCCCAGATAATTTAGCAACACAAAGTATTTGCAGCCATTTGATTTAAGACATTTACAGTACAACATGTGTATATATACAGTAACATCTGTGCTGGGTGTGATTAAAAGATCATCCTGTGCTGCGAGTCAAATGGGGGAAGAGTTTAGGGTGTGTCCCAACAAGGCGAAGATAAGTTCATCAACTCCAGGTCCTATATCAACTACAGAATACCACACCAGGTACAGCCCTTTGGGGTGAAAAGTTGTGCAATCTCCAAGCCAATTGAAGCAGACAAAAATGTAGCCATTCAGCTTAACCGGCTCCTATACATCCCTCTCCATCAAGCACATGGTCACCTACAAATCAATTATTATACCATAGTCAGGCAACGTTCTGATGGAGTTGAGAAAGTGTTGCATATTATAATAACTATATAATCTGTTGTGTGATGTAGCGCTTTCACATCGTGAGGGTGGACATTACAACATTTGAATGCATTAGTTCATTTTTTTCTTTTAACTTCTTGAATTAATATGTTTTAAAGAATTGATTGAATTAATTAATCATTTCACTGTCTTTCTCTACCTCCTCCCGATCAGATGTCAGACAAACAAGTTGAGTAAATGCTAAAGTCCAACTTTCACTTCTGTTATCTGGAAAAACCTTCAGCAAAATCATTTTTATACCCAGCACGAGCTGAGTATCAAGTTGAAACACTTAGTGGTTCTATATGCAGAACATTTTTGTAGTGAGCATTTTCACAGGTTGACCTCTGTCTAATATCTTCATATCTGTATACCCAATCCAGAAAATGTCAGTATGTATCAGAAAGTGGTGCTAATGTCATGGCACCAGAAAATCATGTTCATGATTGGCTCAAGTTGAAGTTTAAATCCTATCCTCATGTCTTGTGATCAATTTCTGTGGCCATGGTTGCCATTTATGGTACAGTGGATGCAGTCCAGATTCCTGTTCTGTTTCTGCTTTTTCACTTTTTCAATGTTCAGTGAATCTATGTTGCAATCAAACGTGTGGATGTAAAAGCTGATCAATCCTGTGCCGTAGTAATCGGATTCAAATTTTTCCTGAGAATAACCAGAATAAGAAACTTCGGTGAATTTCCTGAATGATCTCAATCAGATCTGTCTTGAAAGATTGGGATATTCTCCCACTGTGAAAGGTGCTATATAAATGCAAGTTGTTGTTGTTGTGGTTTTTATTGTTGTTGTTTTCTAAAGTTCATTCTTGGAAATACACCATATTCTACCTAATATCGAAATAAACCTTATTCAAAGAAATATCTTTAAATTAGTCATTTTGTTTTCCTTTTTTCCTCGTTCTGGTAAACTTCTTGAAGTTTGTTTCTTTGATGCAATCTGTTTTCCATCTTGTTTATGAATCTTTTTTTGCAAAGCTTGAATGGATTTATATCTTACAGTATGTGGCCACTTGTGATACTGTTTTTCTAATTGAGCTATTTCCATCCCACTCATTTTTCATGGAGACCTTTTCTTCTTTAGCTCCTTAGGTGGTTGTTCCAATTACTCATTCAATGTTTTACTCTGCAGTGTTCATTTGGGTCAGTTCTTCGCTTCCTCACTCTTGAACCCTATATCAGGACTTGAGCTTGTAAACTAGGCTGACTTTCCAGTGCTAAACTTGTTTGACTCCTAACTGTTTTTTTTTATCTCAGACTCTCAGCTAGTGCACACATTCATTACTTTTGCTCTTCTCATTTAGTTGCAATGCTCAGTACCACACAATTTCCAAAATACAAAACATTTTTTTTCTCTGGTAGTTTTGAATACTTGCTGAACATTTGCAAATAGTGACAGTGAATGAATGGTTATACATAGTAGGCTTCGAAACCTTTAAATGTAGTATTGATTGATAATAATGATGTCCAAAACTAGCAGAAAATGTATGTTTTCTTATTGTGCCCACTTTAATGCAAAGTATTTCTTAAAAAAGGTTGTAAACATTTAATACACTGCAGCTTTGTTTAAAAACAATACATTTTAATATAAAACAATTTGAAGATGTTTAATATATAGAGAATAAAGGTTGAATGGTTTACTTTTAAAATTACATCTCACGCAGCGAGTTGTTCGAATCTGGAACGCATTGCCTGAAAGGGTGGTCGAGGCCGATTCGATAACTACTTTTAAAAACGCCGTGGACGGGTATTTGAGGAGGACGGGTTTGCAGGGTTATGGGGAAAGGGCTGGGGAGTGGGATTGACGTTAATTGCTCTATTCAAAGAACCGAAAAAACTCGATGGGCCGAATGGCCTATTTTTGTGCTGTACGATTCTATGATTCTATGATCTCTCCACATCCATGTACAGCACAGTCTGTATCACACATATACTCTGCTGTGTGGTGCCGTGAAAACATTACAGCAGCATTTCATAAAATTATCTGCAAGTAAAGACTGAGCCTAGTAAGTAAATTATTGTGCTGTGTACGGTATATATATATATATAGCTATATATCAGGCCTCAAATTAATTTTTACATCAACACGATGAGGCAAGTTTGGTAACCTTGGTTATCAGATTGTGAATATTCTTAATTCGTTTTTTAAAATGTTTTTTGTTAGCATTTGTTAACAATTCTTTCTCTTTTTTGCAGGCTTACGCTTCAGGATGTGATATTGTGATTTTAGGTAGTGATTTTGAAAGACTTCAGATTATACCGGGCGCAAAACATGGAAATATACAAGTCGGATGTGTTGATTGCTCCCTGCAGCAAGGAAAGGTATGTAGTCTGTCTAAAAAAAATTGCTTCTAAGCACTCTGAGTTAATTTGTAACATATGTAATGTTGTGGAATCCCGAAGAGTAGTGGTTAACACGCTCACCTCGCAGGCAAGAGGACCCGGGTTCAATTCCTACGTGGGGTAAAATCTTACGCAAGTTTCCTTACTCCACACGGCTCTGTTTACCTAGCAGTAAGTTGGTATCCACAACATTTTGTGGAACACTGCTGTGCTTAATTGACTGCCGTATTTCCCCCACCAAATACTGTCAATCCATATTATGGTATATTCTGTGGAGCACTTTGAAACGTCTCAAGGATGCGATAAGGTGCCATATCAATTGCAATTATTATTAGAATGCCTGTTTCTCATGGCTGATGCTTTTTGAAAATTATCCTTCTGTTTGCTTCTTAAATTTGAAGCTGTATCTTGATTATCCTATTAACTGATTTTTTTTCAATCCACTCTAGCCTCATCAACTTGAGTGAGTTTGTTGAGCTCTGTAGTCAGGCATTCAATTTTTCTCTTCTCCTCCACAACTGATCTTGCAGTTTTTCCAACCTTATTATAAAACAGCAGGACTCGGTCTAGCTTTGATCGTAAACTTTCCACAACAAAATTGTAGACTAAAATGTATTAGTATCTAGCCAAATGCTGCCTCCTTTTCTGAAGTTCCGCCTTTAACTGGAGTCAAGTAGAATGGAGCAATTCGTAGTTATTGTGACCTTCAGTTACCCCTCAATATTTTCTTTGAAGTGCAACTGAGCTTTATTTGGTTACCAGACACTTCTTCAGTTCAAATAAACAGATGTTCAATGCTAGAATTATAATGTTTTGCAACTTAAAATTTTCCTGTGCTCTGTTACCACTTCCAGGATCACTATATTTTTTACTTCAATGTGCATTTATTTTGTAGCAGTGCAGAATTGTGACCTGAATGTGATGGTAATGTCCCCGAATGGCACCAACAGAAAATGTTCCTCTGATGGCACATTGTACCATTATTTCTAGCCGTCAACAGATTAAGGACTCGTATCAGTCATACAGTTCAGGCATTCAAATTACCTGCTGAGCTGACAGCCTTTTGCTTGCAAATGGGCATGGTTTACTGACCAGAAAGAGTCAACAACAACATGCATTTTATTGCGCCCTTCATATGGGGTGATGTCCCGGAGTCGTGTATGTCGCTTTCAAATCACTGTGCATATGCAATCTTGTACATCTGCAAATTCTACAACTTGAAGAGGTTAGAATACCAGAAGATAACTGACTTGAACTGAATGCTCCTTCAATAAATTAAATTCTTTGGATGGTATTTGTGAGGCAAATCGAATCCATGATAGATGACCTGCAGCCCAAAATACCTTGTTTTTGAAGAGTATTTCTGTTTGGAGACCTTATCCGTACTGTGCAGCCTTTACTATTTAAAAAANCTGTTGCAGAACAATAATATGTTAAACCTTGTGTAGGAGCTGCATCTGTGTACACATGATTAGTTTTTAATGAGCACTTTTGAAAACTGCTTTGTAAAATAAATCAAATATGATCTGCAAAATTATGCCTTATGTATATTGTAAACTGTGTTGAAACTACTAAAAAAGCTTATTGAAGGGAAACTTTGTAAAAGATGAAAACTAAACTTACAATTGGGCAATAAGTGATTAGAATTTGTAAATGCTGTACAGTGAAGCCCTGAAACAAATCAAATGTATGAAATTGATGGTTGTGCCAATACTGAATATTTTGGAGATTTTTCCACATTAAAATTGTAGATAATATGTATCTTGCTATTCTGAAAGCATTTTAGTAAATACAGTTTTTAATCCGCCGCATAATTAAATACAAATAATTGTTTTTTTAAATCAATTTTCTAGCACCTTCCAAATGTGAAAAAAATGCTTTGTTTGACTAAGTTCGACTAGGCTTGTTTCACCAGCTAAAATACAGTTAATTCACTTTACAATATATTCTGTGAAGCGTTTGAGACATCTCCACGATGTGATAACAACAACAACAAGATTACATTTGTATAGCTGCAGATAGATGTTGGGATATTGCAGATACTGGAAATCTGAAAGAAAAACAGAAGTTGCTGGGAACACTCAGCAGGTCAGGCAGCATCTATGGAGAAAGGGAAGCATCTATGGAGAAACTTTCCTTAGATGCTGCCTGACCTGCTGAGTGTTCCCAACGACTTCTGTTTTTGTTGCAAGGATTATTATTATTATGGTAGAGATGACTCAATCCCCACTGTTGACGGACTGAGGTACCTGAGTCTTATAGGGTATCCTCAGTTGAGTTGGGCAGCGCAGAGTTCAACCTATCAATTGCAATTTTGAATTCAGAATTTTAAGCAGTTTTTGAATTTGACCACAATATTCACCAGTTATTCATATTGGTACAACCTCAGAGAGCAATAGGTTGCCCAGCACAGCCCTCTGGTATCAGTTACAGTACTTTTGTCGGATATAGCAATCTGTTACTATTTTAGCTGTGAATTGATTTTCTGCTGCCTATGATATCCAGCACAGTTGTGTAATTAAGTTCGATAGTCCTTTCAGTCCTGAACATTTTGTGTCGCTTTAGAAATTGTATGTTCTTTTGACCTGCTCCACATTTGGGAGCTGTTCTCAAACAAGAACTGCTGTTAGTTGATGTACAATACAAAATTACATTTGTATGGTGCCTTTCACGTCGGGAGCATGACCCAAGGAGCTGCAGAGTCAGGGATTTGGACCTGAGCGGGGGAGGGGGCATGTGGTTGGGATCAGGTGGGTGGAGGGCATGGAGGATAGGAGGATGGCCAAAGGCGCTGTCGAAGAGGAGGGTCTTGAGACGTGCCTTGAAGGAAGCGAGGGAGTGAGGTGAAGGGAATGTTGCATGGAGTTCCAAAGGGTGGCGCAAAGAGGCTGAAGGCCCGACCGCTGATGGTGGAATGGATTAACTGGGGGACATAGAACAGGCTGCCGAGCAGAGGGAGCGGACAGGTTGATTATGGGGTCAGCAGGTCACAGAGATAGGGTGGGGCAAGGTCGTGGAGGGCCTTGAAAGCGAGAGCGAGGATTATGAACTCTATCCTCTGGGGGATGGGAGCCAGTGGAGTCGGGCAAGGATGGGAGTGATGGGGTCACAGAACCCGGTGCAGGAGAGAACGCAAGCTGCAGAATTCTTGGTGATCTGCAGCTTTTGGAGGGAAGATTTGGGAAGGCCGACAAGCAGGGCGTTGGCGTAGTTGACTCTAGATGTGAAGAAATGAGGGTTTCAGTGGCCTGAGGGCGAGGCAGTGGTGGAGGCGGGTGACTTTGCGGAGGTGGAGAAAGGTAAGGCGGGTCAAGGCACAGATGTGGGGAAAAAGGGCAGTTGAGACATCTGGGTTAAGGATTGGCTCAATGAGGTGGAGCGTGCAACCATGGATAGTGATTCTTCCAGTACTTGAGGTGTGGAGGCGCTGACAAGAGCCAATCAAGAGGACCTCGGTCTTGTTGACGTTCAACTCGAAAAAGTTGGCTCTCATCCAGGACTTGATGTCTGACAGATATTCTGTCAGGATAGCAGTTGTCCTAGAGTCGAGAATGGAGGCAGAGAGATAGAGTTGGGTGTCATCCGCTTACATGTGGAAGTTGATCCCATGTCTGCGGATTATGTCACTAAGAGGGAGCATGTAGATGTTGAAGGATATCTCTTGGATGTAGATGTATCTCTTTAAGAGCACAATCTTCCCATCCATTGGAAATCAAATTGGATGCCCTCCTCCATTTCCTTCCTATAACCAGTCATTTTGAGTTTCCTGAGTTTTCTGCTTGTGTAACATGCTTCCTTTTTGGAATCCTTTCACTTCTCACTTATGGGGTTGGTTCTCACAAGTAAAATGTCTATATGCATTAACAATTATTCTGTCATAATAGAGTTTGTTGTGGATTCATTATCCTCTGAATTATATATATTTACCTTATATCCACATATATTTATAAAATCCTAACTTGTTACATCAGTCTCTGTTGTAAAATTCTGATATTCGGTTTGTATTTGTTGCGAAAGTGAGGAGAAAATTACCTTGGTTGTCATCTTAACAAATATACAGTCAATTCACTTTACAGTATATTCTGTGAAGCGCTTTGAGACGTCCAGAAGACTGAAAAGCGCTATATCAAATGCAAGGATTATTATTATTAACATTTTTAAATTGTCTCTGATCTAAGTCCAGCACAATCTGATATCAAATACAGAGCTGTTTATTTTGGATTAATGCTTTGCAACTGACTGTTTCATGAAGATTAGACACGGGATTCATGGAATGAGAGTACTTCTTGCAAGCTATTAAACAACAAAGTAACTAGCTGCGATTGTCATAGAGAAAGTCAAGAATGTGCATAGTTAATAATGATATAATAATTTAAAGGGAATAGGGAAACCAGGAATTGTGATTAGAGAAGTGAGCTCCAGTGGATGAGCTAGCACCAGTGACGGTCAATCAGCCTCCTTCAGTGGTGTAATTTCTTTAATTGACTGATGTAAAATGTTCCCATTTACCATGTATGTTATTAAAAAATATATATTTTCATTGAATTATTGTGCCCATTGAAGTGATAGATGCAGATTACATAGAATGAAATATCTTTCATTTTTTTGACACTGGTATTGGTCAAATGGGACATACCCAGGTCAAGAACAGTATTTCCGTAATTTTAAGGTTCCTATTCAGGATTCTGGCAAGGAGACTAAACTCCAGGCTAAAAGCAAATTCATAAAAGTTCCACAATAATAATTAACTGGGCGGAATTAGTTTAATACATACTATTCTTTGCAGTTTTTTCTAACATTGATTATGGATAATATTTTTTGTAAATGTGTTTTAGGAATTTTTTTTAAAATCCATTCATTAGCTTTTCATAAACAGATATAAAACTCAATTTTAATTTTCAAGGCAGGAACATGAGAAATGATAATAATAATAATAATCCTTGCATTTAATATTGCGCTTTTCACGTCGGGAGGACGTCCCAAAGCGCTTCACAGAACACACTGTAAAGTGAATTAACTGTACATTTGTGGATGAACGCGGCAGCCAATTGCACACAGCAATGTCCCACAAACAGTCATGGATTGAAAATGACCAATTTATTATTGTTTTTGTTTTTTGGAGGGATTATTATTAGGCGTGTAGAGTAAGGAAACTTGCCCAAGGTTGGACCTGTCTATGGACCTGATTGAACATTGTATTTCAATGCTTAAGACTGGGTGCAAACTGGAGTTTGATTGAAAAATGATGTCCCTGATCAGGATGTCAACCTGAGTGATCGTGACCTTTCATCACTTTGAGTTTGAATCCATCCCAGATTGGAAATACTCAGCTAGTTGCAAGGGCCCTGCAAAATTAATTAGCCTATTCTCAACCTACTTTCTCATGTTTCAGAGTTCACGCCATCCAGCTATCCGTAATTCACTCTGAATTTTACTCTGAGGCCACAAATATGATTTGTGTTAATGAAAATTTCTCACAGGTGCCACCTGAGGTTATTCTTCTAAGGTTAGTGCAGAACAGAGAGAGTTTTACACTGCATTGCTGTGTTTGATTTAGTGCTAGTTGCTCAAATTGAACGTTTTAATATCTTTCACTTTAATATGCTTGATTTCCCAGGACTATGTGCTACATTTTTTATGAGTGTAGAACATTATTTTTCTACCCCCTCCTTCTGCCAAGCAAAATAATGAGCTTTTTTTTAAAAAAAGGAAGTTTTGCGACTTCCTATAGAATAAAGTTACAATATAGCCTTATTATTATTGCAGAATTTTTCCAATTTTACTACTTTCTGAGTAAGTAGGCAATGAAGTGATTTGTAGCCGAGTGTGATGATCTTGAAAATCGAACCATTCTGCAATAGCAAGTCAATAGAGCCTGGTAAAGATTGGGGTGATGGGGATGCAGAGTTTGGTACAGGTGGCAGGGTTATGAATCAGGAATGCGTTGGATTCAAGACAGGAGATGACAAAATATGGATGAGGGTTTCAGCAATGTTGGGTGTGAAGTATAGTCGGAGGCGGGAGATGCCATAATTTATAAACAAAGTTGTAGCTTGTTGAACCCTTGGAACTCCAGTACTATTTAGTGAGATTTGTCTCTGGAATTTGTAAAACTTGAAAAATGTTTAGTGCAAATGCTTGTTGCCTACTATCTAATGGAGGATGTTGAATCCTCTATTCTGGTGATTCTATCATTTGATGGACATAAAGATGATGGCAAGTGCTGTAATGGACAAGGATACAGTTTGCAAGAAAATAATGTATATTCAGTGGCTACAACAACAACTTGCACTTATACAGCGCCCTCCACATAGGTTAGCGTCTCAGAATTCCCTGCCTCAATGCCTCCACCTTGCTCCCTCTTTACCCATCTTCAGATTGCATCTCCCCTTTCTCCCCAGTTTGGCATCCAACTCTGCATTATTCAGTGCTCTGAGACGTTATCGGGTGTGAAGGGTGCTACTTCCAGGCAGGGGAAACCTTGGGCAAGTTTCCTTACTCCACACGCCTAATAATAATCCCTTCAAAAACCAAAAACAATAATAATTGGTCATTTTCAATCTACGACTGTTTGTGGGACATTGCTGTGCGCAATTGGCTGCCGCGTTCGCCCACAAATATACAGTCAATTCACTTTGCAGTATGTTCTGTGAAGCGCTTTGGGACGTCCTCCCGACGTGAAAAGCGCTATATCAAATGCAAGGATTATTATTATTATTATTATGTACATGCATGTTGTTAGTTAGGCTGCAGTTTCAATATTGTGTCCAGCTTTGAGCACCACATTACAGAAAAGAGCATTGAAGGAGTGGCAAAAGTACAGTGGAGATTCACAAGAGTTATATTAAGAATGAGAGTTAATGTGGTGAGATATGAAAAGTTGACTGTTCTTGCTGAAGCCAAGGTGAAGGAGAATCGAGGTTGATGTCCTCAGATTTATTTAATAAGAGACCATTCACTTTGATCTTTGAGTTCATAACAAAAAAAGGTATGAACTGAGGATCATCACAAGAAAAAAAAGGGGGTAGAAATGTTTTTGCACAGAGATTTATTACAATGTGGAATGCAGTACCATTAATGTCAGTTGAAACTGACCATTTAATAGCTTGTTACATGGACAATTACTTGGAAGAAAAATCATATGGAAGACGACAGAGAAGAGCAAATGGCTGCAGTGGAGAGAGAGCACAAACCTAATGAGCCAAATGGGTTCCTCAGCTGTAAACATCCTATGATTCTGTGATCTTACAGTGATTTTGCAGCTGATTTAAGTATTTCAAATGTTTAATTGCATTAATTATTTTCAGTATTTTTCCTCCATGAAAAAGGCTGAAAATCTAGCATCACTGATGTGGTTTGTTTTCTGACAGGATGCATCCATTTTGCTGATGGTACCTAAATTATTGCAAGATTTTTTCAATGTTTTGAGGTCACAATGCATGGTTTGTGCAACGCATTTCCTTTTGTGTAATGAAGCTGACAGATTTCATAAATAGGCCAATGTTTGACCTATAAAAAAAACTTTAGACCGAGCATGCTTACTTATTCTAAGTGCTTTGTAGTTCCTCCTGTAGCTTCTATAATTGTATGCATGTTGACTCTTACATGGACCAAATAAAGATAGCACAAGTTCAAATTGGCATGATTATTAAGGAAGCCTTTAGAAGAAATTTCCTGTCAAAAGCTAATGACTTTAAAAGTATTTGCAGATGGTTGGCAAATCATATTATCATATGATCAGATCTATCCTATCATATGCTGTCTTCAGTATAAAATCATAGTTTATTATATGCAGTATTGTGTTCTATGTATACAGTAGTTCTACAAATTAATATGACCTTTGATTAAACTCAGGCTGATACCAATTCAGACACATGCCTGCTGACCATGGAAACGCATTTACTTCTTCAACCTTCCCCACCCCATGTGATGCATTCTTGCCAGTGTATTTTTGAAATATAGTTTTTTTAAAAAAAGATTTGCTGCATATACAAACTTGAGCAAAAAAAAACCTTCTTGGTGTGGACCAGCAGTTAGAAGGAACACTACTAGTCAATCCACCAACATTGCTGAGCCTGGATTTTGGCAACATAGAGTTCAACTCAAATATATTTCATTTGTTTTCAGTGCATTTAGTATTTGCGGGTAGCATGGTTTCAGAAATTAAATTCATGCATTGTTTGCAGTATAAATCAGATTTATGTTGCAGCAGTTTCAGAAGAATTTTGAAAGTTCAATGTAAGTTTATATAATTAAGGATCCCCTAAAGATTTTAGCATTAAGAGCTGTGCATCTTCAGGCTAGCAAGATTGATTTTGAGGGCTAATAGAGGGTGATAAAAAGGCTTGATATTATATTTTCTAATACGTCATCAAGAAATTATGATATTTATTTTACATAATAGGGTAGTTATCACAACTTTTTGGTCACCCTGTATGTCTTGCATTGCTCTGGTGATTGATATGAATCATTTCAACAAAATAGTAGACTATTATAATTTCTTTCCTCAACACTTACACAATCCTTGCATTTGATATAATGCCTCAACATGTTGAAACAATGCAAAGAGCTTCACATAGTTTAATGTAAAATGTGATAATATTTGTAAGCAAATGCGACTGCCCATTTGAGTACAGAAATGTCCCATGTACATTTTAATACAATTTACATTTATATACCTTTCATGTCTGGAGGATGTGTCAAAGTGCGTAATTCCATGAAGTAATTGACTAGTTTTATTTGGGGAATCGTTAGTCAGGACAACAAGAGAAACTCCCTTCTCTTTTTGAATATTTCCATGGGATCTTTAACATCCATCTGAACAGACAGGCTCTGTTTAAAGTTTCATCTGAAGTATAACACCTCTAGTCATTCCCATGGTCCTTCTCAGTTTTACTTTTTTTCTTAATAAAACTCACTACTGTTTTTCCCGCTTTCCCACAATTGAAAGAATTTTAGTTTTTAAAATCAAAAGAAATCTCTGTAGCCATTAAGTGAATGAGATACAGCTGAAAAGAGAGTGAATTCTTATGATTAAACTAAATAAACTAAAGATTGGGCTAAAATTGTGATCGGTAGGAGCAGAGCATCTTGTCTTATGGCCTCTCTTCACTTTGACATTTCATGATTTGTTTCTTAATCCCATTTCTTCTAAATCCTGTTTAAAATGGTCAATTGATGCATATATTTCTAACACATTGTCCTGATCCTAATTCAGCACCTTTTGTTTAAATAGATTACTTCTATATGGCAGAGATGCCTATCTAAAGATCAAAACATAATGCTGCTTCACGTTTTAAATTCAATGAAAATTAAAATTGTGCACATTTGAGTCTTTGTATTGATCCATGAAAGCTGGTAACCAGCTGCATTGTTTTCATATCAGCTCGCATTGAGAAGAGAAAAGCAAATAAATCTATGGAATTCAGTTTTTCATGCTTTTTTTAACAAAAGGAAGATGGAAAATTACCTAATAAAATGTGTGCCTTTCTGTTTAGGTCTGTCAAATCGAAAACCTGACTGACAGAGTTGTGTCCGTAATTTGTCACTTCTGTGCTAATAGCTATGGGTATTAACTACCATTTGCCTTTCACCTATATCAGAAGGAATGTTTGTTGCATACAAAGCTCCCTGAAGATCATGTCCTCTGGAAATTCTAACTCCCCCAAAAAATGGATTATTTAAAAAAAATTATTTCTCCTGCTTTGACCAGTGACTTTGAATAAACCTTCTAACAACTGTATTTAGATATCTGATCTCAGTTTGGTCATTTTTGGAAGAAACAAAAGCATTTGTGGGATTATAGCCATCAATAACTAATTATCATAGTCATTTAAATGTTTTTTTCCATCCACAGATCGCAGCCTCCTATGGAAATGTGGTTTGCATTTTTGAGCCTGTGCCTCTCTTAAATCGGAGAGGTAAATATTCTAAAGTAAGTATCTGCAATTTGTCTTTTTATTCGCACCGAGTCCTGTGCTCCTGCATTTTTATATTTTTGACCCAACATTACTGACATGTCTGAAAGAAATGGCATTTTTTGTCTCGATAATATTTTGTGACTTAATCTGCTCACCACAGACTTTCATATTGAAAGCAATGAGAGACGTATTTAACAAAAGCTATAAAATGATGACTGCCTTCCCTTGGATCTGATTGAATGGGGTTAATAGAATTGGTAAATTCAGCAATGCAAGAAATAGTTGGTGCTAAAAGCAATGTGCAAATGTGCATGTGCAGTTGCAGAATAAGATCTTTCTATAGATATGGTCAAGACAATTTATTTTCTCCGTATATAAATAGAATTCTGGGCATCTATTGCTCTAATTGAAGAATATGAAGGCTACTTGCTCCACACATAGCCAACGTATTTAATTTGAAAGTTTGAGGGCAGAGATGGTCCTTTAAGAACACTTCATGTCATGTCATCCAGGCATCTTGTAATAGTTCACAGCATTGCCAATATATTAATTAGAGTAATTGGAGTAATCTTAGTGTACATGTAGAGTAATAATGTCCTTCAGGGGTGATTTGTGTTGACAATAAAACTTAGTCTATTTCTGTGGAAGCAGATGCAAATATACGCAGCATTGCTAACATTCCCACGCTCTATAGATGTATCAGTCATCATGAACTTGTTTTTCTCATCAGTTACAGATCTTTTTCAGAGATCAGATCTTTCTCATGCATTTATTCTTCATGCACATTAAGATGAAACTCCTCATCTAAAGGAGTGGGAAATCATGAGACCTTGTTTTTTTAAATCATTGTTGACTGACACCATGTGAGACCACATGATCTTTCTGTGTTCTTGCATTATATAAGAACCACAGCTTTTCTCTACTTGGCAAGTATCTTCTTAATATTTAATAGGAAAATATTAGTTGTGCTTAAATCATTTTGGCTTCAGTGTGTAGCCTGAATCTTTGTGGATTTTTGGGGGAAGGAAGAATATTTCATTCTATTAATGAGTTTCTTTTTCACCTTTCAGAGCATTTTGGTCTGAACAAAGTCTGCTTTAAAGTTTGTATATTGAGTTGAAGCATAGTCCCAGCTGTAGATGGTAACCCATACTATATGTGCAGCTGTTTATTGATGCACAATTTTAAGAGAGTATAGTCTGTCCTTGTTTCTCAGGAAGGTTACACAAAATGCTTAAAGTGCTGTAATGGAAACCAATCATTGGGAGGGGAGGGGGTGAAGGTCCAACATGATGTACCTTCACTGACTACAGATGACATTTCAAGATTAAGCCTGCAGTCCAAATCTGAGTAAAGCAATTTAGATCGGTGGAAGGGCTGCCACAGAAAAAGGTCATAGTCAGCCAAAGGACCAATCCTCCACACGAACACCTGTCACAGAACTTTTGTTTTGTGACCCTGGGAGGTCTCATCCGCTTCATGCCTCTGCTCAACCATTATGTGCTGGAGCAACAACAAGATTACATTTGTATAGCGCCTTTCACGTCGGGAGGACGTCCCAAGGCGCTGGACAGTACAGCATTTCAGACCCGAGCTGGAGTCTGGGAGGGAGAAGGGAGGAGAGGGGAAGGGGTTGGCCGATGGCATGGTTGAAGAGGAGGGTCTTGAGGCGAGACTTCAAGGAGGCTAAGGAGGGGGCAAGGCAGAGTAATTGTGGGATAGAATTCCAGAGGTTGGGGGCAGAGTGACTGAAGGCTCTCCCGCCAATGGTGGGGCAGATGGGTTGGGGGACATGGAGAAGGCCGGAGCCGGCTGAGCGGAGGGAACAGGCGGGTTGGTAGGGGGTTAGGAGGTCGCAGAGGTAAGGTGGGGTGAGGCCATGGAGGGCTTTGTAGGTGAGGACCAGGATCTTGAACTGAAGCCTTTGAAGGATAGGCAGCCAGTGGAGTCGGGCGAGAGTGGGGGAGATGGGGTCACGGAGTTTGGTGCGGGAGAGGACACGGACTGCAGAGTTCTGGATTATCTGCAGCCTGTGGAGGGAGGAGTTGGGAAGGCTGACAAGCAGGGCGTTTGCATAGTCGAACCTGGAGGTGATGAAGGTATGAACAAGAGTTTCAGCGGCCTGAGGGGTGAGGTAGTGACGGAGTCAGGCGATGTTACGGAGGTGAGGGAAGGCAGAGCAGGTCATGGCTTGGATGTGTGAAAGAAAAGACAGTTGAGAGTCTAACGTGGACTTCAACAACTCTGATGAGGTTTAATACATCAGAGATTTGGTCATTGTCTCTGCTTTGGTAGTGAACTTGGATTAAATGATAATTTAGAGGCCCTTGAGATGGTCTTGAAAGTTTTTGATGTGCCAGCTTCATGCTGAGGGATTGGCAACTCTGAAGTCTGTAAATTTTTGATAATTGAGACTGCAGAAAACTCAGATGAAGACTTTTTCTTTGAATATTTTCTTTTTCCTGAAAGGGAGGGTTTGGTCTCAGTAACAGATTGTGGGACTTGGAGTCTAAATTACAGGAGGCACAAAAAATTTGTAAGTATTGAATACTACCAAAAACTGAATGTACAACTTGGAAACCCTTGGATACTTTGCTCCGACTTGATCTCTTTCTTGGCAGGTCGGAGCTGAGTTCATAACGATTGGCGACGCACACATCTGGTTGCTAACAGGATTCAATATTTGTGAATATTTCTTCACATTTTACATCACATTAAGGATTTTAGCTGTGTTTGCCAACCAATACAAGCTTCAGCTTCGGCTAGTACCAGAGTAGAACTTTGAGTGTCAGTCAACTTTACTCTGCACCTTCAGGATCAATTAACTTTGGTCAATTACATTCCCAACACGATAATCTTTCTATATTATATGAATATTTTTAATCATCGACTTATGGGAAGGAGACAAATTGGCAAATCTGGAACTTTAAGCTTCTTAGTTCTTGACATTTATGTAGAATTATTATTAGAAGAGGTAATGTTGAAAGAGCAACCAATGTACCTATTTTTATCTTTGATACCTCTAGAAGTAATTCTTTTCCCCCATTTTAGGCTCTCAGGGTAGAAACAGGGAAAGATACCCTTAAAATAGTCTCTTTCGAACCAAGCATCATCTATCGTTAAATTGACAGCATAAGCATAATTTCTAAATGTTCACCCTTCACTCTCAATGGTGAACAGTTTATAATTAATTTATTATAATTATAGAAATTATAATAAATGTTGTTGCCAAATTGAGCTTGCTCCCATTTATCACGTGAGCTACTGAGGTGGATTTTATTGTCAACTATGGATTAAACAGATACAGGGCAACCCCATTATAATGCTGTCACCCCTGTTTTAGTATAGCTTTGCTTATATCCGCGGTGTCCTGTGGATCCAGATTCTGGCACTGACGAGCTAGATTCCCACGCAGAAAATGATCAGCTTCCGTGTTGTTGGGTCACCACTTGTGTTATTTGCTGTGCTTGGGCAGCATTGCTGACATCACTTCCTGTGCGTGCACTGCCCAGCATCACTTCCTATGGTATTAGCAGAGGTGCAAACACTTGATTGACACAGGATGGAGAAGGGTATGGGAGGGTATATAAACACCCGCAAGGAAGAGTTGGGCGGAGGGGCCTGTTTCCATGCTTTGTAAATCTTTCTATGAGCGCAATATAAAAAGGGGAGCGAACTTGCCCAAAGGGCAATGGGTAATGCAGGTGTGACTCAGTGTAAACAGAAGTTCAAGAATATATATTAGGACTGAGTTAACAAGGAGTATATCTCTTGACTTCCTGCTTGCTTCTCCCAGTGCTGTTGATGTTATTTCACAGTGAATTCGGCACCAACCAGACTGCCTGGAAATCGGCCATTTAAATGCACTTTGCTTATAATGCGGCCTCTGAGTTGGTTCAATGGTGTTTCCATATAATATCTATAACATGACTGGAATTCAACTTGTGAAATCATTAGTGAGGGAAGTCTATTTAGAGTTCAGATTAAAAAGTAGACAACATTAAAGACATACTAAAGTTTTTAACATTTTTACTAGGGATTTTAAAATAATTGAACATTAAAAAAAATTGCAAAACCAACAGTGAACTTTTAAACTGGGGGGGTTGAATATTTATGTCTTTCATTTGTTTGTTCACAACAGCCAAATCACCAGTGGCAAAAAAGTGGCCAACTTTTATTACAGTCGGTGGCACACAATTTAGCATGGGATACACAAGGTAAGAAATATATTATGCTATCAGTTTTATATTAACAATTTAGTTCATGAGTTACATGCAACAAAGAAAATTTCTCAACTTAACTTGTTTTTAATTACCACTATAATTACCTTAGTTTGGTGTTTGCTCTAGTCATAGGCATGTGCAATGCCTGAGGCAAGTGCATACATGAACTTCATCCCCAATGTTGCATAAATTACCCTATTTCATTGTGCTATTTTAATGAAATGATAATATTCTGTTTGAGTCCTTGCTTCCTGTTAATCCTCAGTTAACCAACTACAGTGCGTTATTACTCAAACGTACTCCCCAGTTGCACTATTCAAACAAAATCCAACTCATTCAGAACTATGCCGGCCGCATACTGACCTGGCCCAAACTCTGCACCCACATTTCACCAGTTCTGGCCAGGTTCCAATGGCTCCCCATCACCAAACAGATCGACTTCAAGATCCTCACTCTCGTGTTCAAATCCCTTGACTCTCTGGCACCTCCTTATCTCTCCGACCTCCTCGCTCCCCAATCCACCACCCGGCACCTCCGCTCGACTGGCACCAGCCTCCTGCTCGTCCCTCACACCTTTTGCCCCACCATCGGAGGTCGGGCTTTCAGCTACTACACCCCAAAACTCTGGAACACTCTCCCTCAATCCCTCCACCTTGCCCCCTGTCTTCAAGTCCCGCTTGAAAATTTTCCTCTTCAACCGTGCTTCCGGCCACCTCCTCCCCCCCCTATTACAATTTTCAACCTTCTCCTGGAATAGCACTCTGGTTTTGAATAGAATGCAACGGAAAAAGAGCTGATGAAACTACTAATGTTCTTATATTTTAGGAATTCGCCTCTTGACTGGTTCGAACGCTTTACAGTTCTGGTCCAATGTGAATCTAGAAATGTGTGCGACTGAAGAGGAGGCTGCAGATGAGACTGATCCAAATGAAATCAGTGACTGGAGATGCATTTGGGAATCCAAGTAAGAGAGCATTGTGCCACAATGTTGTCCTTGGTTTTCAAAATGGCTTTTAAGTTACCACATGACACACAGCATCATCACATACATGATATGAGGAAAAGGAATCCTTAGAAAATAGAATTAGCTATTCTGCAATCAATCAAATATGTGACCAGGTTAGAGTTTATATTTTCCCAGGGGCATTTATTAATCAAAAATGTGGTTCCATCTTCCCAAATTATTGCATCATCTCTCATTTTGAAATGCCCACATACTGCTTCATTTTCAGATTATACCCCAGAAGGCTACCTAGGGAGGCTGAGGTGCAGGTTTTTTTGGACCATGCTAACATTCTGTGTTTTCTGACTAGAATCAATAGGTGTTTTCAAGGGGCATACAAATGAAGATCAGCATAATGTTAAAAGAATAATTCACAAAAAATTTAACATTTTTTCCTTCAGCATTTGTAATTCCAAATTTGAAAAGTGCTATACCAAATGTAAGGATTAGTATTATTGAGTATACTCCAGCCGCCTTTCACAGAAGAGGAGTGAGGAGGCTTCACTGTTTGATTTATAGCACAATAGTCATAGTTATTTATTTGAAAGCAAAAGGAAACCAAGCAAAAGCTATTCATTTATGCATCCTGATGTAAAAGGATTTGCAGATGCAAATTGTTAGTGGAATGATACCACAATACCAACTTTTTGACAATTTTGGTTTACTAGAATTCAGCTAGTTCTAGCACAGATTTTACCACTTTATTTCTCTAAATTTCTAAGCGTAAAATTTGATTATTTTCTTGACATTCTTGGGTTAGTTATCGAAACAGTCAGTAGAAAAATAGGAACTGTGGTTAGTTCAACTAATTAAATTTTATTCTAAAAGAATATCTCAAATACTTTTGGAAATATGATTATGAACTTAATCCACACCAATAGGGTACATAATCATGTCTGATAATCAATGGAGGGATTTATTTTGTGGTTGGTAATTATGTATTCATTAACTGCATTCTCTATGAATCTTACTTATCAAGTCATTTACCTAACCACAAGCATGGTTAAAATGCATTTATGTTGCAATAGTAATTATTTGTTTGGAAGCAAATGGGAAGGAGGAATACATAGTCATTCCTGCATCAATGCTTCCAGCAACTAACAAATTTACATTGCAGTCAAATTTAGTGCGATGCTAGTATTATATAAGCAATGAAGGTTAATTCATTTACTGTGCTTCTTGGTTTAGAGGGAAGAAATAGATTGTTTTAAAATACTGATTCTCATTTACTGATTGAAAATAGAGCTTAATCGTTATGCTATCAGCAGGTCTGTGCAGACTCCTGTCTGTGGGCCAACCTGTTCTATACTTAAGTATAGTGTTCACATTTTTTGAAGGGAAAAAACTCTAGCATTTAACTATTGGTTTGCTTAAAAGTTTTTATCTACTTTTGCAGAACTGCATCACCTATCCACCTGCTAAAGGTTTCTCCTGATGGTGAATTTTTTGCTACTGCAGGAAAGGTATGTGACATTTTTCTTGAGATGTCTGATTCACTGGCATTTGCTTTAAATTGAAACGGCTATGATGAAAATTTTAAGAAGCTTAAATGGCACACGTATTACTGATTGGTTTAAAAATGTTCACAGCTTGAGAGTGATACAAAGAGTTACATTTTCTTTCAATCATCTTTGGTTTTACAGTATTTGAACTCAAATATGTAAGTGTTTTTCAATCTGAAAACTAACAAAGTCACATTAAATATGTCCACATTTAGTGTTCCCTGCCTGCCTCCCATTTCTCTCTCCCAACTGCAGTTAAAGCAGTTTTTAAGAACATCTACCTGGAAACATGTCTGCTCCACGTATGGGTGCGAAAGTATTTAGTGACAATGTTGCCCTCAGCTCCTGCCCTTTTGATCCTCACGCTCAGCATTTTTAACTGCTCTTAACTAAAATTCATGGTTATATTTGTGGTAGTTTTACAATAGCTCTCGTAAAATCTACAGAAATAGCACCCATACTTTTTTTAATCTTATCAGTACTAAATCTTGATGTCTTCGCAAGAAAGCTGCAAGAGTTGGAAGTATCTGTAGTCATGCTTTCTTATACTTCAACCTTGCGCTTCTCTCTCCTACTTGGGGGAAGTAAACAGGATCTCCGGGGAGGGAGGCGGGGTCTCCTTGGAGCTGAGCAATTTCCTGAGCCAGGCTGGTGTGTAGTACTCCAGAGCACTACTGATGATAGACCAGCCAGGCTGGCTCATTGGCAGACCTTGGAAAGACCTGTCACAAGAGGCAGAGATTCTTCCTACTCGGCTTCTTTTATCTCTGCAAACCAAAGCCTCTTGGTAGGATGGTCCTAGCTGGATAAGCAGGTTGTGCAGCTTCAGCTGGTTAGTACTCTGGAATTAGGTAAACCCAATGTGTCCCTTCAGGTAGAGAATGTGCATTCAATTCTAATCATGGGAATTTCCATCTGTAGATAGGTTACATGGAACACTGTCTAGTTTAGGTACTCTTTTAAGAATGATGAGTTTCTGCATCTGTCAGACACATCTGATCTCTCTCTCTACCGCCTGTGAGTTTAATGATAGGATAACAAGATATCGTCAATGAAATCCTGAGCATAAATTTGAAAACTCATTGTGACTTGACTAACCATCAACATTGTGAATCTACATTGACATTAGAGTAAATGGACAGATTTGAGCACTTGTGTCGTTAAAAGGAATGCAACCAAGGTTGTTTAATAATTAGATTTTAACTGGATCTAAGCAGAAAATGTTCATTAGTCCCTCAAGCATTTGTTACTTTCGTGTATTGGTTCAGGACCGAGTAAACCTTTGGTTTTGAAGCCTGGGAGCTTTATTTGATGTTTTCAAGGAGAGCTTATTTGTATGAAACAGATTTTTTAACCACATCTAAAATAGGAATGCAAGAAACACCTGGAATAGTGGTGAATGATTTAGTTAAAAAGACTACTTTGGCAATTTGCAATGCAAATCTGCGTTATACTATGTATAAATGCTTTGAACATTTATCAAAAAGACTGAACAGCAAATTGTCAATATTTCGTCTCTTCCCTCTCCCACTTAGCATCTTTTCTCTCTATATATTTGTTTCATAAAGCAGTAGTCATCAGACAGCTGCTGAAATTTCCAAATCTAGCCTGTAGAAGCTTTCATGATTCAGAATTATGTAAATGCAGCACCTTCAGAGGGTCAAAAATAAAACCAAATCTGTATTTGGTTGCTGTATTAGCATCATCAAAAAATAATTTTGGGGTCAATAGAGACGCATTACATTTTTAACAGTATTCAACTGATGATGCTGTTAATAGCTCAGCAGTGCCACCAACAGGAATTTAGTATTGCTAGATTTGATGGGCTTATTTTTAATTTAGCGTCTGTTCAAATTAAACAACTTTAATAAACCACTACCAACTTGCATTTACATAGTGCCCCTCATGTAGGGTGATGTCTTGGAGAGCTTGTATGCTCTTATATATCTTTATAAACATGAAATACTTGTTCTGGCTTGTGGAAAGACTGAAATGACCCATTCTGCCTTCCCCCACCTCTGCAAATTTGCCCAACTCCGCAACGATGCCCACCTCTGCCACTGCCTCTCTCCTCAGGCCACCGAGATTCATTCATGAATTCATCACATCCAGGCTTGACAACACTATCTCCCTGCTTGTCGGACTTCCTGACTCTTCCCTCCACAAGTTGTAGATTATTCAGAACTGTGCAGCTTATGTCCTCTCCTGTGCCAAGCTCCGTGAACTGATCAACCACATCCTTGCCGGTTCCACTCACCCCCCCCCCCCCCCGCACCCTGCAGAGGATCAAGTTTAAAGTTTAAAATCCTTATCCTCACCTTTGAAGCCCTATACGGCCTCGCTCCTCCCTCCCTCTGGTCTGCTTCATATCCCCCGCCATTGGCTGTTGGAACTTCAGCTTTTCTGCCTCTTTCTTTCCTCTTTGATTATGTTTTTGGCCACTCTCCCACCTCCGTGCCCCCCTCCCCCTACCCTCTTGATTCCAACCCCCAGCTCAGGTGCAAAACCCTTAACTGTCCCGTGTCTTGGTATGTAGCTCCGATGTGGAATGCGCTATATAAACGTAATTTTGTTGTTGTAAATCAGTGAAAATAGATTTTGAGCTCTGCTCCTTATGTGATACAAGCTTTGCTTCAATATATTCCCACAGAAAACTGAGCAAATTGCGGATGACATTTGCAAAAGATAGATATTTATGAGAATAAGCTTTCATATTTGCAGAGTCAATCACTCGCCAACATAATTGATGCACAACTCAGCTGAAATGCAAATGACATATCTAAATGGGATAAAGTTCACCCATGATGCAGATAAATCAGATTTTGAACAGTATGTAATGAAGAATATTATACCTGTGATGCAATATCACAAATTTTTAGCAATCAAAAATCTCTGCAGTCTCTAAAAAAAATATACTGCAGGGTTATTTTCCAGAGGGCGCCATTACCTTCCCCAGTGATACAATAATACATTCAGCTGCTGCCAACCCCAAATCCTTGTCTGCTTTCGATTGATGATGCATTGAAAACATAGGCTAAACCATTTATTTTTGAAACAACTTCCAGCAATATCAATGTGTCTCATGTATTTTGCCAACTTGCTTGTGACTTCAAACCCAGCAGCAGCAAAGTAAACATGTTCTACGTGTATTTAGGAAGTGTGGTGTCTGCCCTTTCCGCTCCACTGAAGCAAAAGGCCCTGTAGTTTTTATTTAAAATATGTGTATTTTGTTCCTTCAAAGTACCACCTGGTTTCCTAGTTTGCATGTTTTCTTTGGCTTAGTGCTTGAGGGTCATTGACCAGACATGGAAGGAGTTTATAAGAATATACAGAGATATTTTAGTAAAAGACTGATTGGGATCTGTGAGACTGACATTTTGTACGACAACAAACATAATCATGCAAATTGGGTTTGTATGGAGGAGTTGCATTCCATTTGCTATTCCCATTCTGAGTTTGCCTCTGCCTCCTCATCCTTCTGGAACTCTCCGCCGAGTTTGTCACAGTTGATCACGCCATCCTACTTGTCTTCCATCATCCACCTCAGTTGGATCTCACTCGCTTAGTTCAAGTCCTACCTTACAAACTGCCAGCACTACATTTCTGCAAATGGCTTTTCTTCGCACTTTCACCTGGTCACCTGTGGGGTGCCCCAAGGATCCATCCTTGGCCCTCTTCTCTTCCTCATCTATATGCTCCCTCTCGGTGATGACATCCGCAGACACAGGGTTAACTTCCACATGTATGTGGATGACACTCAACACTACCTTTCCACCTCCAGCTGCGACCCCCAATCCCCTGATGTTCTGTCAGCTTGTCTTTCGGACATCAGGAGCTGGATGAGCCCAAATTTCCTGCAGTTAAAAGTCAACAAGAGGAAGCCACTCTTTGGCTCCCGCCGACGTCTTCTGTCCCACGGTTCTGACCTCCTCAATCTACCCGACCTGTCCTTAAAACTCTCTGAACCCGTGCGCAACTTAGGTGTCAGGTTCAATCCCCAGTTATCCTTCATCCCCCACATCCGGTCCCTAACCACACTTTCTTCCACCTCCGCCACATTTCCCGTCTCCAACAATATACCCCAAAAGCGGCTGAAACCCATGTCCATGCCTTTGTCACCTCTCGGCTGGACTACTCTAACGCCCCCCTCGCCGGTCTCCTCTCCTCCACTATTCACAAAATTCAGCTCATTCGAAACTCCGCCGCCTACATTCTCACCCGCACCAAACTTCGTACCCCGATTACTCCAGTCCTTGTCAAACTCCACTGGCTCCGTACAGAGCAGATCAACTTCAAGATCCTCACTCTAGTGTTTAAATCCCTCCATTCCTCGGCATCCCCCTATTTCTCTAACCTCTCCCCACACCAGTACCCGCTTTTCTGGGTCCGGCCTCCTCCGCGTCCCCCGAATCCTCTGCTCCACCATCAGTGGCTGGGCCTTTGGCCACTACGTCCCGAAACTTTGGAATTCCCTCCAGCAACCACCTCCCCACGCCCGCTCCTTTCCCATCTTCAGGTCGTGCCTGAAGACCTTCCTCTTTGACCGCGCCCACGTTCACCTTAACCCATCACCACCACCACCCCCCACGGGTCATCCTTGGGCTCTGCCATTGCTAAGCGTTCTGAAACACCACCCACTGTGGAAGGCGCTATAAAAATGCATGTTGTTGTTGTTGAATTTAATTGTGAATGATTCTGTAATGTGGCATTATGATTGTATTCTGTCATCGGGAATTTCACCGCGCATGAATGTACAATGCTGTTTATGGCCAACTCCCTCAAATTTACCTATGACATTGTGTGACTAAAAAAAGTGAACAGCACAAGAATTCTGCTTTGATACTGGGAGATCCAGTTTTCCAGTATGCATATGATCAAAGAAGTATCCTGACATTTTATGAATCTCTTATTACAGTGTTCAACTCCAGAGTTGTTCACCTAGAAGTATTATCTATTTTTCTGCAATTCAGCAGGAGTTTGAAAAATATCCAAAAAATATATTTTGTAGTAATGGACCCATTCAAAACAAAATAGCCTTTAATTAAAAAGGTTAACTTTCATCGTATGTTAACTAAATGTTTGAGTACATTTAAATGTTTAAATGCAGGTAGTAAATTCAAAATGGTGACAAATGAGCAATCAGCTGTTCTGAGAAAAAACACCGAAGAAAAGAGGTGTATATTTTATAACCACCATTGAAAGCTGTTTTTGACAGTCATCGTGATTCTTTTCTTCTCAGGATGATTGTCTTGTGAAGGTGTGGTACAATACCAGTAGCTGGCAGTCAGCTATGATGACGCCTTTCATTCCAGTGGACAAACGGGAAGGAGACATAGATTTTTCATTCGTGTACTTAGCCCATCCTCGAGCTGTGACAGGTATTTCCTGGCGGAAGACCAGCAAGTATATGCCAAGGTTAGCAAAATTCCTAGAAAAAATGAGTCTGCTGCAGGTGCTGGTTCCAAGACTTAGCAACACATTAGCAGAGCATGTACATCTCTCCATGCACCCTTTCCCCTGATTTAACTGCTTTGAAATATTATCTTTCCATGAAATTTATTTAATGCGCCCAACTTTTTTTCCTTCTTTATCGTTGTCTCCGGGTTAAAGTGTTACGGGTTCGAGCCTTCCTGTGTCAGGACTTGAGCTCATTGTGTACAATGTTGCTTCAATGTAAAACTCTGGGAGCGCTGCGTATCAGAGGTGCTAACTTAGATGAAGTTAAACTAAGGTCCTCATGTTTGATGCACCTGCCTGTTTGATTCCAGAAAGCAGCACCTACAGTTTTCTAAAGTTCTTGCATTAAAAACTTTCATTATTGAATATGTTCTCTCAAGCACAACCAATGAATTTTAACCTATAACATCTTGAGCAAAATTTAGTTTGGTTTTAAGTAAATGCTTGCATTTATATCCTTGCATTTTGATATAGTGCCTTATCACATCTTTGAGACGTCTCAAAGCACTTCACAGAATAGTACAGTAAAGTGAATTGACTGTATATATTGTGGGCAAAATGTGGCAGCGCACAACTAAAGTAGAAATGGATTTTACTAAAGCAAAAAATGCAATTATCTTTCAAATCTGTTAGGAATGAAAAAGTGACTGTTACATCTGCATCTAGGAGATCATATAAACATTACTGATTATTAAGATTACTGAGTTTTAGAGTATTTTAGTTACAAATGCATTGATTAAATCTTCAGTGAAATGCTCATCATTAGTCAATTAATTCAGATGTGTATTCTCTTCCAATGCAGAGGTTCTAACTGCGATGTTTTGTTGACCTGCTGCAAGGACAATGTTTGTCGGATTTGGGCGGAGACTATACTTCCGGGTGACAGTTTGCTGTCTGGAGAAGGCCACACTCAGTGCTCTGAATCAATCATTTTAACCAACAACCTCACGAGAAATGTTCCCAGTCGGGATAAGGTACAAATTGCAATCGTATGCAAGGAAGAGCATTTGCCTTTAATCGTAAATGTTTTCTCCTCTGCCAAAAAAATGTGGAACACATTGATCGCTTGTTATCAGCTGTTTAAAATGTATAGTGCACATTTATTTCTTTGTAACTTTCAGCTTCTCTGCTTTTATAGTTGAACATCAAACAACTTCGAAGAGGAAGAAGAAGATCTGGGCATGTTGCAAATTCTGGGTATTTACCCCACCAGCAAGATGCACATGAAGTTCATAGAAATGCACCTGTGCATGCAAATTCACTGTGTCATTTTCACATAGCGGCTAGTATCAATCCAGCAACAGGTAGGGAATGATTCATGATCTAAGATGTTATTTAAATACAGCAGTGCACGTACTATAATTTCAGTTCAGCATCCCAAACATTCTTCAGTTCTGGATGTTAACCGTTTAAAAATAGTGGAGCCAATAATTTTAGGAATGACAGAAACCTGGAACGAGGTTATCCTTGCCTTGTTCTGCAGAGAGTCGTCAGAGAGGAAAAAGTGAAAATTAAATGGTAAAATGGAGATGGCTTATTAATATTACTCATTGCATTGATACTCAACCTTTGAACTTGTTAAATTCCCCTATTGTGCAGACATTCCACTGCTGCCCTCCATCACTTCGTTGAGTTTAGGCGAGAATGAAGAAACTAATGGACCATTTGTAGTTCATTGGTTGAACAACAAAGAGCTGCATTTCTCACTGTCCATGGAAGTATTTTTACAACAGCTTCGTAGAAGCTTGGAGCAACAATCCCCAGAGTCTGGGACGGAGGACTTTGGACAAGTGGAGAACAAATCTGATGAAGGTATAGCATTCATTTCACTTAAAGAACATGAATTATGTATGGAATTTTTAGAGGTGTATTGGAATGATTTATATTGGATGATAACTTGGGCCGATAGAAAAGTGCGTCAGTACTTTTTCCGTGGAATCCAACACAGGCGCCCTCCTCCGCTACAAACTCGCTATAAATGTAGTTTGTGGCCCGCGGGCCTCCCAGCTCTTTACCTGATGTCACTGTGGGTGGAACGTCTCCGAACGCACATGAGTGGTGCAGCGCAAGAGGCAAATGAGCTTCACTCGGAAGCCTCATGCTTGTAATTGTGTGAGTGTGAGTGAGTGTGTGTGTGATTGTCTGTGTATATGTCTCTATGCATTTGTGAGTGTGTGTGTGAGTGTCTCTCTCTGTTTATGAGTGTCTGTGTGTATGTCTATTTCTCCCTCTCCTCTGTATATTTATGGGTGTGTCTGTGTGTGTCTCTCCATGTGTTTGTGAGTGTGTGTCTCTCTGTGTGTCTGCAAGTGTGTCTCTCCCTCTGTGTGTGTGTGTGTGTGTGCGCGCGCTTCTTTCTCTCTGGATCTGTGTGCGGTGCTGGGCCCTGAGAGCTCCTGTAGCCTCGCTGGTCCACGCCTTTCCAACCCACACCCAAAAAAAAAGGCCACCCAGTTTTTGTTGAAGAAGCAATTAATTTTTTTTTGTAACAATCTAATATGTGTTATTTCCTCATGTTTAGTTTTTATCAATAAAGTGAAAAAATGTAGGTTGGCATTAAATATGTACCTCAATAGTACCAATTAACTCCCTGCCATTTTCTGCAAAATTTATCAAAAACGCCCGTCAATTTTCCAGGGATTTGCACATTGCCCCGCAAGTTTTTGGAAATAAGCCGGCACTTTCTATTGGTCCAGATGATAACCCATTTTGTAGATTGACTGACTGTCCTGCCAAGACCTGCTCAGATGATGTGTTTTGGGTTGGAAAATCTTCCTCACTACCATTCCATTCAAATGAATATCCGTCATTACACTCCAAATATATCATGACTAGTAGAACCAGACAAGTGTGAATTTCTTAACAAGTTCAATAATGTAATCTGAAAGTTGCGTTTAAGATTTACAATGTACTCAACTAATTGGCATTCAAGCCTTCATATAAATACACAGCAACACTTTAGAAATTATGTTATATTCAACACTATCATGGTTATTCCTTTGTCTAAATCTTTTAGAGATGCCAATGGACTTTTTTTTATACCCATGTTCGTTAATTTTAATACAATCTGGGAGATCATTGTACTGTCTCTTAAACTAACTTCTAGCACCACTGGCAAATCAATACAGTGTTGTGATGAGATCGAAGCAGTTGTGATGAATTGATGTTATGTACTTGTCAGATATATGTTAATTACTTTAATCCATTTTTATAATTAAATACATTACCAAATAATATAGGCTGTTTTTGAATCTTTTTATCTCTGGTTTCTACTCTTAACCCTCCTCTATATGGCCAGTAACTTGTGTTGGATTATGCACTGGCAGCCCTCTTGTACCTTTGCAAACTAACTTTCCTTCATGCGTCAAGCTGGGCAATGAGCATCAGCAGCTTTTAGATTGTTGAAGCATTAGTCGAGTCAAACTCATCCTTACCCAATCTCCATAATGTACACAATGCACTTCCAGCAAAAGTCACTAAATTGCACACTCAAGAGCAGGAATCCTCTCTCTGCTGTGCACAAATATGCACACCTGCAAACCAATTGTTGCACCCCCTCACTATCACCCCGCTGAGGTTTGCTAACTCAGACCAAGAAATCAACCTGGGACCTCGCTGAGATTTAAAATTCTGTACTACTACAACAACAACAACAACAAAATTACATTTTATAGCGCCTTTCACGGAGGACGTCCCAAGGCGCTGGACAGTCAGAATTTCGGATCCGAACTGGGGGTTGGGATTAGGGAGGATGGAGAGAAGTGGGGGGCGAATCATGCCTTTATTTGCTCTTTGAAAGATTGATTTATTTAATCCCATTCCCCTGCTCCTTCCTCATGTTTTTAGATTTTTCTTTACACTAAATGATGCATTTAACCACAGTGCTCAGAAAGAAGTGTGTACACTCAGCCCTATTTGCATTTCAACAACGAACTACAATAAACAACCTGTAGTTTTTATCTTACAATGTAAATCTCATTATTAAGATCAATTTTGGTATTTTTAGAATCCACATATGGAACAAAAATTTGGATCTGATTTAAGGTCCAATTGAAACAGCAGCAAGTGTTCTTGAGTTATAGGTTACAGGTATTGTGTACTGTGCTGCTTTCCGCAAACTAACACTTTCAACTTTGTTTTTACAATTTTAAATGTCAGCTAATAAAAAACAAATCTGAATTCTGAATTCTGAATAGATTTTACATGTTTTGGGTCTGTGGGGCCTAGTGCTGCATCAGGCAGTACTTTTACCTAAAATCTCCTACCTAGGAATTAACAATAATAATCTTTATATTTTGTACGCGTCTTTCACGGCAGGAGGACTTCCCAAAGGGTTTCACAGGATATACATTAAAGTATAATAATAATAACTTGCATTTGATATATTGCCTTATCACGTCTTTGAAACGTCTCAGAGCGCTTCACAGAATATACTGTAAAGTGAATTGACAATATATCTTGTGGGCGCAATGCAGCAGCCAATTACACACAGCAGTGTCCCACAAACAGTCGTGGATTGAGTGACCAAATTATTATTATTTTTGAAGGAATTATTACCCCCGGAAAAGCGGTCCGCCAATCAACTAACAACTGGGTTCCTACTTACTGCTAGGTAAACAGAGGTGTGTGGATATTTCACCCTGCCGGGAATCGAACTCTTGTCTCGTTTGCGAGGCGAGTGCTCAAACCACTGAGCTAGAGGACTCCAGAATGACTGTTTTGTGGGCAAATTGTTGCACAGCTCAATATCCCACAAACAGTCACAAATTGAATAGTCACAATGTAAAGGTCTTGAATGAATTTTCCAGAATAACAATCAATATCCCTTTTAAATATACAATTATTATAAAATTAAAATATGTATAGCAGCTTTACAACTGGAACTTAATTATTGTATGTCGTCTCCTCAAGCTGGTTTATGGTTATTGAGGTAGTGCTACCTTTCCTTAGTACTCCCTCAAAGTTTGTTGAGAATATCTCAAATTTTAAGCGTTGGGAAACTCATCCATTTATTTTAAAAATCAAAAGCAGATCTTAGCTTTCCATAATAATTTGCCTTCTGTGCATTAAAACTCAATGTACAATGGGATGTATAAATATATATTACTTAAGTTTCAAGAATGCTTTTAGGTAGAATTTGTGTTAACTCGTTATTTCTTTTCCATAGAAAATGATGAAAATAATGAGCCTCCTAAAGGATTTATGAGGCCTGTACCTTCAGAGAAAAATACTGGAGAAAAGACTTTGTCAGGCCTTACACCTCTCCCAGCCGCCATGATTGATCATAAGATTGAATTGCTGCTCGCAGAATGGAATAAGAATGCAGACATGCTTTTCAGTATTCATCCCGTGGATGGTTCTTTATTAGTGTGGCATGTGGACTGGCTGGATGAATACCAACCTGGGATGTTTCGACAGGTGCAGGTAAAACAACAATTTATTATACTTGTGCATGATTGAATTACCAGTTTCTTCTTAATTAACCCATTAATAAAGATGTGCGCAATACATTTGCACCATTATAACATGAAAGAAATCACAGCGTCCAAAGTGATCCATTCTCTTTTGGTTCAGTGGCAATATTCTAATGAACCAAATACTTTATTTGCAAGAAAAAAAATTCTTCTGTGGAGTGTTGAAATTTACATTTTTTCATTGTTCCAAATATCTTGACCCACCATTATTTTAATCTTTTTGTGTTTATTTTGTGTTTCTGCTTCGAGTTCAATTTCCATTTCTCTAAATGAATACTTAATCTGTCATTTGATTAAAACATTTTAATCTTTTTACTGTCTGAGTGCAAGATGATTACAAAAGGAATATGAGTCGACCTCATCAATCAGCAAACGCCATTTCCGAGCTAAGCAGTCCATAATATTTGTGAGCCCTAATTATTTATAGATCATTTCAATAATGAAATTTGACTGCATTTTAGACCGAGTCTTCTTTACTCCTTTTAATTAAAAATATCCCTTTACTGGAATTTGAGGAATTTAAGGCTCAAATTAAATCCTTTTATATAATCTTTAGGCTGTCAGGATCTCACACTGTATACTGTAGCCTAATAGCTAAATTGGAGGTTTGGTATTAAAAATAATCATGTCATAAACTGGGAGATCTGGATCCAATCCATGTAAGTAGTCTTCTTTCTCAGGGACCCACAACTCAAAGCTCAAGATTGTCCTCTGAGTTTTCGTTGTCACTCCCTTAACTATTTTTTATGAGCTGCACATGATTTCTGAGTGCCATCATTTGTGTTGCCTTGTAGGCGATAAGGCAATTGAGTGTATAAAATAGAAGAGTGTGACAAACCTAAAAATACTGTGCCTACTTTACCCATTAAAACAAAACCAGTTTTATGCCATCTTGTCACTGAAACTTGGACTTCATTGCATTCCTTCCATTAGGGTGAATTGTAAAGATTTGACAGATGTAGTGCAGCTTGTTTGTTCAATGGTGATGAACTTAACCATCAATGATATAAACCGTACCTTAAATTCAGCAAAAAAGTAGAGATGTTGAATAGTTTTAAATCTGCACTATTGTGTTTTCTAGGTTTCGTTCGCCTCTAGAATTCCTGTTGCATTCCCAACTGGTGATGCAAACTCTCTCAGCAAGAGTGTAGTGATGTATGCCTGCACCAAAAATGTAGACCTCGCTATCGAACAAGGGAAACAGAAGCCTGCTGGATTGAGCCACTCTACATCTGGCATGCTAATCTCTGCTGGCCAGAATAAATCATCTGGTAGTCTAAAACTGAGCATTTTCACACCCAGTGTGCTTATGATCTCAAAGCATGCAGATGGGTCCTTGAACCAGTGGACTGTCAGCTTTGCAGAGGAGTCTGCATTTTCAACTGTTCTCAGTGTGTCTCACAAATCGCGATACTGTGGTCATCGCTTTCACCTCAATGATTTAGCTTGTCATTCAGTTCTGCCATTGCTCCTGACAACGTCGTATCACAATGCACTGCGAACACCGGATGGTGAGAGTCTGCACGAGAACAGGAGTTTTGACTGCCTAAGGCTCAGTGGTTCACAGTCGAGATACCAGAGACAGAGCAATACATTGACTACATTCCAGGATTCTAGTTCTATATACAGTGAACTAATTCTGTGGAGAGTTGATCCAGTGGGGCCATTGTCGTACTCTGGAGGAGTATCTGAGCTTGCCCGAATCAATTCTCTTCACATTTCAGCATTTTCAAATGTGGCTTGGCTGCCTACCCTCATCCCAAGTTACTGCCTTGGTAAGAGTTTCTTACACAATTCGTATTGCTTTGCGGGTCTTGAAAAGTCGCTTCTCGTTTTCTCAATTGGTGAAGGTTCCAGCCAGTGTAGCTCCAGGTTAAACATGTTTCCAGTGTGTCCTGAGATAGCTGATCTCAACTGGAACAGCAGAACTCCAAGATACTGTTGCTGACAGTCCAGCCAGCCTGATTTATTGGCAAGACTGGAGGAAGGGATTTTCCACACTCAACTCCTGTTATCCTGAAAGCCAAAGCCCTAATGGGGTAATGGTCCTAGATGGACAAGTAGCAGGAACCTTTCCAGACAATGTCAAGATATGTGGTTTTAGCTGATTAAATTCCAGTCATACCCCCAATGCACATCTGGGGTTTCCAAACTGTGTCCAATTGCTTCCAGAATTAGTTAAGCAGGAAGCAACTCCCCAGGAAGAGAATGTGCATTCCATTTCAGACGTGGAATTCAGACATATGTAAGTGGCATGCCAATGTGGAACTCTTAGCCTGGTTTGGATGCTCTTAAGCATTATTTACAGTGTATCCTGTGAAATGCTTTGAGACATATTACTGATGTGATAAGGCGCTATATCAAATGCAAGAATTATTATTATGATGCATTTCTGCCTCAAGACTTTCTTCTTCAAATGTGCCTTCAGTCATCTTCCCACCTCCACCCCCTCTTGCAATTTGTTATTGTTATATCAAACACCCAGCTGACCCCAAAAATGTTAAAATGATTCCATTTGCTGAAACCCATTGTCACTCATTTTTAGACCATTTGATCATGCAGGTCGATGTACACATAGGAATAATAAAAACTAATGTAGAACTATATGTTTGTTGCATTGAAGAATAAATTTCCAGAAAGTATAAGTGCCCAGCTGCATGTTGTGACAAAATATTTGTTGTTTTTAGGTGCATACTGCAACTCTCCAAGTGCTTGCTTTGTGGCAAGTGATGGCCGTTATTTACGATTATACCAATCTGTTATTGATGCTAAAAAACTTTTAAGTGAGCTTTCTAATCCAGAAATTTCTGTAAGTAAAATCTTAATTATTTTTAACATTGCTTGAATAACTATTCATTTTGATATTTAGTATATATATCTTATTTTCCTTGCACTCAGGCTGAATGCAGAAATAAATTATTTCCTCCACAAGCTGTAGATCATCCAGAACTCTGCAGCTCGTGTCCTCTCCTGCACCAGGTTCCGTGACCCCATCACCCCCATACTCGCCTGGCTCCCCATCCCTCAGAGGATAGAATTCAAAATCCTCGTCCTCACTTTCAAGGCCCTCCACGGCCTTGCTGCCTCCTACATCTCTGACCTGATGACCCCGTATCAACCTGTGCTCTCCCTCCGCTCAGCAGGCTCAGGTCTGCTCCAGGTCTCCCACCCTACCATCAGTGGCTGGGCTTTCAGCCTCTCTGCCCCCACCCTCTGGAACTCCATCCCACAATCCCGTCGCCTTGCTCCCTCTCTTGTCTTCTTCAAAGCACGACTCAAGACCCTCCTTTTTGTCCGTGCCTTCAGCCGCCCTCCTACCACCTCTTCCTCATCCCAACCTTGTTCCCACGCCTGGGTCTGGATCCCTAACTGTTCAGTGTCTTGGGACATCCTCCCAACATGAAAGCCACTTTACAAATGTAATTTTGTTGTTGTAAATTAGTTGCACTGTTGTACATTAATCATGTGATTTACAAGCACACTAATGCAATTGCTAATTCTGGTAATTCTAGATTAAAGCATTGCAATACTTTTGTTTATATTTGATGGGTTCATTATTTGGCTTACTATGCGTGTGCTAACATCAGTTGGTCTGTTCCTAGAAATCACTTATACACTCCCATTGATGCACATTATTTGCACTGAAGTACAAATGATTTATGATATCTTTATTGCAAATTTATCATGATATGATTTGCAGTTAAATATCAAGAATTTTCATAGTTTTTTTAAAAAATATCACTGAATGCTACGATATCTGCTGGGTGTTTTACGCCTTCAGCAATTCGTGAAGTCATTCTTTCCCTGAAAGCAACACATCTGAACTCATCCTGATCTCAGACACATTTATAAAGGAAGAATATTAAAATGTACTATTTATCATATATATCTGACAGGGAGTTGTTCTGTAATTATGTCTCAAGAGCTTGAGGGATCAAAGAAAGAGTGAGAGCAGAGATGTTCAGGTATTCTTAAAGCAATTGACTTTAACTAATCTTGTGAATTGTTGTTTTAATTGTGAGACAATTTTGGTATATTTGTTCTATGGCCATTAATGTTTTTACAATTCTTTGTGCTGGGTCTTGGCCAAATTATAAATTGCAGCATTTAGCAATGCTTTGAAAGTTAATAATTAAGAGAGGTTCTACTCTCTTAATCCATGCTAGAAAGTGCTCAAATGTGATTTGATACTCGCAGTATCATGGAAACCAGGATTACGAAACAGTTGGAATAATGCCCCAAGAGTCTATCTTTCAGAGACCGGAAGAAAATTAGAGGGAGAAACAAATTCTAGACAGTAGACTAAGATTCCTGCAGAAGTCTGTTACTGATGTTTGCTATTAAGATGCCGATCATCTCACACCACCAGTTTATGGTAATTTGTGCATGATGTAAATCTAGTAAATACTTGACAGCTGGCAGAATTATCTCTGTGAACCTAATTCCAAATATTGCTTGTATTTAGTTTCCTTTCAGTTTGGAGCATCAGTGCAAGTTTTAGTGTAATATATTTGAACAGCAATTCATCCTTTTTAATATTTCACTGCAGAGGTTTGTTGGAGAGGTTTTCAACATCGTTAGCCAGCAGTCGACAGCAAGACCGGGCTGTATTATAGAGCTAAATGCCATCACTGAGCTTGTAAGTAATTTATTATCCAACTCTAATGTAACTATCTGAAAGATTTTTGTGTTAATCATTCATTCCATCAATAACTGCAAAACTGAGGTATCCAGTATTCACATCCTATTTGATTCTATTTGATTCACTGATTTCTGACACTTGCGAATGTAAATGATCTAAATCCCAGTTTGTGTTGTCACCAGGACTTCAATAAAATATAATGTTAGCCTGGCTTTTTTTTTTGACATTTTAGTTTTAATAAAGCACAATTGTGGATATGATACTTTCATATCCTTTCAAAATTGTTCTACTTTTTCCCCTCCGCTTCCCACGGCTTAGGTGGACAAAGGTGTAGTGGAGCACAAAACCATGCAGACCAGAAAACTGCAAGTTCAAATGCCAGTCTGTTCTTAAGTGGACAGAATTTGAGGGTGTTGTAATTGGCTTCAGCCTGAGAAAATTGGCCAAGCTTCCCTAAACATTATTTGCTATTGATTGGTATCTTGCTGGAAGTTGAACACCTCTGGAAGTTGGATGCCACTTGACTTGCTGCAGTGCCCAGCTGTTTTACTGTTAAAGCTCGCAAATACATAATGGCCATTTAAGCAAGGTATTCTAGAACACCAAATGCCCGTGGAGCGCTACTTGTGTCGGCTTGGTAGCACTCTCGCCTCTTGAGACAGAATTGTGGGTTCAAGCCCCACATTGGGATTTGAGCTCACATAGGTGACACTCCAATACAGTGTCGTAAGTGCTGTCCTTCAGATGAGAGGTTAAGCAGAGATCCGGTCTGCTTGTTCAGGTAGATGTTAAAGATACCATTGCCAACTATTTGAAAAGACAAGGGAGTTTCTCTAGGTGTCCTGGCCAGTAAATCCCCTAAATAAAATTGGTAACTCATTCTATGGCTGTTTGCAGGACATGGCTGTGCGCAACTGGCTTCCGCATTCGCCCACAAAATACAAAATATACTTTGCAGTATATCCTGTGAAGCGCTTTGAGACATCGCGATGTCATCTTAAGATGCTATATTAAAAGCAAAGATTATTATTACTATCCCAGAAAAAAGAAAAAGGAGTTGAATGTCTTTAGTAGAGCAGGAGAAAATTGTCAGAAAAATAAAATGAGCCTGTACACAGAGAGTATTTTGAACTTTATACCACCAAGATGATATTCCAGTGATTACATGTCCATCACTTGTCATGGAAGGAATTTGACACTAGAATATTAGATAAACATATTGTTTGAAGTTTAATTTTGCTTGTGTAATGTGTGGATATACAACCTTTCATTTAATTGAAGCTTGATTTTTGATGATACCGTATTTGAAATTGCTGTTGTGCATCCCTTACATGACATTGTTCTTATTTTAGTATGGAAAGGAGACACAGTTGCTTCATGTCTTTAAGGAAGACTTCATTCTAGTTAATCAAAACAACAGCATGCAGCATAATAAAAGAAATCCCTCTCAGGAAACAGACCCACAGCCGCAAGCAGGTACGAAGGTTTTGGCTGTATAAATTTGCAATTTACAAATAAGTGCATGATTATTATGCATACATTGCTATAAATTATAAGAATAAATGTCAACCATGCCTTTATTTATATGCTTTTGTTGCTGTTCCTTTATACATGTTGACTTTACGCCTTCCATCATTCATGGCATGTCATAGGTAGGATATCTTTAGATTTACTTTAATTTACGTAATTCTATCACGTTTCAATAATGTGAGATCTTTTTCAGGTACCTAATTTTCTCTTACAATCAAAAACAATTATAAACTGGTTTAACATGCTTACTTTAGTGCTTTTATTGTTTATCTTGCAACATTTTTATTGTTTTGGAAAAACTTTTTTACTTGTGTTTTGTTTCAAATTGAAGGCACAAACATCTCATTGATAGGTTAGAGCTTACAAACTGATAGAGACTTGGGGTACAACAACCACAACTTGCATTTATATAGCACTTTTCATGCAGGGTAGTGTCTCAGAGCTAGTGGGGTAGTAATTGATTCATTACTCACCATGTTCATACAGTGTTAGTAGGCAATAAAGAAGATAAGCGAGCTATATTGTTAAATCCACAGTAATCTGGGTAGCCTGCACCAAGAGTACTGCAGATCTATTTCCTGCGATAACCTGGTAAACTAGGACTCATCAGCCTTTAGCCATCTCAGAAGTCAACCTTAAAACTCCTAGTAACCCGTCACTCCAAGGTAAAAACGCTCAATGACCAGGTATCTGAAGTCCTGAGTAAGGTGTATTATAAATGAATAAAGGTGACCAAGATATCGACCGTATAATGACTTAAGTGGTAGTGACAAGTTAAGCCAGGGTCGAGTTATCAGAGTGTACTGTATATAAAATGGGTAAATGAACAGAGGGTAATTGAAGCCAATGCAAGAGGTGGTTCAGTGTTCAGTGTTCACGACAGGTTCAGTGTTGTGATGGGCAAGTTTAAGACGGGGAAGAGGAAATATTTCTTTCCACCTAAAGTAATCATCAGCTGGAAGCAGCTAGAAAATTGCCAGACAGTGCTTTCAATGGCAAGCTATGTGGTTTTAGCTAGTTAGTCACCAGCACCACCTTGACGCACACTCTGGTGTCCCCAAACCTGATTCATGCCAGCCGGGGCAAATACTCTCTTGAATTAGATACCTCCAGGGAGAGTGCACATTCCATACACGGGAATTTCCACGTGAAGCTGTCATGCCTGGTTTGGATACTCTTAAGCAAAGTGATGAATTTCTGTATATAAGAATTTGCTAGGCGAAAGAAGATGAAGGTCCATCTAGTTTGCTTTTCACCATCCTGGTGGTCGCATGACGTGTCATGTTCCAAACTGTATATTATATCGAGATATTATTTCAGACAATGAAATGTAGGAGCAGGAGTAGGCCACTTGCCCCACTATTTAATAAGATCGTGGCTGATCGTCTAACCTAATTCCATTTACCCATCCTATCCCCAAATCCTTTATCCTTTAGAAATCTATCAACCTCAGTCTTGAATATGTTCAAGGACTGAGCAACCACAACCTTCTGGGGTAGAAAATTCCACAAGTTCACTACCCTCTGAGTGAAGAAATGTTTTCTTAATTCAGTTCGAAAAGGCTGTCCCTTAATCTTGAGACTATGACCCCTAGTTTTAGATTCTCCAACCAGGGAAAACAGTCTCACGGCATCTACCCTGTCAAGACCCCTTAAGAATCTTATAGGTTTCTATAAGATCACCACTAATTCTTCTATATTCTAGAGAATATAGGCCTAGTTTACTCAACTATCCTCATAGGTCAACCCCCTCATCCCAGGAACCAACCTAGTGAACCTACGCTGCACCCCCTCTAAGGCCAGTATGTCCTTTCTTAAATAAGGAGACCAAAACTGCACACAATATTCTACGTGCGGTCTTACCAAGGCCTTATACAACTGCAGCAAGACTTCCCTACTCTTGTACTCTAACCCTTTTGCAACGAATGTCAACATGGCATTAGCCTTCCAAGTTGCTTGCTGTATCTGCAAACTAACCTTTTGTGACTGGTATACAAGGACACCCAAAACCCTCTGAACACTAACACTATCTGGCCTCTCCCCCTCTAGAAAAGAATCCACTTTTCTATTTTTACTACTGAGGTGAATAACTTCACGCTTCCCCACGTTATACTCCATCTGCCAACTTCTTGTCCACTCACCTAGCCCGTCTATTTCCCTTTGCATTCTTTGTTTGTCATCGTCACAGCTTACTCTCCCACCTATCTTCGTATCGTCTGCACGTTTAGACATGTTAAGTTCTATTTCCTCATCTAAATCATTGATATAGACTGTAAATAATTGAGGTCCAAGCACTGATCCTTGTAGCACTCCACTAGTCACATCCTGCCAATTAGAGAAGGACCCATTTATCCGTATTCTCTGTTTTCTTTCTGTTAGCACTCTCTAATCCATGCTAATATATTACCTTTAATTCCATGGGCTCTAATCTTATGCAACAGCCTTTTATGTGGCACCTTGTCGAATGACTTCTGGAAATCCAAATACACCATATCTACTGGTTCCCCCCTATCTAACCTGCTAGTTACATCCTCAAAAAACTATTATAAGATTTGGTAAACATAATTTCTCTTTGGTAAAGCCATGTTGACTCTGCCTAATCATGGTATGATTTTCTAAGTACCCTACGACGACGTCCCTAATTAAGGCCGCTAGAATTTTCCCTACCACCGATGTCAGACTAACTGGTCAATAGTTCCCCATTTTTGTCTCCCACCCTTCTTAAATATCGGTGTTACGTTTGCGACCTTCCAATCACTGGGAACCATTCCAGAATCCAGGGAATTTAGGAAGACCAAAAATAAAGCATCCACTATCTCTGCAGCCATCTCTTTTAAAACCCTAGGATGCAGACCATCAGGTCCAGGGGATTTGTCGTTTTTTAATCCTATCAATTTCTCTAGTACTATTGCTTTACTGATGTTCATTTCTTTAAGTTCCTCACTAACATAAGCCTCAAGGTTCCCCTCTATTTTCGGTAAGTTTTCAGTGTCCTCTAACGTGAAGACAGAAGCAAAATATTTGTTAATGACTCTGCCATTTCTTTATTCCCCATTATAATTTCTCCTGTCTCTGCCTGCAATGGACCCACATTCATTTTTGATAGTCTTTTCTTTATGTACTTGTAAAAACTCTTACAATTCTGTCTTTATGTTCCTAGCTAGTTTACCCTCATATTCCATTTTCTCTCTCTTAATCAGTTTCTTTGTTTTCCCTAGATGTTCTCTAAAGCCCTCCCAATCCTCCGGTTTAATGCTCTTTTTGGCAGTATTATAGGCCTCTTCTTTTAATTTTATGCTTTCCCTAACTTCTCTAGTTAGGCAAGGTTGAACCACTTTTCCCGAGGTATTTTTATTTTTCAAGGGAATATGTGATCGCTGGGCTGGGAATTATGTATTATATGTTTAAACTTCGGATTCCACTATATCACTCTCTAACTTAATGTTAACTTCCATCGTGTTATGGTCACTCGGCCCTAGAGGAGCCTTAACTTCCAGATTGCTGATTAGCCCTATTTCGTTACACAAGATCTAAGATAGCCTGTTCCCTGGTTGGTTCCTCAGCATATTGTTTTAGAAAACTAGAAAACTATCTCTAATGCATGAGTTAGACACCCAGCTGACCAAACAAAATCAGCTGGAACGGTGATACAACAATGGACTTATTGAAGAAGCAGCTTGATGCTGTATGAGAGGACAATAGAATAGTTATTCTGGAAGAATGCCATCAAATGGACCAAAGGACTTTCTTCATCTGAACCTCTTTTGTGACATTGTGGTACTGGAGAGTGGCCATTGCTTATGGAATTCTGTCCATTTGGTTCAACAACAACAACAACAAGAACAAGATTCCATTTATAGAGCGCCTTTCACGTCAGGAGGACGTCCCAAGGCGCTGCACAGTTGGGTCATGACCCGAGCAGGGGGGAAATGGTCAGGGTGAGGGGAAGGAAGGGAGGGAGAGAGGAGGGGGGAAATGGTCAGGGTGAGGGGAGGGAAGGGAGGGAGCGAGGAGGAGGAAGAGAGTCGAGAGGGGAGCTGAAGGCACGGTCAAAGAGAAAGGTTTTGAGACCGGCCTTGAAGGAGGAAAGTGAGGAGGCGGCGAAGGCACTGGGGGATGGAGTTCCAGAGCCTGGGGGCTGAGAGGCTGAAGGCCCGACCACCGATAGTAGGGCGGTTGGGGCGGGGGACGTGGAGCAGACCAGAGCCAGAGGAACGGAGGGTACGGGCAGGTAAGTAGGGGGATAGTAAGTCGTAGAGGTAGGAGGGAGCAAGGCCGTGAATGGCCTTGTAGGTGAGGATGAGGATCTTGAAATCAATCCTCTGGGGATGGGGAGCCAGTGGAGGCGAGCGAGGGTGGGAGTGATGTGGTCCCGAAGCCTGGTGCGGGACAGTACACGAGCTGCAGAGTTCTGAATGACCTGCAGTGTGGAGGGAGGTGGCGGGAAGGCCGGCGAGGAGAGAGTTCCCATAGTCCAGCCTTGAGGTGACAAAGGCGTGAACCAGGGTTTCAGCAGCGTGAGGGGTGAGGTAGTGCCGTAGTCTGGCGATATTCCGGAGGTGATGGAAGGCGGTGCCAGTTGTGGTGCGGATGTGAGGGAGAAAGGACAGCTCAGGGTCGAACAGAACCCCGAGGTTCCTGACTGGCTTTGAGAGGTGGAGAGTGCAGCCTTGGATGCTGATGGTGTCAGCGCCTGAGGTGCGGAGGCGCTGACGTGAGCCAATCAGGAGGGCCTCGGTTTTTCGCACGTTGAGCTGAAGAAAGTTCAGTGTGTTCCAGGAGAAAAAATGACAAAATGAATAGAGCAGAAAATCCATAGTAAAGTGGTTTATTCTCTCCAGATACCTTTTTTTTAAAGCCTCTGGCGATATTTCATAAAAGTTGTATAAATTTGAAAATGACATTGCTTTTATTTGCACCTATGTGCAGCATGCTAGAAACACTGTGATATATTAGCATTGCTGACAGTAAACTTCAAACAGAGCATGAATGGTACAGCTGCTTCATGCTTAAATCAAATATCAATTTGTACAGATTTTTTAAAAAGTACATTGTGTGTATTATAAGTAAAATGTTTATTTTAAGTCTGAATTAATGGCCATACAGTAGAATATCGACTGGTATACAATTTGGAGAAAAAAAAACTGAAATAGGTCTTTCACACTCATGATATATGCAATAATTACTGAATAATGATAATCCTTGCATTTGATATAGCACCTTATTGCTGCATTGAGATGTCTTAAAGTGCTTTACGAAATATACTGTATATTGACTATATTTTTGGGCAAAATGCGGCAGCCAATTGCACACAGAAGGGTCCCATAAACCGTTGTGAATTGAGTGATCAAACTTATTTTTTTAAAGGATTATTAACCGCATACATTCTACAATATCCAACATGTTATTCTATTGTTGAAAATGTTATTTCTTTTCAGGAGAGCCGCAGGAAGGATTTTCAGAGAAATTCTTTTTGGTGGTAATAGAGCATAAACAGAATAATCGTTCAGCCCTGCACATGTGGCATCTACACCTGAAATCTGTTCAGGTCTCTGTGGGTAAGACCTATTTTTGTGACAAATTGCACTTTATATAAATTCAGTGAAATTTTCTTGTGTTTAAAAAATTTTAAATGTGTTTTAAATTTGTATGGAAGACGGAGCTCATTTGGTGGCACTCTCATCTCTGAGTCAGAAAGTAGTGTAACTGCTTTTAACCCATTCCTTTTAGAAAGTTCCACGGAGAAGGATCTAAAGGAGAAGGTACATTCAAAGAGTCTGTCTTGGTTTTACTGCTTTCATTTAAATTAATCTAGCAAACCCTGAGTGGAAACTAGAAACAAAATGTAGCCATCCAATAATCCACATCTAAAGGTACTGAACTCATTATGGCTAATGTGGCAGAGCAGTTCTGTTAGATATGGAACTTCTTTATCATACCCACCATCTCCGTTCCAGTATTTGTAGCAGCGCAAAAAGAACACTGGGTTTTATGGAAGTGTTTTGGATGATAACCTTTCTCGAGATTAAATCGATCAAATAAAATTTGTACATTGTACCTGGTCTGTGTTCGGGGGAGATTTCATTTTCTTATTCTATGTTTTTATGTTTTTGTAGCTTTTCCTACTTTGTTCAGAGTTTGCAAACAGTCCTAATATGTGCATTGATCATGGTCAAAACTTTAAAGAAGTTGAAGGGCTGGTAGTTTATTTTGGAGCTACTAAAAGGAATACTGTTTCAAAGATATTACATAACAATATGTCGTATTTGTTTTCTGTCACTTGGTGGTGCTCTGTATTATTGTGTTGAGAAGTTGTTCTCCATATTAAAAAAGACCTAATATTTTACAGCATGAACATTTATTGTCAATCAGGACCCCCGGGTCCTTTTCATTTTCCATACATATTGTTTTCCTTCCATTCAAGTAATAGTCACTTCCAGGATTTTTTGTCCCCATATGAAGTAACTTTACATTTCTCCGCATTGAATTCTATCTAACATCGATCTGCCAAATTCCCAAATATGTTCAATCCTCCTGTAACCTATCTTGTTCAGCTTCACAATCTACCACCTTCATTAGCTTGGTCATCTACAAACTTAGCCACTGTGCTTGCAATTCCTAGTTCCAGATCATTTATAAAAATATTAAACAAAAGAAGTCCCAAAACAGACCCTTATAGAACTCCACTGGTAACATTTTCCCAGTCTGATGACATTCCCTGTACCACCACCCTCTGGATTCATCCAGTCAACCAATTGCGTATCCATTGTAATATACCTCCATTGATTCCCGCTTTCTGTACTTTAAATACCAGCCTCTCAAGAGGAAATGTATCAAAGGCCTTACTGAAATCCAGATATACACCATCCACAGCCTTACCCTTATCAAGCTGCCATGTCACACCAGCAAAGAAAAAACAGTAAATTAGATTGGCAGGACCTTCCCTTCATGAACCCACAGTGGCTATCATTTATGATTTCATTTCTGTCCATGATTTTATCTTTAATAAGAGTCTCCATAATTTTACCCATAATGGACATCAAACTTGCTGGTTTGTAGTTAACTGGATCACTTTTGTTATCTTCTTAAAAATAGGAGTAACATCTGCCTTTCTCCAGTCCCCTGGCACCTCTCCATTATTCAGGGATTTTTGAAAGATTTTTTTTGCGACTTCCTCCCTTAGTTCCAGAAGCAAAAGGGAATCAAACATCTCCCAAAGAGTTGCAAAAATTGCCAAGTGAATAAAAATAGTTTATAGTTTTAGAAAAGGCCATTTAATTCATTTGGCTAATTTCTTTCACATACCAAATACAATCACCCCTATTATGAACTCCAACTATTTAACCTCTTGGGGGGGCAATTTTAACATAATTTTCCCCTGACCCACAAACTCAACTGAGAGAATTTCCAAAATGTTTTCTATACGAATCTCTCCTTTATTCAGTCCAGAAGCTAAGTATCCCAAGAACTATTTGAGCATTTCATACCCCTACCATATCACTAATAGCTCATATGTGCAGGTTATATTCCCATTAACAGAAATGGAGAAATGAATGTTTTATTATTCGGTGTTATAGTGGTTTTAGTAAAAAGGAAGAAAGAGGAAGAAAAAATAATCAAAATTATTTCAGAGTTAAAGAACAAAACTTACTTTATCCCTTGACCCATTCCTCCAGAGTAGCAGTTCATGGGATATGTCGTGTATGTGGAGATTCCATATAAAGTGTTAAATGTACAAGCGAGTATGTTATTTAACTGTGGGAGTATAATGTTACTTCATTTATGATGGAATGCAATTGATCAATACAGTAGCATTATTGATGGATGAAAATGTGTTTCTCTTTCTCCCACCCCTAACCTCAGGTAACACACCTGAAACCTCGCCGACACCTGCAGCAGAACCAGATAGCTCCATCCCTGAAAAATCACCATCTCCTTTTCTTAAAAAATATCAAGCTTGCAAAGCAAATTTACAAAGTGCCAGTAGACTGACTCTTACCTCAGAAAGAGTTTACAGTCAAGAATTACCTCTTCCAGAAGGAGTGGAGATTATTAGATGTACTCCATCTGCAGGTTAGTTTGAACATAATAGTCAAAGTGTGGCATCTGTGTCTTTTTTGTATTTTGCAAGTGACTATGCAACTCTGAAATTTCAATATGGTAGGAATCATTTGTACACATTTCTTATTTAAATCTACAGTATTTAAAGTTATTTTTAAAGATTTGAGAGTACCTTTTCCCGTATTACTCCTGCTAAAATAGAATTTGTATAGTTTGTATAAAATGATTTGTAGTTGTATTGAAACCAACCAAACCTCTCGAACACAGGCAGGAGCTGGAGCAGCTCCATTCATTGAGTTTAGTGGGTTAACAGTTTTAGACTGGCCTGACCACATTTAGACCTCATTGTGGAGATCCTGGACAATCTGTGTGTAGTTTTCACCATGTAGCATTATAAATATACAGCTTGAGATGGGACAGTGAAGATGTTGATTGAAAGATACAAGAGATATCTCTCCCAATTGTTGACATATCTGTATCTAGGAGGTTGCAGTATACACTGACTTAATTAGACACTTCGGAACCACACAAGAAGGGTGAAGGGCACTCTGGCAGTTCCTTTCTCCTATGATAGGAAAGTCCCAATGCAGGTTAAGCTTGTGGTGTGGAAGACCCCCTAACACACTTACCTTCATGGTTTCGAGCTCCTGGGTATGCAATGGAAGGGTTTCTTTTGTATCGTTTGCAAAGTTTAGGAGCAAGAAGTGAGGTGGTTTTGTTGTTTAAAAAAAGCGAAGTAGCTTTCCCAGTTAGAGGAAGGAAGGCTCCAGCTTTCACTGAATGTTTCTCAGCACCCCGAAGGTCATGACGGCTTCATGGTGAGCCTGTCTCTTTACCAAGGCCCTGCACTTGAAGACCTGGATTAAACAGTTGGTGTTGAGTAAGCCTGATACCTCATTTTCATTTTTATTAGCCATCAAGGTTTTATTAACCACTTGTAGTGCTGAAACTGATGGTCAGAGATTTTTAAAAAGTTTCATTTTGTAATGATTTTCTTTCATTGCTTTTTTTTATATGCAGGACACCTCAGTTCTTCGTCAGTTCATCCATCTTGCTTAGCACCATATCTTTTAGCAACTTCCTGCTCAGACGGAAAGGTTCGATTCTGGCGCTGTCGAGCCTCTTCACAACTGGTATCTTCTGCAGCAGGGGACACTGGGGAGAGTGGCTTGGCTTATTCCTGGGAAGAATGGCCACTGCTTATTGAGGAAGGACTTCATAGCAGCAGTGCCGTGTATGTACCAGGGAGGCCAGTGGATGTAAGCTGTTCATACACAAGCCGGCTGGCTGTGGCTTACAAACAGACAATACCAGTTAATGGTCATTCCAGTAAGCACTTCACCATGCATGTTGGAATATTTGAATGCGAGTCCACTGGAGGCTCTCAGTGGATTCATGAGCAGACAATCCACTTGGATGACTTTAGCCATAGTTGTACAACGTTGGACCCAAGAGTCAGTATAGATAGCAATTTAGTGGTTTATAATAAAGAAGATTTGCATTTGATCAATGACAGTCATGTGGCTTTTGACTCAAAACCTTTGGTTCACTTAGATTGGGTCTCCAAAGAAGATGGATCTCATATCTTAACTATAGGAATTGGATCCAAGCTTATAATGTACGGACAGATGTCTGGATTAGTACAAGATCAGACAAAGAAAGAAGCACCAGCTTTTGTTGCATTATCTTTGTGGGACAGTGCCAAGGAAGTCTCTCGATCTAGATGGGTGCTTCTCAGGAGCGTGGACCTGGTGTCCTCAGTAGACGGATCTTTATCACTGCCTGTTTCCCTCTCCTGGGTGCGTGACGGCATTCTTGTGGTGGGGATGGATTGTGAAATGCATGTTTATTCACAATGGCAACCACCTGATAAATTGGACACAACAGTCACTGATGTTGATATTGGTAGCACTCCTTCAATAGCTAGCCTTGCAAAATACAGTTGTGCTAGTGGTTCCAATCCTAGCCTGTACAAAAGAACACTGACCAGATCGATGACTGGGCTTGCTCAGAAATTTTGTGGCAAAAAGATTCCATATAACTGGAGTGTTGAGATGGAGGACTCTGGCCTCTTTGAAGCATCTCATAATTTATCCCCCACTCTGCCTCAATATCATCCTTTGCAGCTTTTGGAGTTGATGGATTTGGGCAAGGTCAGACGAGCCAAAGCCATTTTGTCTCATCTGGTCAAATGTATTGCAGGAGAAGTAATCACTCCTCGTGACGTTCAAACTAGCCATGAGCGTCGTCTTAGATCTTTGACCATCAGTGCAAGTGGCAGCACCGCAAGAGATCCCTTAACTGCTAATAAAAATGAAAATCCTGATTACACGGAAATAGATTCTGTTCCTCCTCTTCCTCTGTGTGCACTTCTAGCTGCTGATGAAGATACTTCTCATACCACCTTTGAAAAACCTAGCAAAAGAACTAATTTTAGGAAGAAAAATAAATATCAGTCAACAGGAAACAACTATGATGAACTCTTTGAGACCTCTGTTGGTACAGAAGATTTAAGTCTCTTAGATGTCTTTGGCGATGTCTATGCATCCAAAATTATTGATCTTTCTCAGTACAGTCCTACCTATTTTGGACCCGAACATGCTCGAGTACTATCTAGCCATTTGCTTCATTCCAGTCTACCTGGACTTACCAGTATGGAGCAGATGTTTTTGATGGCACTAGCAGATACTGTTGCAACCATCAGCACAGATATCGGAGAAAGCCGAGAAAGAGCCCAAGGTAAGCTTTTTTTGATGCAGTGCATTTTTTTTATTTAAGGAAATTAAAATTTTAAACTACATTTTTTCACGCTAAAATGGCCAACTTCCTGGTCACTGTCAACTCCACTGAATGCTTTGTTACGAAAAGTAGGAAGTGATGTCACCAGTGACCAGTGAAAAAGATTCTTATTCTCTTTAAAAAAAAGTCAATTTCTGGGTCATCAGGTTGCCGCTAATGTCACCTACAAACCAAAGAGCGCATGCACAGCAAAGTAGAAAACGATGTTGAGGTGACCTGGAAATTCGCTTTTTTTTATTATTTTATTGCAGAAATTAGGCAGTTTCAGTTAAATCTGCTATGGGACTGCATTGTATTTACTTCATGGAAATGGATCAAAACTGTTCCGTTTTACATTCTTTTCAGTTATATTTAACCTGCTTGGGCAATTCATATAAATATTTATAGAATACTGTAATGTATCAACCTTTAAATAAAAGCTACAAAATTCTATTTTAAATGCATGTAATATTTTGTAAAATATATTTCAAGTTTGTGAATCTCTTTTTCCTTTTTAATCCCCTATTAACTATAAAAACTAGGAAAAATAATAATAATCCTTGCATATAGTGCCTTATCACGTCTTTGAGACGTCTCAAAGCACTTCACAGAATATACTGTAAAGTGAATTGACTATATTTTGTGGGAGCGTGCATTGCTAGGTATGTTCAATCTAAAATACTTAATGTCAAATCTGGCAATGTTAGCTGATGTATATCTCCTTCACAATGCTTCTTTGATCAAATTATTTCATTCACTAATAAAGATTAAAATATTTTCTATCTTGTGTATTCAGGTGGAGAGACTCTTGATGAATGTGGATTGAGATTTCTCCTAGCCATGCGATTGCATACATTCCTTTCAACATCACTCCCTCCAGTATATCGGGCACAACTTCTTCGGCAAGGTAAATTGATCATAGTGCTAAATGACAGCTCTGCTGAAATCCAATTATTTTTATAACGGACACTATGGGAATTCCTATACCAAAAGGAATCTGAAATCCAAAAGTGCTGACAGTTAGAAAAGTAATAATGATTTGTACTACTGTAAAATTTCTGTTTCCATCAGAAGGAACAGTTTCTATTTCATAAAAAAGGTACAGTATTTGGTTTCCTATTTCAGCATTTCAAAAGATCTTTTGTGAACAATGGAATTGATAACCAAGCTCCTTGAAAGGTGATCAAAACAGAACTGTTCATGTTCAGCTTTAAACCATAACTCTAGTGCCTTATTTCTGTTGTTAACTTTGTGGACCTTTTATTGTTGTTCTATAGTGAAAGATTTTAGTTTAAAATCGTCTGCAGTATTAGTATGGAATACAATTGTTTTTTGAAACAATGGTTTGAAAATAATTCAAATTAGAGTTGAATTCCTTCAGTGAATGAACATGGGATAATGATCACCTCTTCCTTATCACAGGTTTGTCTACTTGTCATTTTGCCTGGGCCTTTCATTCAGAAGCTGAGGAAGAGCTATTAAGCATGATCCCTGCAATACAGAGAGGAGATCCTCACTGGTCAGAGCTTAGAGCCATGGGAGTCGGTTGGTGGGTGCGCAGCAACAATACACTTCGCAAATGCATTGAGAAGGTACTGTGTACTTTTTTTTAGAAGTTTAAAATGATAGAAATAACTGCTTTTGCATTTTGTTTGTGTTGACAACATACTAATGTGTGAGTATTCATAACAACTTACTTCGCCTCACTGGGACAATAACTTTGTCCCCGCTCCCCATAATGATCCACACCAGCAGGCTAACCATGCCTCTCTGACCCCCTCCTCCGTTCGCTTTTAGTCTCGGTGTGTGCATTTTGGCTGCTGCCACTGACCCGAGCTGCTTCTCCATAATGCTCCCATCCCTGTCCTCCACTCTCCATTATTCCCCCTCAGTCCTCTCCTGCCACACTCCCCAACTCCTATCCCTGCTCCACCGTCCCACAGCCTGCCTCTGCTCCAGCCTGCAAATCCTCCGTCGGGCCCACCATGGGAGTCGCCGCTGGATGTCTAACAGCAGCCACTCTGACTGCCCCGATCCCCATTCTCGCCGCAAGTCCCATCGGTCCCTGACCACCGGGGCCAACCTCTCCTCCTTCATCCACATCCCCACCCTCCCTGTCAGTCCTCCCTCTCACCACCCCCTCGCACCCACATTCCGCAACCAACTGTCCCCTCCACATCGCCCTACAAAATGTCCGCTCCCTCTCCAATAAAACACTCACCATCCAAGACCTCATTGTCGATGAAAACATCAACATTCTCGGCCTCACTGAAACCTGGATCACTCCAGGCGACACCTTCCCTCTGATAGAGGCCACACCACCCGGCTACACCTTCCATTATATCACTTGACCTACTTCTGTGGTGGCCGGGTGCCTCTCATCTCCCGTTCCCTGCTCGGCCTATCTTTCTCTTCTGCAGCTTTCCCCTCCGTTGTGCACCTTATCCTTTACCCCGCTCCAATCTTTCCCTCAAAATTCTCCTTATCTATCGCCCCCCCAAAGCCCTCCCCTACCTTCATCCCTGACATCTCTACCCTCCTATCTTCCCTCTTCCTCTGCTCCGAACACATCCTAGGCGACTTCAACCTTCACCACCCCCTCCTGCTCTGCCTCTACTGATTTTTCCTCCCTTATCTCCTCCCTCAACCTCTCCCTCCACATCCACTCAGCAACCCACATCCACGGTCATCCCCTCGATCTGTGATCACTCGGGGCCTCACCGTCTTGGATCTCACCATCATCGACAAAGTGATCTCGGACCATCACTTCATCTTCCTTAACTCCTCAATCCCTCTTCCGACCACCACCCAGCCCACCTCAATCTCCTACTGCCCCTGGAAAAAAATCTTCCCCCCCCCCCTCCTTCTCTGCTGCCTTGGAGTCATCTGAATGCCTTCCCCTCTGGGCTTCCTCCTGCAATGACCCCAGTCCTCGGTCACTCTTCTCCACATCTCCCTCTCCTCCTTTCTCAATTCCCTTGCTCCCGTCTCTTCCCAAACTGTCTCCTAATCACGAATGTCACCATGGTACACCAGCCACCTCCCCTCCCTTAAAGTACAGGTGTGTGCCGCTGACCACTTAAATCAAACTTAACGGTCCATCGGTATATCTGGCCGGACTTTATCAAATCTTACTGCTCCCCCCCTCACGTCCTCTAAATCGTCATTCTAATCCAAGATAATCTTGGAGGCCAATGACAGCCCCAGGCTCTTCTTCTCCATCACCAACCAGCTTCTCTGCCCACAATCTCATGCCTCGCCCATACTCACCTCAAATGCCAACTGCAAGGTGATGCTGGACTTCCTCGAATTCAAAGTCGAGGGGATCCGCTCAGCTGCCACTGCCATTCCATCTGTTACACCCTCCCCATCTGTTACACCCTCCCCATCTCCCCCTCCCTCCCCAGCTCCTACCCATCCCTCCCTCCACACCTTTGAACTTGTCTCCCACTCCTCTCCCCACCACTGTAACCTGCATGAAACCGACCACCTGCTCCCTCGACCCCATACCTACCACTCTCCTTACCTCCCAGTTTCACCTCCTTGCCTCTCTACTCACAGACATCATAAACCTCTCCCTTTCCACTGGTATTGAGAATGGCCCCCATTAAGAATGGCCGTCATCACTTCTATCCTTAAAAAAAACCCTCCTTGGACCCATGTCTACTGTCAAACTACCGCCCCATCTCCAATCTCCATTTCCTTTCCAAGGAACTGGAAAGAGTTGTTGCTTCCCAGCTTCGCTCCTTCCTCTTCTGCCACGCCTTTCACAAATCCCTCCAATCAGGTTTCTGTGCCGCCCACAGCACAGAAACAGCCCTGGTCAAAGTGACAAATGAGATTCTGTCCATCTGCGACGAGGGCTCCCTCTTCCTCCTCGTCCTCCTTGACCTCTCTGCTGCCTTCAGCAATGTCAACCACTTTATCCTCATCCACCGCCTCTCCTCTCACCTCAACCTTCATGGCTCTGTCCTTGACTAGTCCAAATCATACCTCTCCCACCGACTCCACTTCATTTCCACTAGGGGTTTCTTCTCTAGCCCCTGGACCATCTCATGCGGCGTTCCTCAGGGCTCTGTCCTTGGTCCCTTCCTCTTCAATATTTATATGCTCCCTCTTGGTGACATCATCTGCATACATGGGATCAACTTCCACATGTATGTGGATGACACCCAACACTACCTCTCTGCCTCCACCCTTGACACAGGACCACTGCTTTCCTGTCAGAATGTTTGTCAGACATCAAGTCCTGGATGAGAGCTAACTTTCTTCAGTTGAACATCAACAAGACCGAGGCTCTCCTGATTGGCTCCCGTCAGTGCCTCCACACCTCATACACTGACAGCCTCACCATCCATGGTTGCACATTCCACCTTGCTAAGCCAGTCTGGAACCTTGGGGTCTTGTTTGACCCTCAACTATCCTTTTTACCCCACATCTGCACCATGAACTGCTCTGCCTTCCCCCACCTCCGCAACGTCGCCTGGCTCCAACACTGTCTCACTCCGCAGGCCACCGAAACCCTCATACACACTTTCATTACATCGAGGCTTGACTATGTAAACTCCTTGCTTGTCGACCTCCCCAACTTGTCCCTCCTTAAAATGCATGTGTCTCCGTGTCCTCTCCCACACTTGTTTCCACGACCCTATCACCCCCATCCTCCCCCAACTCCACTGGCTTCCCATCACACAGAGGATACAGTTCAAGATCCTGGTCCTCACCTTCAAAGCCCTCCATGGTCTTGCTCCCCCTTACCTCTGTGACCTCCTAACCCCCTACCATCCTGCTCACTCCCTCCGTCAGCGAACTCCTGCCTGCTTCACATCCCCCTCCTCGCTCGCGCCATTATTAACGGGCGGGCCTTCTGCCACTCTGCCTCCACCCTCTGGAACTCCATCCCCCAGTCCCTCCGCATCGACCCTCCCTTGCTTCCTGCAAGACCCTCCACTTCAACTGTGCTTTCAATCACCCTGCCCTCCACCCTCCCCGATCCCGACCCGTAGCTCGGGTCTAAAACTCTCTGTCCAGCACCTTGGGACGTCTTCCCAACGTGAAAGGCGCGACACAAATGTAATTTTGTTGTTGTAAATAACATTTTGTATTATGTATAATCTCATTCACTTCTTGATGCTGTTATTAAATTTAGGTTTGTGTTCTTTTCTAAGGGGTCTATTTTTTCTGGCGAAAAACATAGCAAATTGGTTGAGGGTGGAGAATTGAAGGGGGTGGAAAATACAAAAACTTTTTTTTGAACTTTTACAATTTGAGACAGCAAATCTGATAGAATTTTTTTTGTACTCCTGGTACTGACAGTGCAACAAGGTGGGTTCTGGGATACACACCATGAAAAAAATCAATGACATTCAGTTTTTAACAATGAAATTTGGATGACTTTTTTTGACTGATTTGACTTTCACCCCATAAAGTGGAGTGAAAAACTGTTATTCTTACTCTTTTCAAAGAAGCAAGGAAACTTGTATCTGGCTTATTCTCTTCCTGAAACCAATTTGCTCCAAATTCAAATGAATTGACTACGCATCTTATTGTCCATGGGATGTTGCGGGGCAGATTAGTTGCCCTATTTTGCCTCAAACGTTCTTTTTTTTGTTATCATTTATATTTGGTAAAGCACTTTAAGACATTTAAGTTAACATAAATGTGTGTGTGTATATATGTTATTAATTATCATTTCTTCAACTATGTCTGTGATTACCTTTTCCTTCTCTACCCTCCCTGCTCATTGTCCAGCACCATCTCTGTAAAGCATTTTTTGGAAGTTAGCTTATGTGAAAGGCACTAGTAGATGAAAGTTATTTATAAGGGTGTTATAAATCTGAAGATCTAGAGATCTGAAACCTTTCGGATTTGCAGTTGTTTGGACTGAGAAACGGGAGTTGTTTCTGACGTAATTTGACTATGGGTTTCAAAATACATTTGTAAGGGATCAACAGTGAAGTTAACATTTTATTTGTGTGTTTTTATTATACCTAAATCTTCTGTGGAACTTGAGTACATATTACTATTCAGTAACAATTACAGTAACGTAAATGTATGTTTTTCTTTAATGTAGGTTGCCAAAGCCGCTTTCCAAAGAAATAATGATCCCTTAGATGCAGCCATATTTTATCTTGCAATGAAGAAAAAGGCTATATTGTGGGGTCTTTTCAGGTGAGTTTGTTTTATGTGAATCATACAGCTGAGTTTTGTTCCTCAGCAATATCATAGGAGTTTGTCAAGTTCCTCAGCAGCATAAATATGTTTTGCCTGTGTTTTTTTGTAGCTGAAGGCATTGATGGTAAGAAGTATTTTGTACTTTATATTAGCAAACAGTGTAAGTATTTTTGAAAATAAATTCCAGTTGTGCTGGGTCCTGGAATTGATGAATCAACTTTTTTTTAGAGATGAAGTGCTTTCATGTCTTCTCATCAATCATATTTTCATGACCAGTATTAGTGGGCGGTTCATTGTCCAATATATTAAACCTCTGAAAACTTGTGGTATCATTTCAAATAACAGCCTGTTCTTGGCACGTATCAGCAGTCAAGTCATAGTAGTATTGTTTGGGAGCAGGGGCTCTCATTTACAGATTGTGGAAGCATAGTAAATGATGAGAAAAGGAAAAGCACAAATATTAGTTAAGAGAATTTCTCCATCAAAATAGTCTTACAAATGAATAATATAATCCACATGCTAAATCCACTCATCTTGCTAGGTGGAGTGACAAGGGAGTAAGTATGTGATTGGATGAGTTGTGGATGAAGGATGCCCCTTGGTTCATTTATCTTATATTTCCAGAATAACCTGAAGCTGGGTCTTAAATGTGTCCAGCAACATAGTCTCTATTAACCTTTCCAGTAATAATCCCAGCTACCTTCTATGTAAAGAAATACTTTTTGCAGTCTGTCTTGATATTGCCATTGACTATCTTGAACTTGTGATCTCTTGTCCTGCTGCCGCTGCATACTTTACTCTAAAATATTTCCCATCTTATATCTCTATAAATTTCCTCTGATGCATCTCTTCTCAATGCTAAAGAAGCCTATCTGATCCAGTTATTTCTTTTAGCTTGTTGTCTAAGTGGGGATCAACCTGGTTGCTCCCAACTGGGCAGCAAAATTGCATTTTGCAACACAAATTCTACCCAGTATTTCATGTTCCAGGTGCAGTTTGAGAGCTGTACTATGACTTTAGAGGATTATAGTACATCCTGTTTGCCTTATTTACTGTTGCCACATGTGCTATGAGTGACAAGTCAACTACTATCATTAGGTACTATTATTTTCCTCCTAGGCAAGTTGTATCCCATACAAGGAGGTCAATATACCTCTTATTTTTATATCCTAAATGCTATATGTTGGAATTATCTGAATTGATCTTCATTTGCCAGTGATCAGCCCAGCTGCGTACCCTTATCAAGCTCTCTTCACAAGATCTTGGTTGCCGCTTCTGATTCCACAGTTTTCCACAAATTTAACTACATTGCGCTGAATCTACAAATCCAGGTCATTTATGTACTGTGAACAGGAGTCACTTGTGACCTCATAGCCACCTCACTCTAGTCTACAATCTATTCAAAGTACAATGTTAAGTGCACATTTTTTCTGAGAATAATTTTCTGTCATTTCAAATAACATACATCAATTGATGAATCTTCCTGATAATCTTTTATTCTCTGTATCTATATACAGAGTCCTGTAGCTCAGTGGTTAGAGCACTCGTTTTGCAAGCGAGAGACCTGAGTTCAATTCCAGACAGAGCAAAACCTTGGGCAAGTTTCCTTACTCCACACGCCTCATAATAATCCCTCCAAAACCAAAAACAATAATAAATTGGTCATTTTCAATCTACGACTGTTTGTGGGACATTGCTGTGTGCAATTGGCTGCTGCGTTCGCCCACAAATATACAGTCAATTCACTTTACAGTGTGTTCTGTGCAGCGCTTTGGGACGTCCTCCTGACGTGAAAAGCGCTATATCAAATGCAAGGATTATTATTATTATATATATATATACATAGTGTGTGTGTGCATGTGTGTGAGAGAGAAATTCATAGCAAGTAATAAAAACTATAATTCTTACATCAATATAGCACCTTTCATGTCAGGAGATTTGTTTCAAAGTGCTTCATGGAATATACTATAAAGAGGAGTGGCTCGAAGCAAACCAACCAAAGCATTGAATACATGGAGTTCACCAGTACTTAGGTTAGAAGCCTAATACTACTAATAATTATTGTTTTGTTTTGCTATTGTGCAGGTCTCTTCAAGACAAAAAAATGACAGAGTTTTTTGGAAAGAATTTCACCGATGACAGATGGAGAAAGGCTGCATTGAAGAATGCCTTTGCTTTATTGGGTAAACAGCGATTTGAGCAGTCAGCAGCTTTCTTCCTTTTGGCTGGTTCTCTTAAGGATGCTGTTGAGGTAAACCAACAGTAAATTGCAATTTATGGAATTAACACACCAAAATTATGGTCATGATGAACAAAAACCTCAGCAAAAGTTGATAGTTTTTTTGTTAAGAAAAGACAAATGAGCGAAGAAATGCTAGCACAATAATTAAACTATAATTCCAGCTTTAAACTCCAAACTTACTTGAGGTTCCTTGTTTTACAAATGCAATTTTTATATTCCAGCATGAAATTTCTTACTGTTAAGTATTAAACTTAATTCAAGTACAAGTACTAGAAAATGCAAGATAAGGTTGTGGCACTGGTAAACTGAATTGTAGAATGGAACATGATGGATTTGAACTTCAAAACTTGACACAAAATATTTTCAAACTGGTTATACATTTTCCATTGGAATTTTAAAATTTGTATAAGTTACTTAGAATAGTTAGGAGTAGTTTCATACCAGCTGTAAGGTCATGAGTTGCATACTTCTTCGAATCAGGCTGAGTATTTGTGACTTTGCCCAGATGGACCCTTAAGATGTCAGTCTAGCTTAGTTAGTTGCACTCTCGCCTCTTAAATCAGAAGTTGGGCTTAAGCCCCAAGTTGGAATGTTGGACTTGCATATGATAGGCGAACACTCAGATGCTGTGCTGGGAGTGCACTGCATTGCTGACGGTGCTATCCTCCGGATGAGATGTTAAACCAAGCTCCTCTCTGCCTGCTCAAGCAGATGTGAACAATCCTATAACGCCTCCTGAAAAGGAAGGGAAATTCTCCTCAGTCAACAATTCCCCAGCTAAAATTCTTTCACTTCATGGTTGTTTGTGAAACATTGCTGTGGTGAATTGCTTGTCACATTTGTCTGCAAATGCACAGTCAGCTTTACAGTATATCCTGTGAAGCACTTTGAGTCCCCCGACATGAAAGGCGGCGCCATACCAAATGTAAGGATTAGTATTGTTTTCCACAACGTCTGCACTTAAACTTCTTTCAAATAAGTCGCTGTAAAATTGATTTCAATAGTTCAAATCATTCACACTCTTGAATTGTATGAAATAAGACCACCTGTTTGACTATGATTGAGGGGAGAGGATAAAACTAACCATGGTACAGCAAGGAATCGCAATTTAGCGTAATCCTGCTCTCTCTTGATCAATCAGGAGAATAACCCGAGCTCCCCTCTTTAAATTCAAGGCGCTAAAGCTAATTGTACCATCTACTGTCAGTGACTTGAGATCAGCTACCTCAGCACAGACTGCTTCAGTTTAACTCGGGATAGCTGGTCCACTAGTGGTGATCTTGAGTATTTCTGTTTAAAAATGGTAACATGGGAACAGAGTGCCAAATACAAAGTTTTGTGTACACATGAACACATGCATAGTTTATCAGGAATATTGTTCCTCTTGTGTGTGATATCAGTTCAGTATTGTACAACTAAAGAAATAATCACCTTATCTGAATTTTCACATAGTTAAGGATGAAATCGACTTTTTTCCCTTAGGTTTGTCTTGAAAGACTTCATGATATTCAACTAGCTCTTGTAATATCCCGCTTGCATGAATCTGAATTTGAAGTTTCATCCACCTACAAATCCATACTCTTTCGAAGATTGCTGGGATTTGATACGAAGAGTAAAGAATTGAACCCATCTTTCATGCACCCTGATCCTGTCCTTCGGAGTATGGCTTATTGGATATTAGAAGATTACACAAATGCTCTGACTACTCTATTGGAGCAAGGAATGAGAGAAACTGATGACTGCAATGGAACAACAGGTACTGAGCAAAGAGAAACGTAACTTTTTCTGTTAAATTTGTATTGCATTATACTGTGTTTTTGCTAACATAGTATATTCCAACAAAACATTTGTTGCTGTTAATTTAACTCATTGAAAATATATTATTTTGAACTTTTTGCTCTAAATTGTTTCAAAATTGCTATGTGTCTCATAATTGCAGACTAGTCAAAACCTGAGCGACAGTGACAAAAATGCAGTTACATGCTTGCATGAGAATTGCAAAATTGCACACATGAGTGTGACGTTACCAAGAATGCGAGAGAGAGTTACGGAGAGACAAGTTTAGAGAAACTTTGAGTGAGATAGAGGGGTTGGAGGTGTGAAATGGTGATCAAATAATCCTGTGCTGCTGGGAGTGAAATAATCTTTTTATTGAATATATGTTAAAATTAATAAAAATTCAGAACAAGCCATTAGCCATTATTGAAAATTGTTAAACTGAACTGTATTCGTGATTTTAAAAAAAGAGTTTAAATCTAACATTAATGACCTACTAATATAACCATTAATATTCCTTTGGTCTCTTTCAGAAGAGTGCGACAACTCTGCGTCATGTAACCCTGGAGTATTTAATTTCTACAACTATTTGCGCACCCATCCTCTTTTGATGCGACGGCACTTTGCTTCCTCTGAGAAGACAGCCACCCATATGGGTTTAACAATGGAAAGTGGCCTGGCCGATAAGATCAGTTTGGTTGAAAGAAGACTGTTCTTTACAACTGCAAATGCACATTTTAAAGCTGGCTGTCCCATGTTAGCCCTTGAAGTCTTATCCAAAATGCCAGCAGTCAACATGAAGTCGCAGGCTTCACAGAACAAAGGAAGTTCTCGTTTAACTAAGTTGTCATCTTCAGTGGAAGAATCGGAGCAAAAATCTTTTGATTTGGACAGGTCCCTTCCAGTTTTAAATGGTTTTGGACATAAGGCCACTTCAAATTGGATGTCAAGTGGACAATCGGATTCGTCTCTTAGTTTTGACTGGAGTTGCTCCTCTCAGACTATTGAAGAAGAGCCTTTGGAGCTAAAATGGGACAGCGATAAGGAAGATGAAGAGGAAGAACCTGGCTTAGCAATGAAGGAAATTACGCTACAATACCCGGTTGCAGAGAAAACCAAAGAAGAACATCACAATAATACACATTTTTCCTCCTCTTATGGTGATGCTGATGATTATTTAAGTCCATCAAAAGATGTAATAGCAGCACAACTCAAGTTTGGAGCTTGCTTAAAGATACTAACAACAGAGCTGCGTACATTATCCACGGGTTATGAGGTTGATGGTGGCAAACTTCGTTACCAATTGTACGATTGGCTGGAGAGAGAAATTCTAGCTCTACAGAAGACCTGTAATTATAATATTGATGTGGATGGTTTGAAAAATGGTTTTGAAGAAACCCTGGATAAAATGACAACCAATGAACAGACGGAAAATGAAATGTATGACCAGGAAAGAGCAATACGACAGCAAGACTATTTGCAACGGAAGCGGCTGTGGCTGCGGAAAAACCAGCCACTTCTGCGAATGTTTCTTAGCTACTGCAGCCTTCATGGGTCTCATGGTGGTGGTCTTGCATCAGTCAGGATGGAGTTAATTCTTCTTTTACAGGAATCACAGCAGGTATTCATGTGTTGTAAAAATAACATTTAAATATACATTATTCCCAATCCGAGAAAGTAAGCAGAGGACTTGCTTCCGGGCCTTTATGCTCTATTCGCTTAAACCAGCAGCTACAAATTAAATTAGAATAATGCAGGTGACTTGCCAGTTTTTTTTCCTCCATCCTATGGGGATAGATGTGAAGAATTGTAAGTGGAATACTTCTGCTGCATTAAGAGGTATTCAGTTTTCAAAACTTCAGAAGTCTGAAAAATGTCGTGGCTGTAGCCTTAAGACCCACTTCTTAAAATATGAAATCTTGCAGAATTTTTAAAAGTTCTCAAATTCTGTCCTAATTTATTCTGCAGTTCTTTTTAAGAACAGCAGAGAGCAGGCTTTCAGATTGTATCTAGTTCAGTACTAACCACTTATTTTGATATTTTACATTTAGGAACATTCTGTGAAGCAGTTTGCTAATCCTTTGCTACAACCTGCATCTATACCGCTCCTATTTGCTAGCACGGCAAGTGCAAAAATAGTTGTAGCCAACCCTGTACTCCATCTGAGTAACCTTACACATGACATCCTGCACACCATTGTGGAGTTTGATTCTCCTCCACATCCAGACATCAAAAACAGTCAGGTTGGTATTTATTTGATCACAGTATATTTTGCATACTTAAAAATGTACATATTTTTGACAAATGGATAATGGCTATACTGTTTGCAATACTTTTGATATGAAATTTAGCTATAAAAAGAAATCTATTGATGATTTTAGTCACTCGGAGCATTTGTTTCAAGTTATAATTATGCCCTCTAGTATACTTTTACACAAAGGTAAAGCCTATTGCTCATGTCAGTCATCTTACGTTTAAACTTTATTTCAAAGATGGTTTTGCTCTTTGGATTTGATAGCTCTCTATCGCCTCTAAATATCTGTGTTTCACAAGTAATTACTGTCAAGTGTGGTGGGTTTTTGTTTGTAGAAAAGTACAACAGCCATTTTGCATACAACAAGATAACATTCCCAATCTGAGGTAAAAATGAGAAATGTCATTGCATTGCTGTTGAGAAATTAGATCTAACAGCAAGGATCAAAGACAAAATTATGTATCCTGTGTATTTTGACAAAGTTGTGTTGCTGGTAGTTTTGTCAGAGTGAAGCAGAATGTTCTTTTTTTTTAAAATGCTTGGTTTAAAAACTCCCGTTATACAGACACACACTTTGTGTTCAATAACTTGTCAATAATTATCTCCATAAAATTGCCAATTCACAATCATTAACAGAGCGAACTACATAGCGTTGAATTTTCATTTAGATATTGGAATGATATTGTTATTAGGGTTAACTCCAGCAAAGAGCTGGAATTGTTGTTGAATGGAAGGGTCTGTATTGTACAAATAGATTTAGAAAAAACAATTAATCATTTGTGCATCAATTTAGGGCCTATTCAGTTTCAACAGAGAACAATGTGAGAAGCTTAACTGTTAACTCTTAACTGTTTGTCAGTTACGTTATTTTTACTACCTCGTGCCAAATTTAAGTTCTGGTATACAATCTCATTTTTGTCCTGTTGGCAAAAGTCTCACTTTTACTACATCTGGAACAGTCTTTATTTGTGGAGTCCTGTAGCTCAGTGGTTGGAGCACTCACTTTGCAAGCGAGACACCTGGGTTCAATTTCAGGCAGAGGGCGAAACCTTGGGCAAGTTTCCTTACTCCACACACCTCATAATAATCACTCGAAAACAAACAATAATAAACTGGTCATTTTCAATCCACTACTGTTTGTAGGACACTGCTGTGTGTAATTGGCCGCCGTGTTTCGCCCATAAATATACGGTCAATTCACTTCACAGCATATTCTGTGAAGCGCTTTGAGTCATCTAGAAGATGTGAAAAGCGCTAATCTAATGCGAGGATTATATTATTACTTCCTTATTCATGTTTTCACAGTATTGAAAGATTGTTACCAGTGGAAAAGCTACTGTAGCTCTTTTTTTTCCCAATTTGCTAAGGCAGAGAGAGAGCTTTGAGACATCTTGATGATGTGATAAGGTGCTATATCAAATGCAAGAACTATAATTATATTATTATAAGGTGCTATAAGCTCTTAGCAAGCTCTTACTTTTGCTGTGTAAATATTACACATTCGCCAGTTATCTATTTTCAGAGTTAGCACCTAGATCTGTAAATTAGATTCCAAGTAATAAACGTCTAAATAACCGAATAGTATAATAGTATTTGAAACATCATTATTAGTATTTATTCATATCAATAACTGTTAGCAGCATTACCACTACACATCTTGTAACTAAAGCTTTGTGCCTCAAGACCCTTCTCTTCGACCATGCCATCGGCCACCCCCCTGCCCCTCCCCTCCCTTCCCCACCCAACCCCACCTCCGGTCTGAAATGTCCAGTGCCTTGGGACGTCCTCCCGACGTGAAAGGCGCTATACAAATGTAATCTTGTTGTTGTTGTAATGTATTTTAGGTAGAAGTTTGTTTTGCTCATGTTATAGTAAAATGAATATCTTCCATGGTTCATCTGACCTGAATTTGATGTTTAATAATTTTTCTTCTCTAGATATACGTAATGCACACTGTAGCAGCTTCTCTTTCTGCATGCCTCTATCAGTGTCTTTGCAATGGCCACAGTTACAGGTAAGTGGAAATGCTGGTGCTATGCAATGATGGAGAAATCAAGAATGAAAGTCTAGTTTCCAGGAAATATTTCCAAAACATTATTTCCTCCACTCCCTCTCCCAGCATTGCATAATGAAGCTCTTTCTCATTGTGTTACATATTCTCCACTTCTATTCCTATTTAGGTGCTTTCTTGTTCTCTTAGCTTTTTTTAAACATATATACACACTTCTCTGGCCCTTCTTTGTGTACAATTCATTTTGCATATACGGCCTCTGCACCAAACAATTTTTTGCACATATATGAACTCTGTCATTCTGCATATATCTGCATGTCTCCTCCTTCACAAAGTTAGTGCCAAGAAATTGAATTCCAAATTTAGCAGAATATTCTGTATGAAGGAGAGGCTGTTAAGTAAAACAAAAATGATGTAATGGATGGGTAAACAATGTGAAGTAATAAACCAGTTGATATTCTAATGAAGAAACCTTTCTCACCTTTCTTTCAGTTCTTCATATGCAAACCGATTCACTGGAATGGTCTATCAGGGCTTTTTCTTTACACAGCAACGCTCACACAGAGCAGCAAGTTTAGATGGCACAGTGTCTCCCAATACATCCCCTCATCAGTGGCCAGGTATTCATTATTAATCATTTTGTTTGGTATGGAATCCAATATATAGTTGAATATACTGGTAATACAGTTCATTCAACCTCCACATAAACGTAAATGGCTTGTCAGTTAAATTGATTAAGTTGACCACCAAGCTACTATCAATTTGAATTTAGTTGGAGGCCTCTTGTGTGTGAATTGTGGCTTCAAGCCTCAAGTCAGGACTTTGAGCTTATTGTTTAGTCTAACAGTCCAGTGCAATGTGGTGTTGGAAATGCCGTCCTTCAAATGGAATGTTAAACTGAGGTCCAGTCTGCCTGTCCAGGTGGACATTAAAGATCCCATAGCACTATTCTAAAAGTTTAACCCAGTTTTCCACCCATATATATATATATATATATATATATATGCATATATATATATATATGCATGCATGTGTGTGTGTGTGTGTGTGTATATATGTATATATATATGCATATATACATACACACACATATATATATATATATTTATAGATAATATACATTTCTTCAACTCAAAGTGCACATAGATCCTTTTTGTGGAAGAGTACCCAGCTACTTTCATTATAGTACCAGTTTGTTGTTTAAGCTTTTTGGGGGCTGATTAATTTTGCAGTTTTGCTGTTTTATTATACCATTTTAATACTGAGTCAAAAGGTTGTGGGTTCAAGCCTTCTGTCTGGAATTTGAACTTACAGAATAATTCAACCTGCTACATTGGTTCCATAGATTCCCTGTTTTGACCTACAATTCAATGTATCCACCAGCTTCCTTGTTACCTTTCACTCTTTTGATTAAGGATTCCTCTGAGTTTGCAGGACTATCCTGCATGAAAATTGCTACGTAAATGCATGTTGTTGAAAGGCAAAAAAAGAGTCTGAGGAGCATTATTAATGGGTGAAAGAGTAGGATCAATAATGTATTTTTTTGTTTGTTTTGAGATCCCTGTATGTATTTAATCCCAATATTTTGATCCGCAGGTATAAAGCAGTTAATCCACCTATTAAATTCTGCTGGGGACGAAGACAGGCCCAAATTAGCAGTCCTGCTGTGTGAGGTCTTGACTGCAGTTTACTTCAGTCTTTTTGCTCATGGCCTGGCAACACATGCCAGCAATGAGCTTTTCCGACTTGTAGCTCATCCTCTTAACAGCAACATGTGGGCTGCAGTATTTGGTGGAGGTGCCCAAGTTCCTGTGAAAAGCAACAGCCAGTCTACACATAGTACAGGTTTGTGTGGCATAACTTTTTTTCCAAAAAATATGCACTGATTGGTATTTGTATAAAATTTCAGTTTTATTATATATTAACTGCAAGTATACTTCTCAATAATCAAGACAATATTATACACAAAGTAAAAAAAACTGAAAACAATTTCTATCTCATTGTATTACTGGATGAAAAATTGCCTTGATGGCGATTTTTTAATATATCTACAAGTTTTCTCTTGTAGCATCTGTAGAATGATAAATTCTGTTCCTAAAATGTGTCTTTTAATGCGTCTGTTTGGCTCAGTTGGTAGCACTTTTGACTCTGGGCCAGAAGATTGTGGAATCAACCCTACAATCAGGACTTGAGCTAACCGTCCAGTTCATTAATGGGGGAGTACTGTATTGTTGGGGGTGTCAACTTTTGAATGAGATGTTAAATTGAATTCCCATCTGCCTGTTGTGAAAAATCCTATGATACTACTTGAAAAAAGAAAGGAATTCCTGGTGCCCTAACCAATAACTCTCCAGATAAATTGGCTGTTCATCTTGTGGCTGTTCCCCAGGTTTGTTTATGATGTTTATGATGCAAATGACTGTTGTGTTTACCAAATCATCAACATCATTGCAGTAATGACCAATAATGATTTTATAGATATCCGATTCTTATGATCTCCTTAAAGCCCTTCATTTCATCAATTGATCATTATTATTTTCTCTAATTTAGCATGTCTCTGAATGAAACAAATGAAAAATCACTGAAGCCTTGGCTCCACATTTACTCTGGTCTTTCAGGTTTTTTTAAAAAAAATTCTTCCAACTTAATGGTCTTAAGTTTTGAACTGTTTTCTCTTGTGAGTATCACTAACTCAGAAGTACGCTTAAGGTGCAGTTTCATAGTAATTTGTGTTTTTTTGTGTTTATATTTATTTCAGTGTATTGTCTTCATATATTGTCCAGTAGTAAAGTCTTGACACTTGTGCTCATCTATTTTGACAGGAAGGTGCTCACCTGAGCATAGCCCACGGCAGCTAGTAGTGTACTCCATGGATTGTGTGCGTTTTTCAAAAGCTCTGTCAGTCTTCAATCCTGACTCTCCTGCAAGTGCAGCAGGCAAGCCTAATGGAACTTGAGTGTTTAATATAGTGCCTGCACCGAGGAACCCAGAATAATACTGCGAAAGCTCCTTACAGTTTTGGGTTCTGTTAGTCTTTCATAATCCCTTGCTGGCTTTGATCTGTGTTTGGGTGTGCTTATGAGAAATTAAACCTAAATTTCTAACATGTTTTGCCTTAAATGTAACTGGCTTTTTTAAAATCAAAGCAAACAAAAAGTTAAGTTGCCTGCCCATCTACACAATCCTATTGTAATATTAGAATTTGTAAGTTTACATGCCCTTGTTGATAAAATAATAGACTAGGCATTCTAACTATGGCACCATTTGTCCATGTGATGTGTGTGATTGCTATTCCACACACAGAATGGTGTTTTATAGTTTTCGGCACATATACTAGCTGCACCTCTTGCATTTACACTTACAACCAAAGGATCCAGTATGAATGTAAATTGACACACAGACAGACATTTCATCTTTATCTATACTCATCTGGGAGGACTCCTTTTGGGAGGACTCGGCGCTTTAAAAATGTAATTTTGTTGTTGTTGCCATGTCTTAGCTTCGTCTGTGTTCTTTATTTGTTTCCACTGCTTGGCTATGTGCGTGCTCTGTGATGCAGGATGCCACAGCGCCACGGTCAGCCGGCGCAGCCGCCGAGTCTAACTGCAGTGTGTGCGTACATATGTCGATGCTCTGTGACGTACGTTGCCCAGCCCCACTTTAACTCGGTGGCCAGCAGGTGTAACTGCAGCGAAAAATGCAAACTGAAAATAACTCATGAACGATAGGAAATACCGGAAAACAAATATGCCCATCTCAACTACCAGGTGCAAGATATTTCCGATGAGGTATAAATCATGTTTCTGTGGCAATTGGTTATTGAGATCCTCCTTGAAGCACAGACATTATTGTTTTATTTATATTTTATATATATATAGAAGATAGATGTATCAGCTGCACCAAACCTTTTTAGAAATGTTTTGATTTGTTTTATTTAAACAATGAACTTTGCCGTTTCTGGTACTTAGAAGGTCAGAAAAATATTCTGGTTATGGTCTATGTTTTTCTATTTTACCAAAAAATTTAAACTGTTTGGTGATCAGGGGATCAGTAAATGTTGCACCTGGGAATCAGTTTGCTGAAGGCATCAACATTTATTACTGATATGTCAGTTCTCTTCATGGCTCAGTAAAGTCTTCCAGTATTTCCAATTAATGTCTGGATCTCAATGTATGTTCAACAAGTTGGGAGCAATTGCCAAACAATTGGTCCTGAACTGAAAAATATAGCCAAAGACTTCTTCAGTTAAATTCAATGCAATAGTATAATGATAGGCTGAGTAGACTGGAGTTATACTTTCTAGAGTTGAGAAGGTTGAATTTGAGGAGTGATCTGATTGAGGTGTTTAACACCATAAAGGGAATTGATAAGCATAATAGAGAATTACTCTTCCCTCTGCAGGATGGATTCAAAACAGAAAAGTCTTAAAGTAAGAGCTAAAACAGTTAATAGGAGGATTATTTATTCATATAAAGGGTGTAAGAATGAGGTGTTTTGCCCTTGAATTCTATAAATGCAGTATTTGTGCTTTTGAAAGGACTGATAGTTTTTTGGGAAGAGTATTAAGAGGTATGGAGAAAAGCAGGAAATTATTAAAAGATCTGCCGTGTTCTAATAAAATGGTAGAATAGGATTGACGAGCTAAATAGTCTTTCATGGTCACAATGTGAAATCATTAAAGAATTGCTGCTCGACAAATTATTCCCACCAGAGTGGTGTTTTAACTGATGGTTTAAAATAACAGGTTCAGGAACTGGTTTGGGTCCATACAAACAATGGTAACAAAAGTCATTCTACAATAACAACAACAAGATTACATTTGTATAGCGCCTTTCACGTCAGGAGGACGTCCCAAGGCGCTGGACAGTGTACAGCATTTAAGACCTGAGATGGGGTCGGGGAGGGGAAGGGGGATGGCCGATGGCATGGTCAAAGAGGAGGGTCTTGAGGAGGGAATTGAAGGAGGTTAAGGAGGGGGCGAGGCGGAGTGATTGGGGGATGGAATCCCAGAGGTTGCCCTACAATTTAAAATGGGTAAAATAGTCTTTGTTAAGCTAATCTGAAAATACAATATTGAACACCCCAGTGTCATAACTACAAATTTGGTTATAGGGGGATTCAGGACTGGAATTAAAATTTAATTGAAAAAATGTCACAGAAGATTTGTTAGACTTAATATTATTACAGTTAATCTGGAGTCATCACTCCAAGGGGAATAGCCTCAGTGACTAGTTATCCGGAGTGGCACGTTCGGCATAGGTCTTCCCTAGCCACAAGGGGGCACTGTGACTGGCACTCGGAGGAGCTTGGGGGCACATGCTCAGATGTATCCCAGACGTCTCTGATCTATTGAAGGGCTGCACCGTGGCTTCCTGCCCTATCCTGTCACAGAACGAGTTATCCAATCCATTTTACAGGGTGATGTAATTTGCACTATGATGCACCATGTACATGTACAGCAGGAAATCTGGGGATCCATAATAGTTTTGACCAATAAAAAGTTTTTATTAACTATAAATTTAATCAATCCTTTTTGTTGGTTAATTACATAATTAAGGGCATGTTTTACACATGGTGGACAAATGGTGCATAATTGATTCCCTGTATGAAAGTTTGATCGGACATGTAAAAGAAAAGTGGGCAAGTGGGTATTGCAAAAGCAAAGATACTATATCTTTAAAGGAACAGACATGCCTGGTTTACTACCAATAATATTCTCTCATGAGTTTATCTGCTGAATCCAATACTTGTGAAAAATGATTAATTGAAAGAAGTTAAGGGTGAAATAGTTTATGAAAAATAAATCTTTCTGTCAAAAAGGATAAATGTTTCATTTCAAGTCCTTATGGGGAAGTTATTGTAGTTGCAAGGAAACAAATTGAATTAAGGAAAGGAAAATATTTGAAAAAAAACTATTGCTTTTTTAAACAATTAACCCAGTTCTATTAATATCATTGTGAGTTAGCATTACATGTTAGTTAATGGGCTTTTGCATTAGACTAGTGTTTTGATATAATGTAATCTCTGTGTACAGAGTGGAAGAAAAGCATGCTCAATCTATTTATAACTGATGATATATGGTTCTGTTTCAAGTTCTTTTATTGAGTTAGGGGAAATTGAATAAATCGATAATCCTTCAATGAGAATTCTAGAATCATCATGGGGATCTGAGTTAAATATTGATGGATTTTGTTTACTTCTATCATTGAGAATAATATAAGTACTTCTCCTGTCATTTCTTCGCCATCTCATTTCTAGCATTCTCTTCAGCCAACATTCCTGATTCATTTCTGTGCAAGTAGATGCTGTGATTCTGTGCTCCTGCTTATCTATCAGAAAAAATATATAGTTTTCGCTTAGTTACAGGCAAAACAAGTTGATTTAAGCTGGTAAATACAAAATATATTTTTTAACTAAAGTCTAACCATGAATGAATTTGAAAAGTCTAACTTCTGAAGTCCTGGTCCATTGTAAGTATTCCTTTTATGAATATCGTGGCTACAGATGCAGTCATTTTTCTCTGAAACAACGTCTTATTACTGAGCAAATTTGGACACCTTTTTAACATATTAACTGAATGTTTCTGTATTGCCCATCAAATTGGATTCATCTGCTGAAAGGTATTAATTTTGCTGTTTGGGTCCTGCCCAGAAGGACTATTTCATTAAATCATAGAAATTTACAGCAAAGAAAGGAAGCAATTCTACTCAAGTCTGCACCAGCTTTTAAAGCAAGGTGTTCACTACTCTGCCTTATCCGCATACCTCTTCAAGCCTCTATTTCATTTTGTAATATGATAGGAAGGAGGAAAAATACTGGCCTTTCATCTTTGGGATCAGATTTAGTTCCAAACAGACTATTTGGAATGAAAGCCTCAGCACTTCTCGATCAGTCAGGAATGAGTTGCGGGGCAATCTGAACTTAGTTTGTAATGATAATAAGGACAAAGCACAAAACTGCATAAAAAATGCCATATATTAGTACTAAATTAACAGTGTCAACGAGATAATAGTTGACATTGGAAATGGAAGCATGTATACTCATAGTCTGTGAAATAGGCATAAATAAAGGAGACTTTACTAGGGCTAGCTTTAAAGAACGTAACAGATCTAACAATGGGTACTGGAATCTGGGAAAGTAATTATTCCTTACGTTGATGAGCACTGAAAATTACCAATATGTGATATTTCACTTCCAGTAGAAAAGATAGTTCGGCAAATCAATTTGAAGTGCAGGAGTAAAGAAAAACAAAGTTGTTCGTATTCTGGTCTTATGTCTTACCTGGATGGCATATACTGTGAGAAAGTTTATTTGTCAAACATAGAAAAAACTGTCGGTCCGAAATAATGCATTCATGTGTTAAAAATAAGTTACTAAGTAAGTTTTTTGCCTCAGGTTTTAGTAAATACAAGATAAGAAATTTATTGGATCTGGAAAGAGAACTCAGTTGTGTTGCAGAGGCAATTTGTGACACAATACGTATAACTACCAACATGGTTGCCAAACAGCTGTGCAAACATAAGGTAAAAAAATCCCATGGGGGCGGATAAATTGCATTTGAGGATTTTTAAGGAACCAAGGGAGGAAATTGCAGGAACTCTGGCACAAATCTTTCAGAAAGCACTGGATACTGGAGAGGTGCCTGGGGACTGGAGTAAGGCAGATATTACTCCTTTTTTTAAAAATGTAGCAGAAATGACCTAGGAAACTACAGTCCAGTGAGTTTAACGTCTGTTTTGGGTCAAGTTATGGAGACTCTTTATTAAAAATAAGACCATGGAGCATCTGGACAGTAATAATATGATAAAAGATAGCTAATATGGGTTTAAGAAAGGGAGATCCTGCCAAACTAATTTACTGTTTTTCTTTACTGTGTGACAAGGGAGCTTGATAAGGCTAAGACAGTGGATGTTGTATATCTGGACTTCAGTAAGGCCTTTGATATAGTTCCTCATGAAAGGCTGGTACTGAAAATAAAGAAAGCGGGAATCAGAGGCAGTATCTTACAATTGATTTGTAATTGGCTGACTGATAGAACCCAGAAGATAGTGGTACAGGGAATGTCATCAGGCTGGGAGAATGTTACCAGTGAAGTTCCACAGGGGTCTGTTTTGGTACCTCTTTAATTTGGCATCTTCATAAATGACCTGGAGCTAGGAGTCACAAGCACAATGGCTAAATTTGCAGGTGACACAAAGCTATGGTCGACTGCAAAGATGAACAGGATAGGTTACTGGAGGACTTGAACATTCTTGGGAATTGGGCAGATCGATGGCAGATGAAATTTAATGTAGAGGAAGGAATGGAAAGAGCTTCACATTGGGACAAAAAAATCCAGGAAGGGACTATTATTTAAATGGTTAGAAAATAATCTGTATGGAAAATGAAAAGGACCTGGGATCCTGATTGATAATAAATTGAAGCTATCGCAACAGTGCTCGGTAGGAGTGAATAAGGCGAACCAGATGCTGGGCTGTATTAAAAGGGCATTATTGAACCAAAATAGTGGGGTATTCCTGTCACTTTATAAATCACTGCACTTGAACTACAGTGTGCAGTTCTGGTCACTGGAATATAAAAAGGATATTGCAGCAATTGAGAGGATAGATACAGAGAAGGGCAACCAAAATGATTGAGGAGATGGAGCGACTGGACTATGAGGAGCGATTAGATAAGGTGGACATATTCACACTGAGAAGAAAAGGTTGATGCTTGATACGATTATGATTTAAGATTCTAAAGGGAATAGATAATGTAGAACATCATAAAACCATACGTTTTATCTCGTACTCAACAGTAAAACCAGAGGACATGGCCTATGATTTAAGGGGTAAATTCAGAACAAATCTGCAGAAACACTACTTCAGTGAGCAAATAGTAAACTTATGGAACAGGCTTCCTTGGGAGACAGTGGAAGCAGAAAATGTTTTTTTGTAGATTTCTGCTAGAAAATAATATCTCGGGACAAAGCATATAGTTTGCTACACGACATGTCAAGCGACTGTTAGGATGATGGAAGGCAAACTAGATGGACCTTGATCTACTTTCACCTAGCAAATTCTTATGTCCTAAAACTAGGTTGAATGTACGAAGAGTTTCTGCTGACTGTTAGAGCAGGATAGACACTCATCAGATTGTGCAGGGCACTAACTCATCTCTCTTTTTTGGCTGCCAGACTCAATGGTCAGAAAATATCCCAAAGTGGGAAGAATGCTGATTTTAAACTACTAGGGTATTATAATTTGCATGCACTTTTTAAAGTGGATATTGTATTGCCTGCTTTCAAAGAAAAATTATTTTGTTTCTGATTCTAGTTTTGTTTGTTTTATATATTTCTTCACTTTCACACCCTTTTCATTGCTTTCCCAACAAAGATAAAGATACGGTAAGGGAATTTTCTCACCCAGAGCTCCAGCTTGATCCCTATCAATTCAGTGTATCTGAGTCTGATATAGCTCAGGTTACTGGTGAGGTTGGTGAGTAAGTACTAATGCCTACTATATTTGTGTTACAGCTGCAGTAGTTGCATTGCAAAGTAAATACTAGGCATGTCTGCAGCTTGGAAAGGATTGGTTTAATTTTCAACTAACACGTTGAAAAAATATATATTTCACTAACTCAAGATCTCCAGGTAAAGCTGACTGGTTATTTAGACAGTGGAAATTGTAAAAGGTTTGCCATTTGTTCGCATGCAAGGAAGTTCTCTTTAAACCGAAAATAGATTATAGAAACCATGTTAGCTGAATGTCAAATAAAAAGGACTTGGTGCATGGTATCATTTCAGCATATTTTGCACATGTACTGTCAACACTTCAATAGCATATTTTGTGTCTTGTCACTGATGCTTTCACTTAAGAGTCTTTAATGGAACAATGATTGAGTGATGAAAGCTGCTTAAAAAATAGGACTTAGTATTATCACACAACATTGCTTATTTTTTTTCTTGATGTGAAGAGATCAGGGGAAAATTGCAAAGAAATGTTGATTGATTAAGCAACAACAAGATTACATTTGTGTAGCACCTTTCATGTCAGGAGGACGTTCCAAGGCCTGGACAGGGTACAGCATTTCAGACCTGAGCTGGGGTCAGGGGGGGAGAAGGGAGGGGAAGGGGGTGGGCGATGGAATGGTCGAAGAGGAGGGTCTTGACGCGGGACTTGAAGGAGGCTAAGGAGGGGTTGAGGTGGGGTGATTGGGAAATGGAATTCGAGAGGTTGGGGGCAGCGTGGCTGAAGGCTCTCCCGCCACAGAACAATGAAAGAGGTTTACTTTGAAAAGTATGAGGGAGTACAATTGGAGCAGAAGAATAAAGATTGGGAGGATTTTCTAAATGGAAAAGCACTAGGAAGCGTAAATGAACAGACAGATCTTGGGGTTCAAGTTTCGATTATTAAAATCTAATTTGATGGTGGGGAACCGCAGACAATAACACAAATGGGATGTTGGTTTGTATTATTATCAGGACCTAATCATTGTTACTTCTCCAGTTATACAGTGCTCTTATCCAACTTCATATGTTTATTTTTAGACATCCAAACTTAGGAAGGATTCATTAGTCTTAGAAAGTATCTAAGACCAACTAGTTTAATTTTAACTAGACTGGGAGGGAAGGGTTTGACTGTGATAGGCTGGATAGTGTGGGATTATATTCCTTGGAGCAGAGGCGTATAACCCCATAAATATAAATTGAGATATTTTAAATACCTCAATTTCATTCAGTCAACATTTTGGGTCCACGACCCTTCATCAGAAAAGGAATTGATAGTTAGGTATTGGGTGACTTACTCTATACAGTTTACATAGAGACTTTCACATCAGGAGGATGTCTCAAAGCCCTTCCGATTGCTGGCTGTCATTCAAGCTGTGGGTGAGAGAAGAATGACCAAAACCATGGTCAAAGAGGTATGTCTTGAGGTCAGTTCTTCCCTTTGGTAGTAGGACCACTACATAGAGAAATAACCATAAAAACAGAACCAAGACTCCTGGAATTGCAGTTAAGAAGTGTTTCTTCACACAGAGTGTTGTAAACTGCCTTTACAACCACCTGAAGGTGAACTAGATGGACCTTAGTCTTTTTTTCATCTCGCATTTCTTATGTTCTTATGTAAAGGTATGGAATGCTCTGCCCCAGAAAGCTGCACAGGTGGAATCAATAGAGATATTTAAAGGACACATAGACACTTGGGTATTAGAGGTATTGAGTGGTGTGATGAAAGAATGGTTATTGGGATTAGAAGATCTGCCAAGATCTGATAAACTGGTAGAATGTGCTCAACTGGTTAAATAGCCTTCTCCTGTTTTCCTATGTTCCTGTTTGTGAATATTATTCTGATTATAAAATTAACTGTAATCCATAAACATATGTTAAATGGTATACAATCAAGACTGTGTTTCTGTCTGCTGTGGAATGGAGTTTATATCCAATGTGCTTGCATTTACCTCAAATTAACAGGTTTGGCTATGAATGAGCTTCACCTTAGGCTGTACATTTATTGTGCTGTATGCATAAGGAGTTTTCATGTGTTTGATTTAGAAAACTGGAGAAATCTTTTAAACTGTTATTACTCACGTATGCCTTCATTAATATTATTGTTAATGAGAGCCTGTCTGTTTAAAAAGAAAAATGGATTACTATATTACGGAATTAGATCCATAAATTCTGCCTGTTTTGTGATGTAAATGGTTCTCAGTATAAGAAGGCCAATAACTGAAGGAACACATTACACATTTTTCATTCAATGCTTCATTTACAGTGGTTGCTGCTCCTCCTGAAGATAAACGTCACAGTCGCTTCAAACTCTTGACGTCCCAATCAGAAAGCAGAGAGTTCAAAGCACCTGAGGTATCTGCCTCTCCCATTGTCAACCAGGAGCTTCCAAATTATAAAGAGAAGTTCATCCCACCCGAGCTCAGTATCTGGGATTATTTTATAGCAAAGGTAATGACTTCCTTTTTTCAAAAAAAATCATTGATGTACCTTTCCCTACATTGAAAATAAAAAGCTTGGCAGCCACTCCATATATTCACTGTGTGTGTCTGTATGTATGTATAGGAATTAGGAGCAGTAGTAGGCCATTCGGCCCCTCGAGCCTGCCCTGCCATTCAGTAAGATCATGGCTGATCTTCTAACCTAACTCCATCTGCTCGCCTTATCCTTTAATCTCTCTATCCTTTAGAAATCTATCAATATCAGTCTTGAATATGCTCAAGGAGCATCTACAGCCTTCTGGGGTAGAGAATTCCATAAATTCTGAGTGAAGAAATGTTTCCTCAATTCAGTTCGAAAAGGCTGTCCCTTAATCTTGAGACTATGACCCCTAGTTTTAGATTCTCCAACCAGGGAAAACAGTCACACGGCATCTACCCTGTCAAGACCCTTAAGAATCTTATAGGTTTCTATAAGATCACCACTAATTCTTCTATATTCTGGAGAATATAGGCCTAGTTTACTCAACCTATCCTCATAGGTCAGCCCCCTCATCCCAGGAACCAACTTAGTGAACCTACTTAGTGAACCCCCTCTAAGGCGCGTATGTCCTTTCTTTAATAAGGAGACCAAAACTGCACACAATATTCTAGCTGCGATCCCACCAAGGCCTTATACAGTTGCAGCAAGACTTCCCTAATCTTGTATTTTAACCCTTTTGCAATAAACGCCAACATGCCATTAGCCTTCCTAGTTGCTTGTGTACCTGCATACTAACTTGTTGTGACTGGTATACAAGGACACCCAATTCTCTCTGAACACTGACATTATCTAGTCTCTCCCCCTCCAGAAAATAATCTGCTTTTCTGTTATTACTACCTAGGTGAATAACTTCACACTTCCCCACATTATATTCCATCTGCCACCTTCTTGCCGACTAATCTAGCCTATCAATATCCCTTTGCAATATTTTTGTGTCATCCTCAGAGCTTACTCTCCCACCTAGCTTAGTATCATCTGCAAATTTAGATATTTTAAGTTCTATGTCCTCGTGTAGATCATTGATATAAATTGTAAATACAGCAACAACAAAATGACATTTATAGAGCGCCTTTCACATCGGGAGGACATCCCAAAGCGAAATAGTTGAGGCCCAAGCGCTGATCCTTGTGGCACTAGTCACATCCCGCCAATCTGAGAAGGACCCGTTTATCCCTACTCTCTTTTCTTCCCGTTAGCCACTCTTCGATCCATGCTAATATATTGCCTTTAATTCCATGGGCCCTAAACTTGTGTAGCAGCCTTTTATGTGGCACCTTGTCGAATGTCTTCTGAAAATCTAAATACATCACATCTACTGGTTCTCTCCTATCTAACCTGCTAATTACATCCTCAAAAAACTCTAAAAGATTTGTTAAGCATGACTTCCCTTTTGTAAAGCCATGTTGACTCTGTCTAATCATGTTATGGTCTTCTAAGTACCCCACTATAGCGTCCCTAAATAAGGATTCTAGAATGTTCCCTATCACCGATATCAGATTGACTGGTCTATAGTTCCCTATCTTCTCTCTCCCATCCTCCTTAAATAGTGGTGTTATGTTTGCGATCTTCCAATCACTGGGAATATCAAAAACAAGGCATCCACTATCTCAGCATCCACCTCTTTTAAAACCCTAGGGTGCAGGCCCTCAGGTCCGGGGCATTTGTCAATTTCGATTCCAACAGTTTCTCCAGTACTAATTCTTTACTGATCTTAATTTCCCTAAGTTGCTCACTAACATTAGCTTCTTGATTCTATTTTTGGTAAGTTTTCCGTGTCTTCTAACGTGAAGACAGAAGCAAAGTATTTGTTTAATGACTCTGCCATATCTTTATCCCCCATTATAATTCCTCCTGTCTCTGCCCGTAATGGACCCACATTCACTTTGATAGTCTCTTCCTCTTTATGTATTTGTAAAAACTCTTGCAGTCTGTCTTTACCTCCTAGCTAGTGTGCCCTCATAATCCATTTTCTCCCTCCTAATCAGTTTCTTAGTTTTTCTTTGTTGGTCTCTGAAGCCCTCCCAAACCTTGGGTTTATTGCTCTCTTTGGCAGTATTATAGGTCTCTTCTTTTAATTTTATACTTGCCCTAACTGCTCTAGTTAGCCATGGTTGAACCACTTTTCCTATGGTATATTTATTCCTCAAAGGAATATGAGATCGCTGGGAATGATGTACTATATCTTTAAAGGTTTGCCATTGCTGGTCTATTGTCATATCCTTTAATCTAATTCCCCAATCTATTTTAGCTAATTCCTCTCTGATACCTATAAAGTTGGCTCTATTTAAATTTAAGACCCTTGCTTCAGACTTAACTACATCACTCTCTAACTTAAAATGCTAAATTCCATCATGTTATGGTCACTCTGCCCTAGAGGAGCCTTAACTTCCTGATTGCTGATTAACCCTATTTCATTACTCAAAACAAGATCCAGGATCGCCTGTTCCCTGGTTGGTTCCTCAGCATATTGATCTAGAAACCTATCTCTAATGCATTCTATAAACACTCCTCTAACTTACTTTTGCCAATTTGGTTTTCCTAATCTATATGAAGATTAAAATCTTCCACTATTAGTGTATTTCCTTTGCTACATGCTCCTCTAATTTCCTGGTTAATACTTTGCGCAGTATTGTGACTGCTGTTCGGGGATCTATAAACTACTTCCACTAGTGTTTTCTGCCCCTTGATATTTTGTAATTCCACCCATACTGAAATTTAGTTGTGTGTGTGTTGACCAAATACAGATTGATATCGGATATGTTAATATGTTTATGTTTATATTTTGTCTCTTGTTTAATTTTGACTTTGTATGCAGAAATTGACATTTCTGATTTCACATTGAGATAGTTTTTAGATTTTATAAATACAGCACTCATCCAAATTTCAGAATTCTCCTGCCTTTTATATTCAAAATGTTTTTCAGAGGATGACTGCTGAAGGATCATGTATTTAATTTGTGCGCTCATTCATTTTATAATTTAACTGATCCATTAACTTGCTTTACCATCAGTAAGCAGGGTTTGTAGTAACAAAAAAAAATCAGTTTTGATTGTTTTTTTTTACCAAATGTAATATTTTCTGAAAACCCAGGAAGATAAGGTAAAAATAGCCAGATATTTCAGTACTTCTGATTTCCGTTCAGAATAAATTCCTGTTCAATAGTTGTAGAGTATTATTTCCAAGCGCTCCAGGACATTACCTCACATGAAGGGTGCTATATAAATGCAAGTTGTTGTAGTTGTTATACCAGGTTAACTTTGTTTTTCTAGCCCTTTGTTCACCCATTACAAAGCATAATAGAGTATGACTCAGAAGATAGCCAAGACAGTGATGAAGAGGAAGAAGATGCTTTTGCTACAGACACACAACTACAGGAACACTCCAATCCTAATTCTTTCAGGTACTCATCACAGTAATGACTTTGATATAATCGAAAATATTTTCCCATCTTTATTTGGATTTTAGAAATTGATGCTGTTCCACTTAATCAGTTACTAGTTACTGTTCAGGCACATGGAATAGATGGGAATGTATTCAAGGCAATTAACTATTTTGTGGAAACAACACATAGTGGTGTACATGGAAAGATAATTTTATAAATGAATTGGCGATTATTGTTCTGTCACAGGTGTAAAATTGCAGGTGAGACCAAATTGGAATGAGTGGAAAGTAATGGCAAACAGTTGCAAAACTTCAGTGATCTGGAGAGCCTGGGTACTTGAATGGGAAATGTAAAGTTATAAGATTTGACAAGTGAAATGGTGGTTTATAGGATGAATTTAAATTTAATTCAGGTATTAGAACAGGAAAAAAATGGCATTGGAGTTTTGGTAGGTGGATACTAAAATTAGCGCAGTGTACCCAGTTAGTTGAGGAAGCAAACAAAAAATAGGTGGACTGTATAGCTTAGGAGGGTAATGTGTATTGAGAAACAATTTGAAAATTGTATCTGACTATAATTAAACCACATCTGAGTACTGCATGGAATTTGAGACTCCTTATTTCAAAAAAAGATGCTCAATTGAGAGTGCAAAGATGAACCATTGGATTAATTTCAGTATTTATGGTCAGAGCTGTTACAAAATATTGATCACACTCAGTTTTTTTTCTGGAAACTTGGAGACCAATGAATGACTGGATAGAAGTGGTTAAAATTTAGCATTTGCCTCTCTGCTCTGGTTATCAGCTTCCTCATGCTGAGATGCAGTTCCATTTAGGGTTAACCCTAACCCAGCCAAGTGGCCTTTGCTCAGATGTGAGCCTTGACGGTCAGGGTCAGCAGGCCACTCAACTGTAGAGGGCACCAGTCAAGTCTAACCATTCCATAACCAGTAATAATTATAATAATCATCCTTGCATTTGATATATCACATCTTTGAGACATCTCAAAGCGCTTCACAGAATATATTGTAAAGTGAATTGACTGTATATTTTGTGGGCGAAACGGTGCTAAAAGGAGACAAGAATCCAGAACGATGATTGGTATTCCCCCCCCCCCCACAACCCTGGGCAGGCAGGGACCAATTTAGACGTCCCTTGCAAACGTGTCTGAGATACTCAGCACAGATATGCCTTTCTATTTTAAGCATGTTTCAATACTGTTACAAGCTGTCTTTTCAATCGAATTATATCCTAAGTAACAAAAAAATCTGTTTTAGTTGTGATTTTCTTTGGAAGGTTAACTCTTTTTAACTCATTTCTTGTTATGTTCAGCTGGTCACTGATGCGATTTGCTATGGTGCAATTGGTGTTACGCAATATCAAAAACTTTTACCCAATGGCAGGGCTGGAGCTTTCAGGTAAGAGTCTGCATTTGTATATGTTGATGCACAATAGGAAATCGAATCTTTCTCTTCAGCCATCCTCTTCTGAAGGTAGTGACGAATGTCCTTCCTCCCCCACATCCGGTCCCTCACCAGCACTGGTTTCTTCCACCTCCGACGCATCATCCGTCTACGCCAATACCTCTCCCCAAAAGCCGCTGAAACCCTGGTCCATGCTTTTGTCACCTCTCGGCTGGACTACTCTGACGCCCTCCTCACCAGTCTCCCATCCACTGCCATTCATAAAATCCAAATCATTCAAAACTCTGCCGCCCGCATTCTCACCCGCACGAAACTTCGCTCCCCAATCACCCCAGTCCTTGCCAGACTGCACTGGCTGCCTGTCCCAGAGAGGATCGATTTCAAGATCCTCACCCTTGTATTCAAATCCCTCCACTCCTCTGCACCCCTCTACCTCTCTGACCTCCTCTCTCCTCAAAACAGTACCCACTGCCTTCGCTCCTCCGGGTCTGGCCTTCTCCTCGTCCCCCGAGTCCTCCGCTCCACCCTCGGCGGCCGTGCCTTCAGCCACTATGCCCCGAGGCTCTGGAACTGCTTTCCTCACCCCCTTTGCCTCGCTCCCTCCCTTCCCATTTTAGGTCTCTGCTGAAGACCTTTCTTTTCGACCGCGCCTTTGGTCACCTTCCTCCCCCTCCCCCTGGCTCGGCCCCAGGATCCATTACTGTACAGCGCTCTGAGACACCGTCCAGTGTGGAGGGCTCTATATAAATCCAAGTTATTGTTGTTATTGTTGAATGACAGAAGAGAGCAAATTCCATAATCTAGCCTCATATTGTGAATTCACAACATAATGGGTTGTAATCTGAATAATGCACAAATATTTGTACAATTAAATTTCAGTCTGATGGAGTGGGTGAATTCGAAGTGTTGAAAGTTGTGCTGGGGTCTGGCAGACTCTGTGTTGATTCAGTTAAACAACTTTACCTCTACTAACTTTTCCACATTCAATTGGGGATGTTCTAATAATCTTTTTTTATGATTCACATTTAGAGCTTCCTGTTTGCTCCCCAATTTGCCACATTATTTTGAAGACTCTTCAGCGTTGGGAGCAAGTGTTGCTTCGGCGGCTTGAATTGTTTGGTGGCCCTCCTCCAGACTTCATCACCCTGCATGGCACAGTGTCTGCTGGACCTGCTATTCTACTCCATAAAATGCTGCTGGAGCCCTCAAATACACCCTTCAAGTAAGCATGCATTTCAAGTCCAAATCATATTCTTTATTGTATATTAGATCGCTTTCTGGGGTTATAATTCCTTAAAAAAGGGTGGTCACTCAATCCATGACTGTTTGTGGAAAACTGCTGTGCGCAATTGACTGCTGTGTTCCCCCCACAAAATAAACAAGTCAATACACTTTACAGTATGCTTAAGCAGAGAGCCTAGCAGCATGAAGTGCAACAGAGTGAGAACTTTGTTAAGGAATTTGGTGAGAGTGGGAATTCTGTGCAGAGGGGGAAAGAGGTATATAATTATAAAATATATAATAGTTATATTAAAATAAAATAAAACATGTCTGGAAATATGGCAGGGCAACTGAGACCTGTTGCATACACAATGTTTGCCATGTTGGAACTCCAGGATGTTTTATTATTTTGTTTTGGAGGGATTATTATTAGACGTGTGGAGTAAGGAAACTTGCCCAAGGTTTCGCCCTGCTTGGAATTGAACCCAGGTGTCTCTCTTGTAAGGCAAGTGCTCTAACCACTGAGCTACCACTGTAGGAAGTACAGAGGAGAACTGAAAAAGGTAATAAGTGGGCCAAAGAGATTGTATGAGAAAAGATTAGCAGGTAACATAAAAGGGAGCCCTAAGATATTTTATAACAACAACAACAACAACAACAAGATTCCATTTATTAAGCGCCTTTCACGTCGGGAGGATGTCCCAAGGCGCTGTACAGTGGGGTCAGGACCCGAGCAGGGGGGAAATGGTCAGGGTGAGGGGAGGGAAGGGAGAGAGCGAGGAGGGGGTAGAGAGTCGAGAAGGGAGCTGAAGGCACGGTCAAAGAGAAAGGTCTTGAGACCGGCCTTGAAGGAGGAAAGGAAGGAGGCGGCGAAGGCACTGGGGGATAGAGTTCCAGAGCCTGGGGGCTGAGAGGCTGAAGGCCCGGCCACCAATGGAAGGGCAGTTGGGGCGGGGGATGTGGAGCAGACCGGAGCCAGAGGAACGGAGGGTACGGGCAGGTAGGTAGGGGGATAGTAGGTCGGAGAGGTAGGAGGGAGCAAGGCCGTGAATGGCCTTGTAGGTGAGGATGAGGATCTTGAATTCGATCCTCTGGGGGATGGGGAGCCAGTGGAGGCGAGCGAGGGGGAGGGGAGGGAAGCATAAAAGCATATAAAAAATAAAAAGTTAGTCAAACGTAGGGTGGGTCCAATTAGAGACCAAAGAGGAAATCTTCTTGTGGAGGCAGAGGGCATGGCTGACGTACTGAATGAGTACTTTGCATCTGTCTTCACAAACGAAGAGGATGCAGCCAATACCACAATATCGGAGAAGAGGGAAGAGAAATGGATAAGGTAAGAATAAACCGAGAGGAGGTACTAAAAATGTTATCAGTGCTCAAGGCAGATAAGTCACCCGGTCTAGACGGGATGCATCCTAGGTTACTGAGGGAAGTAAAGGTGGAAATAACGGAAGTTCTGGCCACAATCTTTCAGTCCTCCTTGGACATCGGGGTGGTGCCAGAAGACTGAAGGGTTGCAAATGTTACTTCCCTGTACAAAAAGGGGCAGAAGGATAAACCTGGGAACTACAGGCCAGTCAGTCTAAGTTTAGTAGTGGGGAAACCTCTAGAGACTATAATCCGGGACAAAATAAATTTTCACTTAGAAAAATATGGATTAATAAAGGGCAGCCAACATGGATTTGTTAAAGGCAACTCATGTCTAATAAACCTGATGGTTTTTTGATGCAGTAACGGAGAGGGTGGGTGAAGGAAATGCAGTTGATGTAGTTTATATGGGTTTTCAAAAGGCGTTTGATAAAGTGACTTGTAAGCAAATTAGAAGCCTACGGTATTAAAGGGACAGCGGCAGCATGGATACAGAACTGGCTGGGAGACAGAAAATAGAGAGTGGTGGTAATTGGTTGTTTTTCTAACTGGAAGGAAGTGTGCAGTGGTGTCCCCCAGGGGTCAGTATTGGGACCACTGCTGTTTTTGATCTATATAAATGACCTGGATTTGGATATAGGGAATACAATTTCCAAGTTTGTAGATGATATTTGTGGAGTCCTGTAGCTCAGTGGTTAGAGCACTCGCTTTGCACGTGAGAGACCTGAGTTCAATTCCAGGCAGAGGGCGAAACCTTGGGCAAGTTTCCTTACTCCACACGCCTAATAATAATCCCTCAAAAAACCAAAAACAATAATTAAATTGGTCATTTTTAATCCATGACTGTTTGTGGGACATTGCTGTGCGCAATTGGCTGCCGCGTTCGCCCACAAATATACAGTCAATTCACTTTACAGTATGTTCTGTGAAGCGCTTTGGGACGTCCTCCCGACGTGAAAAGCGCTATATCAAATGCAAGGATTATTATTATTAAGATAGGAAAAGTAGTAAACAGTGAGAAGGATAGTAGCAGACTGCAAATGGACAGACAGGCTGGTAAAATGGGCAGACATGTGGCAGATGAAGTTTAATGTGTAGAAATGCGAAGTAATGCATTTTGGAAGGAAGAATGAGGAGAGGCAATATAAGCTGATGATACAATCTTAAAGGGGGTGATGGAACAGAGAGACCTGGGTGTTCATGTAAATAAATCTTTGAAGGTGGCAGAACAGGTAGATAAAGCTGTTTTTTTAAACAACAAGCATGCAGGTTACTAGGCTTTATAAATAGGGGGATAGAATACAAAAGTCAGGAAATTATGATAAACTTTTATAAAACACTAGTTAGGCCTCTGATAGAACTGTGTTCAGTTCTGGCACCACACTTTAGGAAGGATGTCGAGGCATTGGAGAGGATGCAAAGGAGATTTACCAGGATCATTCCAGGAATGAGGGTACCTGATAATTCATTTATCAGGAGAGGCTAGAGAACCTAGGATTCTTCTTCTTGGAGCAGAGAAGGTTTAGAGGAGATTTAATAGAAGTGAGGGGATTCGAGGGTGAACACAGAGAAACTATTTCCGCTGGCTGGTAACCCGAGGACACCGATTTAAAATAGTTGCTGCAAGAAACAGAGGGGAGGTGAGGAGAAATTTTTTCACACAGTGATGTGTTTGGATGCATGCCTGAAAGGGTGGTGGAAGCCGATTCAATAACAACTTTTAAGAGAGAAACAGATAATTATTTGGGGAGGACAAGTTTGCAGGGCTATGGGAGAGAGCGGGGGAGTGGGATTGAATTGGAAAGCTCTTTTCAAAGAGCCAGCTCAGACATGATGGGCCGAATGGCCTCCTTCTGTGCTGTATAATTCTATGATATTCTTTGAAGCGCTTTTGAGTCTCAACGACTTGATAAGGCACTATATCAAAACCAAGGATTATTATCATTATTATTTGAATGTACATTTTACCGATTTATAACAACAACAAGATTACATTTGTATAGCGCCTTTCACGTCGGGAGGATGTCCCAAGTCGCTGGAAAATTATATAGTTGGTATATAAAATATATTAAATCCAAGGTAATTCTGATAAAGGGGGTAGAAGCATACATTTGAATTTGTGTTCTAGAATCACTTAAAAAAAATCTGCTGAAACATTAATACTTAGGTAAATATCTGTGAATACTTTCCTTATGTAGGTCAAAGCACCATTCTGCACTTCCTGTAAAGAGACTTTGGCAATACCTCTTGAAACAGGAGGAAGTTCAAGACACCTTCATTAGAAACATTTTCACAAAGAAAAGAGGTCCAAATGAGGTCTGTATTGCTGCAGTAAATACAAGTTCTGTGCTGTTTCAAACTCAATTTATTTCTGCCATCTACTAATCATTCATCATAGTTTTAGTTCTCATCTAGGTCCTCAATGTTACTCGTGGTTGAATAAATCACGCTCATGTTAAATTACGCATTCATGTTTTCAGCATCAATGCAGTTTGTTATATGGAGCCATTTATTATAAGGAAAATGCAAAAGGAGATAATGAGCTTGTGTTTGAAATGCTGAAGCTTCAGCCTTCTGGACGTTTCAGGATTACCATTTGGAAAACGTTCTAACTATTGCACAAGTTGAAAAACTGAAGAATCAGGAAATTAGAGGGAAAATGTACTTATTGAATGAGTCCGAAGTATGATTTGTACTGTATAAATAATTTCTCTAATCAAAACAAAGTATTTTTGGGAGCGTTGTAATCGTAGCATTGAAAGGGAAGTTCATACTCTGCTGTGCACATCAAAACCATGACACAGAATTGTTTCTTACACTTTCTTTTAAAGTTGCAATACTTACTTTTTTATATATAAAATGAGATATAGTAACCTTTGAGAAAATGAATCAAAACCTTGTGTTCAAATGTCTTTGGAGCCAGTGAGCTTTGCTTTGCAGATTATGAACACCTTTGATTACAATACATTCTTGCAACTTTAAAATAGTCATTACATACAAATATTCTCGTTCGTCTGGTTATTACTAAATGGCAAATTTATAATGTGAATTGATAAGGTTAGGGAACCCTAAAAATGTTTTTGATTAGTTGCAAACCTTCCAAGCAAAATTCAAGCTACAGAATTCTACACATGTATCCAATATTAAAAAAGCTGACTTTATCTGGTAGATTACTTTATGTGAATTAAAAGTATAATAAGTACCCCATGGGATTTTCAAAAATGAGAAGAGTGTTGATGCCTGTACTTAGCATCTATTACCGGACCATTAATCATTTTAGCTTCCTGTTTGATATACAGCAATCAATCTTTAACCAAGAAAATGTTTTCTCTTTCATGCTTAATTCATTTTCTTTTTAAATCATTTGTCTTGTGGTTGTTCTGTGTGATGTAGTCAGTAGAGACCTCCAGTGAAACAGTCAGAAATACTATGACGGAGCAACCTAACACCAATAAGGTACAACTTGTGTTCATACGCTTGCTCTGGCACTGAATATAGTGATCTCCACAGGAAGTGCAGTTCTGTCGTAGAACAACGTCAGCAGCTGGGCAAATACCGTCTGATCCGATTGATCTATAAATTGTTTATGTTCTTAAAAAGTCATAAATTTAAAATCTCAATGATCCAAGCTTAAGTACCTGGAGAGACCACACAGTAAATTAAATACACAAACTGCCAGAGTCCCACTTCACCATTGTGTATTTGAGAATGTAAATGTTCTTACTTGGTGTCCTAGAGAAGTGTTCACTGAGTGTAAATTGGAGAAATGGTGGGCTTCATTTTCTCTTCTCTGGTGTAAGCACTTATCTTGACACAAGTGCTCTTGAATTCCTGCCATGGTGTAAAATTGCTATTTTCCATCCAGGATTGCCACAATTTGGACTGGTGGTATTCTGAGAAATCCATAATTCAAACATAAAACTTTTGTGTCATAAACTGATACATTGTACTAAAGACTATAAAGATGACATGTGTTGTCCAATGTTTAGAAAGATTCAGTTTTGATCTTCACGTTTTACAAAAAGGCATCATTTAGCTAAGAAGAATATGGGGGAAGTCAAATTCAATTTCTGCCACCTCTAATTCAGAAAATAGTTCATTGCCTTTTTCTGGTAATGTGGATATATTTTGCACACGGTGCTTAAATTTTATTGGGTAATTTCAATGACAGTATCATATCATATTGTCCAATTGGGAGAGCTGCCAAGTTTATTAAACTATAGATGACGGTGCTGGACAATTGAGGCAAAAGTATGGCTTTATCACTACTAAGGCAAAGTTTTAAAGAAAAAACTTGGTGCTGCACAGAAATGAACTGAAAAAAATGGGGTGAAAAATAGCATTGCTCCTAAGTAAAATTGAGCTGGGTATCAATTTTACGCTGTATTGTACATTTGTAATGTATTCACATCAAAACTACACAACGTTTTTAAAATCAGGAAATTGCAAATTTATATCCTCATTATGCAGGCAGATGAAAAGCTGCTGTAGATTTTTTTTAAGCAATTATCTTTGAGATCATATGTTGTGTAGTTTTAATGTTTGACTACAGCATGACACTGTAGGGAAACAAATGTTATTCCAATTAATTTATTTTCTCCACTGTTTTCTGCAGATGGAAACTGATTCTGCTTACCCTGGTGGGAGGACAAGGATTGTACATAAGGAATCTGACATAATTACAGCATTTGCCATTAATAAAGTAAGTGAATATATAGTTTGATAAATAAATATGTCAAAACATTATAGTCTGTCCAATGATTGCTGTAAAATATACATGAGCATTTACCATAAAAATAAAGATATAATATTTATGATACCTAAAATGCTTATTTTGCTGTGAATTTAACTCAATTTATTTTGCTGCAAGCTAAAAAATTGTCATCTATTTCTATTCTCAGAGTTCTAATACGATTAACCGATTCTGTCCTGTTTGTTTTAGGCTAATCGGAATTGCATAGCAGTAGCCACTAGTCATGATATCCAGGAGCTTGATATATCTGCAATCCTGGCTACCCAGATCTACACATGGGTGGAAGACGACTTGGATCAAGAATCAAAGTACGTATATCAGAACAAGTTAATTCCCTGCTGTCTGAGTGAGAAAAAGATGATTAATTTGGTCTGATGGAAAGGAACAATATTGGTGTATTGGAAAGTTGATGGAGCTTCTGGTAATGGACCAGAGAGAGGATTGATATCAGAGCAAGTCAATACTGAGAGGAAGTGGTCCACATGATGCACGAATCGTGAGTGTTCTGGCTTAGACTGCAAAGGCTCAATCATAACTGACTATGTACGACATGAGAAAACACTGCAAGATTTCTATCCAGTGGGAAAATGTTTATCCCTAATTATGAAAAGTTGTAAAAATTACACAGATATTCATTTTAAACAAAAAAATCCTTTCCTGCTTACTCAAAGGTTGGATGATTTCCTGCTGGTTCATACTCGAGATGATTTGAGTGATATCCAGGGCAGCACGCCTTACACTCCCAGTGTTCCTGGTACCCCCATAAACATGCCTTGGCTAGGCAGTACACAGACCGGTAGAGGGGCATCTGTGGTGAGTCTGAAGTCTGCATTGTTATTTTTACTACTAACTTTTCTACTAGAATACCAACCACATGGATTATTTTACCAGTGTTGGTAAGTTTACCAACAGCTGGAAAAAAAGGTAAATTTGTAGCTTACTGATTGATAAGGATTCATTAGTGGCAAGCTCCCATCAATCTGTTTCCCCTGGTAGGAGAATCTATAACCAGGGGTCACAGTCTTAAAATCAGGGGTCAGCCTTTTAGAACAGAGTTGAGGAAACATTTTATGGAATTCACTACCTCAAAAGGCTGAGACTGATAGATTTTTTAAAAAATAGAGGGATATGGGGATAGGGCAGGTATTTAGAGTTAGGTCTGAAGATCAGCCATGATCTTATCGAATGGCGGGGCAGGCTCAAGGGGCCGAATGGCCTACTCCTGCTCCTAATTCTTATGTTCTTATATTCTAATCTCTGCAATTTGTGGCCCTAAAAAAGAAAGCAAGGCTTGAGAGAGTAAATGTCTGTGCCACTTTTGGGTTAAATGTGGAGCCGTAGGGTGATTTCTGATTTGAGCTAATAATAATAATCTTTGCATTTGATATAGCGCCTTATCATGTCTTTGAGACATCTCAAAGCACTTCACAGAATATACTGTAAAGTGAATTGACCATATATATTGTGGGTGAAACACGGCAGCCAATTGCGCACAGCAGTGTCCTACAAACGATCATAGATTGAAAGACCAAATGTTTTTTTTAAAAAGGATTATTATCACCGGAAAAGCGATCCTCCAATCAACTAACAACCGGGTTCCAACTTACTGCTAGGTAAACAGGCTTGTGGAGTAAGGAACCTTGCCCAACTTTTCGCCCTGCCGGCAATCAAACCCAGGTCCTCTCGCTTACGAGGCGAGTGCTCTCGCCACTAAACTACAGGACTCCACAATATCAGACTGAACACAAAAATATAGAACTATTGCATATCAGGACATCACTTGTGATATTGGAATTAACATTTCACAGGCGAGTCATCAGATTTTAAAAAAGTAAATCTTATGCAACTCCTTTTTATTGGTAGTACTCTTAATAGAAATAGAAAATAATCAAAACTCAAAATACTGTAGATGCTGGAAATCTGAAACAAAAACAGAAGTCGCTGGGATCACTCAGCAGGTCAGGCAGCATCTATGGAGAAAGGAAAGTGAGTCGATGTTTCGGGTCCACGACCCTTTGTCAGAACTGGGGGCATGTTGCAATGGAGAGGCTTTTAAGGGCTATAACAGAGAGTGGGGAGGCAGGGCAAGGAAGACAAAGGAAAAAATGGGATAGAGGACAGGGGATGATGGGTTAAAGAGGTATTAATAATCTAAAAACAAATGGGGGCAAAAATTGCAACAAAATAGGCAGACCAAGGAGAGAAAAGGTGGGTCTGAGACCCAGATGATGTGGTAATGGTCACAGAACAGGGGGAGGGGGAAGGTGAGTTGTTATGGTTTGAAATTGTTGAAATCAATTTTGAGGCCAGAGAGATGTAAGATAAATGAGATGCAGTTCCTCAAGTTTGCGCTGTGGCTCATTGGAGGCCATGGATGGAGAGGTCAAAGTGTGAGTGGGAGGGAGAGTTTAATGTAAGAATAATGTTACAAAAAAAATCAGTGTTCCAGTATTTTTCCCTTAGCTTTCTCTGAGGTTTGTGGAACTAGAGCTTTGAACATAAAAGACCATAGCAGTGAGTAAGAAACTCTCACTTTCCAAATATTTCTATAATCTCCACTCAGGATTTTTCTGCCTGTCAGAACTGAAAACAATCTATATGTGATTTGGGGTGGAAACGCGCCATTTTTTTTGCCTATTTTACCTATTTTTGCATTATGTATGAGAGCACCTCTGGGAGACATTTTCAGTTATTTTCTCTCCCTTTAGCTATATTTATCGACTTCAAGATCCTCACCCTTGTCTTCAAATCCCTCCACTCCTCTGCACACCCCTACTTCTCTGACCTCCTCTCTCCTCAAAACAGTGCCCGTTGCCTTCGTTCCTCTGGGTCTGGCCTCCTCCTTGTCCCCCGAATCCTCCACTCCACCCTTGGCAGCCGTGCCTTCAGCCACTACGCCCCGAGGCTCTGGAACTCCCTTCCTCACTCCCTTTGCCTCGCCCCCTCTCTTCCTATTTTCAGGTCCCTGCAGAAGATCTTTCTTTTTGACTGCGCCTTTGGTCACCTTCCTCCCCCTCCCCCTAGCTCGGCCCCGGGATCCGTTACTGTGAGGCACTCTGAGACACTGTTCGGCGTGAAGGGCGCTATATAAATCCAAGTTGTTGTTGTTGTTATGTGCTCTCACATAACAATGTAATTTCAGATACATACTGCATCTTTTCACCTTTTGGACTCATTTTGTTTTTGTTTTCTTCCTTTAAAAGTATTGGTGCATTTTAAAAGCTTTATGGCAATACTTGCAGAAAGTGGCTTGCCATATTGTCAACATCTGTTCTCGGGTAGCTGTCTCCTTTGTTATTAGGTTTACGTAAAATCTGCATGCATTTCCTGGAAAATCAGGTCTGCAAATGAAAGAGTAAAGGAGGCTATTAAGTTGACAGCGAAGGTATTTCAGATTTTTCATGGCATGTTGTATGGACATGCTCATCCATTTGCCTAAACGATTCTGGTAGCGTCATTGAGATGATTCCGCATGAGAGATTCTCTGTTCTTGCACCTTGTTCCCATTCAGTTCACACAATTTATTGTCACTGAATCTATTGGGATAATTGTTTTCAGAATGAACTACTAATGCAGTGATCTGTGTGAGGAGCTCAATCACAGCCTCACAATCATAACTGGCCCTCACTCCTGTACATTTCTTTCATAGTGGGCAAGGACATGTGACTACCTTACTAAACCGTCTGACTGCCTCTTGCTTTTCTCGCTCACTTCTGTAATCAATATGATTATCAAAGGCTGAAGTTCTATTTGATATCTAACTACACAGTGAATGCTTTAAGGAATTGTACGAAATCACTGGCAGCTCCATCAAAACACCATACTGGTAACCGAAATATCAGCAAAATCAAGTTTTAATTCTTTAATTGGCCATTTAAAGCTTCAATTTTGCAATTAAAATCTTGAGGCAAAAGGAGTAAAATATTTGTGTTGTACACTTATGTTTGAATGCTGCTTACATTTTTTCAGGCTTGAAAGAATTCAGTTTTAAGTTGTAAAACCAGAAATGATGAAAATCCAGATCAGTTCAATAAACATCTTAAATGAGACAAATAAGTGAATGGATCTTACCTGGAAATCTTTCTTCTTCAGATGCTGATTAACTTGTGGATATACAACATTTCTGATTTTAGTTTAGATGTCCAGTATTCAGTTTTTCTTGTTTTCATTCTGAGTGTTCCTGTCTCTTCCTGTCAGATAAACCTAAATGTACTTGATTGCATTGAAATTCAGTGAAGTGTTGGATTCTCTGACCAATAAATTGAGCTTACATTTCAGCTCGTTTTAAATTTGTGGGGAAAATACCTGCTTGTTTGGACTGAAATTGGCCTTTTGCTAACTTACGGTAATGCAACAATCAAAATCTACTTAAATATGGAATTATTATGACCAATTTTGCTTCAAAATTTTGAATAATTTGGAATTCACTTTACAGTATATTTTGTGAAGCGTTTTGAGATGTCTCAAAGATGTGATAATGTGCTATATAAAATGCAAGGATTATTATTAATTTAGCCACAAAACAGCCAATGCCAAGCATACATTTGAACCTCACTGTAAATTGGCATTTAAGAAGCTCATCTATTTTTCCTTTTATTCTTTTCCTTTTCTTGCCTTCTTTCCTTGCCTTTTCTGCAAAACTATCCAATAAAAACAGTATCCGACCCCCACAACTCAGTTATATATCTACCATCTTTGAAATATGCTGTTTGAAATTTGAACTTAAATCTAATGATGGCTTCTCAGTTATGAAGTTGAAAGCTTTTAAAGAGCTTCTTCCCTTCAATTCTAACACTCCACTGTACAGCAGTTATAAGATTCTGTTCACTTCTGCTTTATTTACATGCTCCTCCCTCTGTTGCTTATCTTTGAATGTTAAGGAAAAAACAGCTAAGTTTAATGGAATCAGAAAGGATTTTTCAAAAAAGCAGGTAAGGTGCCAGCTGTTAGAACACTTTTGAATTAATCTTAGACAGTTGTTCTGCTGTTTTGTCTCAGTCAGAATTCTGTCTTGTATCAGCACTCCCTTCACTTGTGTATGGCTGTTGTTCTGCCCTCTTAATACCCCAAACAAGAAAAGTCATGAATCCTGCATTAGGGCTATTTGGTTACTTAACCAGATGTCTTTAATGGGCAGTTCAATATATGCATTCTTATTTGAATCCCTCCTGTAAAACATGTTTTGACCCAGTCTTTCAGTTTAATTAATATACATAGAGAAACCTCTCTTATCTCAAAAAATTGACCCATGTATAGGTTACAAATACAATTAGACAACATTGAATTTGTATAGATCTGATTATTATTATTATTAACTGTTTTTAAAATCTACAAATTAAAGTTCTGTATAATCTATTGAATCACTATGACTCCTTTTGGGGAAAAAAAAGACTGGTACAATAAACAGGAGAATACTGAATTAGCAGTCTTCAAATATAGTGTGTTGTTGCATGAGTGAAGGAGACTGCAAATGTCAAGTTATTCAGATTCTGTATGTTTGGAACAAACCACCTATTCCGCTTCCTATGCTCTATCCTTTTCATTCAACATCTGTGTTTCAGTTTCATAATTTATTTTAATAAATTCTAAACAAAAACTACTGATGTTTTGGTGCAGTACTGGTGTTTTGGTGCAGTATGGTAGTAATTTCTCTTTGAAGATAATGTTGAGTGGCAACATGGTGGTTAGAAGCTTTGAAGGTGCAGAGATGTGGCGTGGGAAGTAGTTAATGGTTGTATTAGCAAGATCATCCTTTTTGTTTTAGTGACAGTACACAGCTCAGTGGCTGGTGTAAGGCATGACTTACTATTTCTGCTGGTACTTTCAGCATTATTTTACCACAACAAAACTTCTTCAAAAATCATTTTCATCAGGTTTAGCTTCCATTTATCAAAGAAACTTCATATTCTGTATATCAGATCTAAATATCGCATGGCATTCATCATTGATCACATTTGGCATTTTTTGATAGTTCATATCTTAAATGTTTTTTGTACATCAAAACTCTGAAATAATATAACATGTTGCTTGTCCCTTTGGCAGATGATCAAACGGACTATGAATAATGCCAGGAGGATGGCTTCCCATCCAACATTACCTTACTGTGAGTATCATGGGATGTATTTTGTTTCCAAGCTCAATTTCTCAATCTCGAATTCAGCCATGTCATTTGAGGGACAACAACAACTTGCATTTATATAGCACCCTCCACTCCGGCGGCATCTCAGAGCGCTTAACAATGGCGGAGCCTGGGGAGGGGGAGGGTGACTGTAGACGCGGTCGAAGAGGAAGGTCTTCAGGCACGACCTGAAGATGGGGAAGGAGAAGGCGAGGCGAAGGGGTTGAGGGAGGGAGTTCTAAAGCTTCAGGGCATAGTAGCTGACGACACGGCCACCGATGGTGGAGCGGAGGATTCAGGGACACCGAGGAGACCGGACCCAGTAGAGCGGAGGCAGTGGGTACTGCTGTGAGGAGAGAGGAAGTTAGAAAGATAGGGGGGTGCCAAGGAATGGAGGGATTTAAACACTAGAGTGAGGATCTTGAAGTCGATCCACTCTGTGACTGGGAGCCAGTGGAGTTTGGCAAGGACTGGAGCAATCGGGGTATGAAGTTTGGTGCGGGTGAGAATGTGGGCGGCGGAGTTTTGAATCAGCTGAATTTTGTGAATAGGGGAGGAGGGCATTAGAGTAGTCCAGCCGAGAGGTGACAAAGCGTGGACAAGAGTTTCGGCAGCTTTTGGGGTGTGATATTGTAGGAGACTGGCAATGTGGCGGAGGTGGAAGAAAGTAGTGCTGGTCAGGGTCCAGATGTGGAGGAGGAAGGATAACTGGGGATTGAACCTGACGCCTAAGTTGCGCACGGGTTCGGAGAGTTTTAAGGACAGGTCGGATAGGTTGAGGACGTCGGAAACATGGGACAGAAGATGTTGGCGGGAGCCAAAGAGTATGGCTTCTTGACATTTAACTGCAGGAAATTTGCACTCATCCAGCTCCTGATGTCCGATAGGCAAGCTGACAGATCATCAGGGTAGGGAGGTCACAGCTGGAGGTGGAAAAGTAGAGTTGAGTGTCATCCCCATACATGTGGAAGTTAACCCCGTGTCTGCAAATGACATCACCGAGCGGGAGCATATAGATGAGGAAGAGAAGGGGGCCAAGGATGGATCCTTGGGGTACCCCACAGATGACTAGGTGGAAGCAAGAAGAAAAGCTTGACGGCTGCTTCAGGGTCGCTGCGGGTGGAAGGCTAGGGGGATAGGAGATCTGAAGATGATGAGAGAGCCTTTGTGCAGGTCCTGGGAGGAAGCCTTTTCCATGGGCAGAAAAGTATGATTGAGGGCTTGATGGAGGGGAGAGGGATGCGAGAGGAAAAGGAGATGATTAATTGGTCCGAGATGGCCCAGTCCGTGATGCACAGGTTGGAAATGTCGAGGCCATGTGCGATGACGAGGTCGAGGAGGTGGCCATTTTGGTTGGGGCGGAGGGTGTGATGAAAGGTGTAGCCAGGAGGGGAGGCTTCAACTAGGGGGACGGGGTCACCAGGGGAGAGCCAGGTTTCCATACGCCCAAGAATATCAATGTGCTCATCGAGGATGAAGTCATGGATAGTAAGGGCTTTATTAGAGAGGGAGCGGACTTTTTGGAGGGAAATGCGGATAGGTTTGCTGGGGGGGTGATGGGGAGAGTGTTATAGAGAGGACTTAAGGTCGTGGCGAAAGTGACCATGGATTTTGAGGAGCAGGCAGTGTTGCGGAGGGTATGGATGAGCGAGGTGAAGGGATGTTTTGTCTTTCGGAGGCGGTTGGTCCATAGAGAGCGAGCGATGGGACAATTGGGGTGGCTGTTCTGGGACAACCGACACCGGGAGCCACGATGGTCCCAGTGGAGCATGCCCAGGCTGGAGATAATGGTGGAGTCCAGGAGAGAGAATCCAGGGAGGGCAGTGGGAGAGAAGGACAGAGTGCGAGTAGCGGATTGAGGGGGTTAGGAGAAGCAGCATTTCCAGGGGGAGCGGGTTGGGTCGGGGTGGCAGCCAAAATGCACCTGCAGAGAGCGGGAGTGAGCGATCAGCAGGACAGCATCAGGCCACGGGAGACAGCGCAGGGGTGAGAGGGGGAAGAGGTGGGATGGTGGTCTTGGCTTAGGTGCCAGAGACCAGGAGGGAAGGGAGAACAAGGTAGCAGAAGATAATTGCATGTACTTATCCTATCCTGGTGGATTTGAAACAGGTGCCCAGAAGTGATGTTACAGTATATTTACCTGGCCCGGACAAGTTTCAAAATGGCGCCCAGAAGTGACGCTCGGCAGCGACATTTGGCCATTATTCAGGCGAGGGATTTTTAAGTGGCGTCTCCGCACCTGAAGAAACTGAGACTTCTCACCGCCGCACAGTTGCCCAACCGTGGCCATGGCACACGTTGTACAGGCAGACACCTGAGAATTTCTCGCACCGCCGGGACCAGGGGATAGGAGGCCAGGCAGTTTTCCACAGGGGATAACCTTTACTTTTGCGATGTATAAAATCATCTCAAACCCTCAGTATGTTGCTGCCTTGTATTCACAGATTCCATGATAATTGAATGTAATTTCCTCTGCTCTTATGACATGAAGGACAATAGTGAGCTATATGTTTTTTTTATTCAAATTAATTCAGATGTTTGTAACCGAGACTAGCTTCAGTGAAATGAAGACGTGTCAATAGCTTTTAATAGTAAAGCTGATGTCTTCCCCCAGAACTAGTGGGTAAAAGTGCTGGTTTAGTACATTCACTAAACCATGCAAATCAGAAGGTCTCTGGTTCAAGTCCTGTTCTGTATTGGGTTTAAAAATAGTATTGGACAATGCTAATTGTTGAACTGACAATCCTTTATGAAATGATTTAGATCTAACGGGTGCTCAAGATGGAAGTGTTCGGATGTTTGAATGGGGTCACTCACATCAGATAGCGTGCTTCCGATCTTCTGGCAATTCCAGGGTTACCAGAATACGATTTAATCATCAGGGTAACAAGGTAAAATATATGAGAAATGAGACCATAAGAGACCAAGAGATCATGTTTTTTTCCATTGATGCTTTTTACTCAAAGATATGCTGTGATTAGTTTTTTTTGTGCATTTGTGTGTTTTGTCTGGTGGATTAACAAAGTAAAACTTTATGGTTTCCGTCACACTGAGCCGTTAGCATGTGACCTTTGATTGTCTTGATTGGAGTCTCAAGAAATTAAATTGTTTAATAGCATATTATGTTATGACATATTTAATAATCTATTTCTATTGAGGATTAGAAATTTCATTGTAAAGCAAAACTAATTAATGTTTGACTTATTTAAGACTGCATAAAATTAAACCCCTTGTATCTTTTTACCAGTTCGGTATTGTTGATGGAGATGGATTCTTGAGTTTGTGGCAATCAAACACAATTGCACTGGGAGTCACGCCAAAACCTTACCTGGTGAGCGGAGTGCTAATTTATTGCCTTAATCTTTTGTGCATTTTTTATTTCTTTATGTAACACAATTTAACAATAAGTTGCGTATTAATTTCTTGAATAATATTTTATTTTTCAGACTTGGCAGTGCCATAACAAAACTGCAAATGATTTTGTTTTTGTTAGTTCTTCTACTTTAATAGCAACAGCGGGACAATCCAGTGACAATAGGTAAGACAACTTGCAACTGAGCTTGTATGGTGTATTGTTAAGGTGCTTCTTTAAAACATTTTATGTACAGCATGGTGATAAATATTTCATGCCAGTGGGGTAAAAGTCTCAAAAGTTGCCAATCTTTGGTGTAGGGGAGATAAGAAAGTGGTGGGTGGATGGAATTAATTCCAGATACACTGTAAATTCCACCACATTGTTGGAGAAAACTACATGTTAGTACACAATCTTTTTACTTACATCAGTATAGTTTGTGCAATTTAATTGGCAGGAATGTGAGAGGTGTTAAAGCAGCTTGCACTAATTTATCCTTAGGGTGGCTGGTGAGAGTTAATATCTCCAGTAGTGTGGTGAAATTTACAGTGTCTAGAATTAACCCCACCCACTTTCTTCTCCCCTCTCCCAAATATTGGTAACTTTTGAGACTTATACCACTGGCATAAAATATTTAACACCATATTAAATGTCAGTATTTTGAATCAGCATTAACACTATCCAAAGTATTCTTGAAGCCAAGCCTACTGTTTACAAAAGGCAGAAAGTTGGCATTAAAATTACCAAGGGACAGGAAATCGCCCTAGTAAGTATATGCCTGAAAAGCTGCCCTCGGGAGTTGCTGTGGTGCACAACTGTTTTCTTTCAGCCCTCTAAGTTCTGAAAATACTTATTTACAAATTTACTTAAATAATTTGTTACACAAAAGATTTTACATTTATACTTGACCCATTTTTAAAAAAATATTTTGAAACTATAAAAAGCCACTTTCTTGGAGATTTTGTCTTAGATTTTGATGTTTTGCTTTAGACATACACTATTTGTAGAAGTAAATCTAACAAGCATAGTAATATTTAGACTTGATATCTATAGCAGTACCTCTTTGACTGTACATATGCTCACCTCCCCGTCCCCCTTCTTCCTCGTTCAGTGTCCAAACCTGCCATCGTGCAGCATTCCAAGATGCTACCCCACCATTGTGCAGCGCTCTTAAGATGCAATCCTGCGTGAAGGGTGCTGCATAAATGCACGTTTTTGTTATTATAATGGAGCCACTAATATATTTCTCTTCTAAAATGGATTAGTCATACATATATTGGATATGTATCCATTTTAGAAGAGAAATATATTTCTACCATAGGAAAAAAGAATGTGACATAAAGTAGGCGTCCAGTTCAGGGAGATGAACTGACTCCATGTGATATAATTGGCAATGGAATGTTAGAATGAATTAATCCTCTGGCGGTTTTGGTAATCCAGGTCCCAAATCAGGCGGATCCCCAGCACTCCAGGACACTGCTGATTAGCTGAACAAACTACAGCAGTGCCCCAATGAACACTCTGAAGTTGCCATGACTTGATTCTTGCCAACCTGCACCTAATACTCTCCAGAATTAAGTAAACTGGGTGTGACCCTCCAGGGAGAGAGTGCACGTTCCATTCAACACACCGGGAAATTTCTAGGTGCAAATGGCATATCTCCAAAACCGTCTAATTGGATACTTTAAAACATGGTGATGGATTTTCACGTATGTTGGCTAACAGGCCGATCAACATAGCATAACACGTAGGAGCAGGAGTAGGCCATTCGGCCCTTTGATCCTGCCCCACCATTCAATCATGGCTGATCTTCTAATCTAACTTCAACAACAACAACAAGATTCCATTTATAGAGCGCCTTTCACGTCGGGAGGACGTCCCAAGGTGCTATACAGTTGGGTAAGGACCCGAGCAGGGGGGAAATGGTCAGGGTGAGGGGAGGAAAGGAAGGGAGCGAGAAGGGGGTAGAGAGTCGAGAGGGGAGCTGAAGGCTCGGTCAAAGAGAAAGGTCTTGAGACCGGCCTTGAAGGAGGAAAGGGAGGAGGCGGCGAAGGCACTGGGGGATGGAGTTCCAGAGCCTAGGGGCTGAGAGGCTGAAGGCCCGGCCACCGATGGTAGGGCGGTTGGGGCGGGGGATGTGGAGCAGACCGGAGCCAGAGGAACGGAGGGTACGGGCAGGTAGGTAGGGGGATAGTAGGTCAGAGAGGTAGGAGGGAGCAAGGCCGTGAATGGCCTTGTAGGTGAGGATGAGGATCTTGAATTCGATCCTCTGGGGGATGGGGAGCCAGTGGAGGCGAGCGAGGGTGGGAGTGATGTGGTCGCGAAGCCTGGTGCGGGACAGTACACGAGCTGCAGAGTTCTGAATGACCTGCAGCTTGTGGAGGGAGGTGCGGGAAGGCCGGCGAGGAGAGAGTTCCCATAGTCCAGCCTTGAGGTGATAAAGGCGTGGACCAGAGTTTCAGCAGCGTGAGGGGTGAGGTAGTGCCGTAGTCTGGCGATATTCCGGAGGTGATGGAAGGCGGTGCCAGTTGTGGCGCGGATATGAGGGAGAAAGGACAGCTCAGGGTCGAACAGAACCCGAGGTTCCTGACTGGCTTTGAGAGGTGGAGAGTGCAGCCTTGGATGCTGATGGTGTCAGCGCCTGAGGTGCGGAGGCGCTGACGTGAGCCAATCAGGAGGGCCTCGGGTTTTCGCACGTTGAGCTGAAGAAAGTTGTCTCTCGTCCAGGACTCGATGTCGGACAGGCAGGCTGTCAGGACATCGGTGGTCGTGGAGTTGAGGGTAGAGGAGGAAAGGTAGAGTTGGGTGTCATCCGCATACATGTGGAAGTTAACCCCATGTCTGCGGATGATGTCACCAAGGGGGAGCATATAGAGGGTGAAGAGGAGAGAACCGAGGACAGAGCCCTGAGGGACACCGCACGAGACAGTGCGGGGTTCTGGAGGAAAAGCCATTCGTGGAAACAAAGTGAAGACGGTGGGAGAGGTGCGACCTAAACCACTCAAGGACAGGGCCTTGAAGGTTGAGGTGGGAGGACAAGCGGTGGAGGAGGATAGCGTGGTCGACCGTATCGAATGCTGCCGATAGGTCGAGGAGGACGAGGAGGCAGAGGGAGCCCTGGTCACAGATGGTCAGGATGTCATTGGTGACCTTGACCAGGGCAGTTTCTGTGCTATGGGCAGCACGGAAACCCGACTGAAGGGGTTCGAATAATGAATGGGTGGAGAGGAAAGAGCGCAGCTGGGAGGCGACAACTCGTTCCAGGACCTTGGACAGGAAGGGGAGGTTGGAGATGGGCCGGTAGCTTGATAGCTGCGACGCATCAAGGGAGGGTTTTTTCAAGGTGGGAGTGATGGTGGCAGTTTTTAAGGGAATGGGAACAGAGCCAGAGGAGAGGGACAGGTTGATGATGTCTGTGATATGTGGGGCAAGGAGGTGGAGCTGGGAGATAAGGAGTGGGGATGGGGTCAAGGGAGCAGGTGGTGGTTTTCAGGGATAGGATGAGTTTGGTGACAGAGGGTGGGGAAACGGGTACGAATGTGTGTAGGGACGGAGGGAGTGGGGGGTGGGTGGATGTTGGAGGGGAAGTGACCGCGGAGCGAATTCCCTTGATTTTGGATTCAAGGAAATCCAGCATCTCCTCGCAGTGAAGGTTGGAGGAGATGACCTGCGCGAGGTGGCGGGGGGGACGGAGGAGTCGAGATGTGGTAGAAAACAGTAGCCTGGGGTTGTTCTTCGCCTCCAGGATTATCCTGGAGTAGAAGGACAACTTGGCCGAGGCTAGAGTGGAGTGGTAGATTTTGAGGAGGTCCAGCCAGATTTGTCGGTGGACCGTAAGGCCAGATTTGACGCATGTGCGTTCAGCGGCCCGCACCTGGCTCTTCAGTGAGCGGAGGTGGGTGGTGAACCAGGGTGGGGGGGCGAGAGTAGGAGACAGTACGGGAGGTGATGGGGGCAAGAGTATCGAGTGTGGAGGAGAGGGTGTTGTGGAGGAGGGTGAGAGGAGAAGAGGGGTCAATGAGAGTTGAAGGCCAGAGGGAGAGGAGTTCAGAGGACTCCAAGGCAGCGGTTAGGGATTGTGGGGGTAACTTCTTCCAGCTAATAACCTGACCCTGCCTTATCCCCATATCCCTTAATCCCTTTTGCAATAAGAAATCTGTCTCAGTCTTGAATATGTTCAAGGACTGAGCGTCAACAGCCCTTTGGGGTAGTAAGTTCCATACATTCACCACCCTTTGAGTGAAGAAGTTCTTCCTCAACTCAGTGCGAAAGGGCTGGCCTCTGATTTTAAGGTTGTGACCCCTGGTTTTAATTTCTCCAACCAGGGGAAACAATCTCCCACTATCTACTCTATCATGCCCTTTGATGATCTTATAGGTTTCTATAAGATCCCCTCTGATTCTTCTATATTCTAGAGAATATAGGCCCAAATTGGTCAGTCTATCCTTGTAACTCATCCCCTTCATCCCTGGTACTAACCTAGTAAATCTACGCTGCACCCCCTCCAAGACAAGTACATCCTTCCTTAAATAAGGAGACCAAAACTGCACACAGTATTCCAGGTGTGGTCTCACCAGGGCCCTATACAGTTGCAGCAAGACTTCCCTACTCTTATACTCTAATCCTTTCATAATGAATGCTAACATACCGTTCGCCTTCCTAATTGCTGCTGCCCCTGCAGACTAACTTTCTGTGATTGGTGTACAAGGACACCCAAGTCCCTCTGGACACTAACACATTCCAATCTCTCCCCTTCTAAAAAATAACCCGCTCTACTGTTTTTGCTACCGAGGTGGATGACTTCGCACTTCCCTACATTATACTTCATCTGCCACCTACCTGCCCAATCACCTAACCTATCTATGTCTCGCTGCATTTTTTTAATGTCGTCCTCTGTGTTGACACTTCCTCCTAGTTTTGTGTCATCCGCGAATTTAGATATATTAACTTCGATGTCCTCATCTAGATCGTTGATGTAGATGGTAAATAGCTGAGGCCCAAGGACTGATCCTTGTGGCACTCCACTAGTCACATCCCGCCAATCTGAAAAGGACCCATTTATCCCTACTCTTTGTTTCCTACCCGTTAACCATTCCCCAGTCCACGTTAATATGCTCCCCCCAATTCCATGGCCCCTTATCTTTTGGACTAACCTTTTATGTGGCACCTTATCGAATGCCTTCTGGAAGTCCAAATAGACCACATCCACTGATTCACCCTTATCTAGTTTACTGGAAATATCCTCAAAAAACTTTGAGATTTGTCAAACATGACTTCCCTTTTGTAAAGCCATGTTGACTTGGCTTAATTATATTGTGCTCCTCTAAATACCGCACTACCACATCCTTAATCAATGATTCTAAAACTTTTCCTATCACTGATGTGAGACTAACTGGCCAAAAGTTCCGTATCTTTTCCTTTCCACCTTTTTTAAATAGTGGTGTGACATTTGCGATCTTCCAATCCATGTGGACTGTTCCAGAATCCAAGGAATTTTGGAAGATCAGACATAAGGCCTCCACTATCTCATAAGCTACCTCTTTTAAAACCCTGGGATGCAAGCCATCCGGACCAGGAGATTTTGTCACTTTTTAGTGCTAACAGTTTCCCTAGCACCAATTCTCTACTAATGAAAAAGTTGCTCCCTGTCCTTATCCCCTTGATGCATCTCTATTGTTGGCAGACGTTGTGTCTTCTAGGGTGAAGACAGATGCAAAGTACCCATTTAGGGACTCTGCCATGTCCTTATCTCCCATTACAACTTCTCCCGTCTCTGACTGAAGTGGACCTACATTTACCCTCACTAGCCTATTCCTCTTAATATATTTGTAAAAACTTTTACAATTAGACATAATGTTCCTGGCTAGCTTACCCTCATACTCCTTTTTCTCACTCTTAATAATTTTTTAAATTTTATTTTGCTGGTTTCTAAAACTCTCCCAATCTTCAGATTTGCTGCTTTTCTTGGCAGTTTTATAAGCCTTTTCTTTTAATTTGATGCTTTCCCTAACTGCTCTAGTTAGCCACGGTTGAATTGCTTTCAAAAAAGCATGTGATTGTTAAAAAAANGTGTTAAGTTCCACAGCTAAGCATGTATCTGAGAAAGGAGCTTTAGGGTTTACAAATCCAAGTGTTTGAAAGATTAGTAGGAATCTAGGTATTTATGAGGTGCTTTTGATATTTCATTGAATTGCTGTTCAAACTTTTTTCCCCTCTAGGAATGTCTGTCTTTGGGATACGCTGGTGCCACAAAGTAATAACTTAGTTCATGGTAAGTTCAAAAGTTTGATGTTTTAATAAAACCTGTTTTCAAAAATTATTTTATAATGCAAGTTTGGTTTCCACTTGTCTTTCTAAAAATTGAATTTAAGATGACAAATCAACATAGATGTAGTTCTCCAATTATCGGTTGGTGAGACCATATGGTCTCATATGCACGTTTATCCAACTTGGCAAGAGAATAGTATAGAATACAGCTCTGAAGTCTACAAAAGTTTTGATGCAGTCTACTCAAAGCACCTATTGCAGGCTGCTAAGGATATAGATTCCAGAATGAAGATTAGAATCAGTTGGTAACTGAGCCATTGCATGGTTTCTTATATTACATAAATACCAGACTACACACAAAATAAGTCAATTGGAAGTCCCTGTGTTTTAATATAAGAATTTGCATTCCAGCTTTCATATGCCATGACAGCGGAGCCACAGTGCTGGTGTATGCACCAAAGCATCAATTTTTGCTATCTGGAGGAAGAAAAGGTTTGATTTGTATATTTGATCTACGTCAGCGACAGTTCTGTCAGACCTTACATGCCCACGAATCGCCTGTCAAAGCAATTGCTGTGGATCCAACAGAGGAATATTTCATTACTGGGTCTTCTGAGGGTGACATGAAGGTATGAAAATTGAAAAGCATATTTACAGATTTCACAGAAACTGAATATCTTGAGTGAATATGCATAGCTATACAAAAACAGAAGTTGCTGGGAACATAGCTATACATATTGTTTTTCCTTAAGTATTGCAAAAGATTTGGTCTGCATAATTTTGTTTAACTTTTGAAATATCTATTAGAAATAACAAAAATATAACCCCATCTGAAATAACTTTAACCTAAATTTTATGCGCGTAACCTTTTAGCAGAAAGGTGCTAGCTTCCCATACCTTTTGATTTTCTTTTCATATATTTGTCAAAAGTGTCCTGCATATGTTGGAGTCCTTTAATGTTAGGGCATTCGCCTCGCTAACGAGAGAATCTGGGTTCGATTCCCAGGCAAGGCGAAACGTTAAGCAAGTTTCCTTACTCCACATGCCTCTGTTTACCTAGCAGTAAATAGGAACCCAGTTGTTAGTCAATTGTTCGATCGCTTTTCCGGGGGTAATTTTTCCTTTTTAAAAAAAATTAATTAAAAAATAATAATAATTTGATCACTCAATCCACAACTGTTTTTGGGACTCTGCTGTGTACAACTGGCTGTCATGTTTCACCAACAAAATATACAGTCCATTCACTTTACAGTATCTTCTGTGAAGAGCTTTGAGATGTTTCAAAGATGTGATGAGGTGCTAAATCAAATGCAAGAATTATTATATGTCCTCCATATAAGATATGTGCTACATTATACTTGTGCCGGATCCTGGCACAGACACAACGGGCTGAACTGCCTTCTTCTGTGCCATACATTTCTAGGATTCTATGGTTCTATATGTCCTGCATGTGCAGGCCCTTCCAGCTCTGAATGAGCTTCAGGGCATCCTCCTGATATAATAATAATCCTTGAATTTGATTTAGCGCTTTTCACGTCTTCTAGATGTCTCAAAGCGCTTCACAGAATATACTGTAAAGTGAATTGACTGCATTTTTGTGGGTGAAACGCGGCAGCCAATTGCGCAAAATAGTGTCCCACAAGCAGTCGTGGATTGAAGTGACCAATTTATTATTTTTTTCTTGAGGGATTATTATCAGGCATATGGAGTAAGGAAACTTGCCCAAGGTTTTGCCCTGAAAGACATGAAAGGCACTATATAAATGTATATTGTGTTGTACATTTACCCATTAAGCTTCTACCATGCTAGTCATCTGTCATTTATTCATCAATTTTTATTTTGGTTCCCCAAACTGCAAGCCCCTCATCTACCTTATTCCTTTTGAAACCATAAGAGTGCTTCACAGGTAATTAAGTCAAGTGCAGCAAATTGAACTCACAGACAGCTGTAATGACCAATTGCTAGTCAGAACACCCAGAGAAACACTTTTTTTGAATAGTGTCATAGAATTTTTGCCAGCCACGACTACACAAGTAGTTGGGACCTCAAGTTAAATGTCTCATCCGGTAGCTTGAACCCACAACCTTAGCACCCAGAGGCAAGAGAGTGATTTAATCTATATTTTTGCATTCCAGCATTCAGCTGAGCTACAAATTCAGCCAAGCTTTTACACCTTTATAAGCTTTCACTGAGTTAATAACAAAAAGTTTTTATATTGGCTTCATCATTTATGTGAACATTGTCCAATTCTGGGCTCTGCACGATACAGGTAAATAATGCTATATATACACACCAGCGAAAAAAAACCTAACCTATCCAGTCTATCCTGAGAACACAAATGAATTTTGGAACATTTACTAATTTTACTTCATCACATTTTCATTGTTTGCAAATCTGAGTACAAAGATTTACAAAGAATGTACAGCACAGAATCAGGCCACGTGGATCAACTAGGCTGTGCTGGTGTTTAATTTTCACAAGAGTCTTCACAATTCCTTCACTCCCTTCCATACTCCCTTCTTTTGATCTCGCCCTCATGTGAAGGTCCAGCTTTCTCTTGAATGTATCTACAATATCTGATTCAACCACCACTTCAGGGAGCAATATCCCAAATCTCACAATCCTCTGTGTGAAGTAATTCCTGCTAAATTCTCTTTTAGATCCCCCGATGACTATCTTATAGTTGTGTCCATCGTTTACAGACTCCCCAACTAGTGCAAACAGCCAATTTATGTTAACCTTCTCAAACCCGATTATAATTTTTAATATTTCTATTAGGTTCCCCTTTAAACATTTTCTCTCCAGCGAAAAAAGACCTAACCTATCCAGTCTATCCTGATAACAGTAACCTGCCAGCCCTGGTATCATCCTAGTAAACATATGCTGTACCCTTTCTATACTCTTTCTGTTGCTATTATATTATTTTTATCGTGCGGAGCCCAGAATTGGACAAAACTACAAATGTGGTTTAACCAAGGTTTTATATAAATTTACCTCACTTTTATATTCTATCCCTCTGGATATAACGCTCAAGACTCGTGTGTGTGTGTGTGTGTGTGTGTATATGTGTGTATATATATATATATAGCATTATTTACCTGTATAGCTGCTTTTAGAGATTTGTGGATCTGAATCCCCAGGTTGTTTTACTCCCCTACTCCTCTTAATTCTCTACTATCTTGACCAATGGTGCCTGACCTTCATGGTCAGGCAATAAAAGACATTCTCTTGATTGAATATTTATTGATTTATGCCATGAATTATGTTTACCATGCCGCTGCGCCCACCCCCAGTTTGGTTTTCTCACACATTGTTTTGCCCAATGGAAGTACTTATAAACGTTTGTTATCAGAGAAAATCTAAAATGTTTTTTTGTTCATGAAAAACTTCATGGAATAGTGGAATATGAAATGGTGCTCACAGACCCCATGTCAACCACTGAAGTATTACTGTGGAGTAGTGCTGTGCATAGGCCAGGCACTTTCCAACAGAAACATGGATGACTTGGAACAAGCCTCACTTCTGCACCTTCTTGTAAACTGAGACCAGTACTATCAGACAGAGGCAACTTGGCCCCATTTCGGAGACTGAAGGATACTGGTATTATTGGATCAATAACCCAAACTTTAAAAGCTCAAATCCCGCTAAGGCATTTCTGTAATTTAAGTTAAATTTGAGATTGAAAAGCTGCCCAATTCTTGTAAAAACTAATGTCCTACCCCACGCTGGCCTACACGTGACTCCATCCAATATACATGGTTGACTCTTAATGGCCCCTGAAGTGGCTTAGCAAACCATTCAGTTGTAAGGATTAAAGCAGTTTAAAAAGACAGCCCACCACTACCTTCTCAAGGCAATTGGGGATGGGCAAAAAATCCCATGATGAGTAGAGATCACATCCTATGATGAATACAAAAAAAGGTTGATTTATGGAACGAGATAAGAGGAAGAAAAATATTTAGAAAGTGGAGAAAGGAGCTATAATCTAATTTTTAAAATGAATATTTGTTGTATACCTTTGCTGCTTATTAGTTTATGCTGACTTGATGATATTACTTTTAGGTCTGGCATTTTTCCACTCAAAAAGTGCTTCACACATTTGCAAGCGAGCACTCTCGCCAGTCAATCTTCAGAAACATAGGAACAGGAGTCATGCAAATCGAGATTGGACCAAGCAATCATATGTTCTCTTGTGGAGCTGATGGGACAATGAAGATGAGAATCCTGCCAGATCGCTTCAGCACAGGGAGTGGAAAACTAGATATCTGGCAAAATGATGTTAAATTTATACTATGATATTGACATTATCAGCACAGTCCCTTATAGTTTATATTCAGTGGTATACCTGTATAAAATATTTTGTGTAACACATTGGTGTGTATCGAGCACTGGTGCCACATAAAGAGGATCCCTTTTGAGCTGAAGTGTTTTTTTTTCTTTATATTTTAATTCTTAATGCACTGATGCCTTAAGAAGATTGTCAGCTTATGAATTTTCAAGAATAATTAGAGCTAAGAAATGTTGAATCTAAATAAGTGTCAAAATATATGAAGTAATTTTATTGTACAAAGAAGGTAAAACATGTTGCTGCTAAAAGGCTTTTCTTTCTTGAGACAGGCTGATGGTATTTTTGAAGTGTCAAAATATGTACAGTGCTTTAAGAAGAAGAATCAAAAGGTATAAAATACAATTATCTTTTTTACGCTCGTCTTAGAGTTTGTATGATATTTGAAACTGTGACCGTTCCTTGTTGATTTGCCGTAGATAACCCCTGAAATACAAGCTATAAATATTTAGGTTCTGCTTCTATTTTTAACATGTGAGCTAGTGTTCTAAGAGTTTGGGCAGCAAGTCAGAATATTACAAATCTTGCACAGCATTTTACTATAAAGTTGAAGGTAAAAAATATACAAATTTGTTCTGCCATGAACCAGAGCTGTAATTCAGATTTAACCATTTTAAATCCACTAAAATTAAGAATGAACAATTCTTCCAACAAGTCTTTAACATTAAAATGATTAAAATCATGTTTTCGGTTTGTGCACCCAATAGTACAAGCAGGCAGTGCTGTAACTACAGTTAAGCAGAAAAGCAAGCACTTGTTTCCATACCTCAACCATCGGTGCTCTGAGTTGACTACTGGCTGCTACATCTCTCTGGTTTTCTCTCTCCCAGAGGGAAGTGCCTGGCTCCCTACTTCACATCTGAGGTTGGGAAACCAGTATTGTTGGAAACTGTGGGCACTACTCATGCACCTCCAATTTTATTTTCTCTCCTACATCATCAGAGTATTTCCCAACCAGAAAGACAGCAGTTAACTTGCACACAAGCTTCTACCAGTGCCACTCTAACAGTTCATTAATTAGTGTTCTCAAACTAGGATTAGAGTTATTAGCCATCTTTTTAAAAAAGAATAGTGTCCTTATTTTTCTATTTTTCTCCCCATTGATATATCTCTGCTCCTGTTTCCATCTTCATACTGAGTGCATATCCATGGGCACTTCCTGACACCCAGCCCAAAAGGCAATTACTGGCAGTGAGTGTTGGCAGTGAATGTTGGAAGTGGCACAGTGAAGCCTGACCTCTGCTCCTCAGCTGTCACATTTATGTACACTACCAGTAAATGATGCTGTAGATGGACCAGGAGCAGAAACCCTAGAAGATTTCCCTCTCCCTATCCCTGGCTGAGACAGCAAACTAAGCACAGAACGGGATTTTAGCTGTAGCTCTAACCATCACACCATCCCATCAGGGCTGTTCCTCACTGTCTGAATTTACTTTTCACCTTGCATTGAAGCATCTAGCCCATAATCAGCACCTTGATATTATATATTAGCCAAGATTGATAAGTTTCCATGGAAGGAATTACAAGCACAAAACTACATCCTTGCCATTCCAATGCATTTGGCAGTTCAACCACAAATTGGGGAAAACGTCTACTAAATTATGTATGTAAAATTCTTAAAAGAATGTGAATGTATTATTCATGAGACTTGGAAAACCTTTTGATCTATTCTATTTTGAATAATAGACCAGACAAATAAAAATGAAATTGAAGATTAATTCTGCATTGAAGAATGATCTTGGCACCCCTTGGATGGAAAGGGTTAAAGAAATTCAGAGTTGCTCACTGTAAATATTCAGAATTATACCAGTTTTCTGATTTTTTTTAAATGCAGTGCTTGATGGAAAATAAGCCACACTGGATTTAAAATTGTTGCTTGGCATTCTGAATGCTAAACAGTTCAAATAAAACCTTGTAATCTATACAACTGATATAATATAGTCATCGCCCCACAGGCAGATAGCATAAGTAAGTTATCACTTTTTTTTTGGTAAACGCTGAACCAAAATCCTCAACCTGAGCTTTACCTGTAGCTCATATGACATGTACAAGATAGTAAACTGCTTTTTTGGCTGTCTTGACCAGACAGTTGGACTGGTTGAACACTGATCTTGGGGACCATAAGTCTGTGGATGTGAACCTAGGTGGATCCATTCAGCCTTAATTTTCTCAAGCTCAATCAAATAAATACCATGTCTAAATTGGGGAGGGGGCAGAAGGAAAATGTGGTCTCTCTGGAGTTGACTAGTATCAGAGGGACACATCTAACTCAATCCTGGTAGGTCCACCTACCAGACATTGTCGATAGTTGGAGACAATGGAATGTAGAAATGTCCTCAGCCCTATGAGGTACAAAGGCAGGGTCCCAGCTGGACATGTTTGATCATAGTTGCCTGGCTTCACACTGGTGAACTGCATACTTACCAACCAAATATTCTTTTTGCTTTGCTCCACACCAGGACCAACAAGTCTGAAACCTGATCCCTTTCTGATATTTGTTAATTTGTCTGGAACATGCAGAAACCCATTACCTTGCTTAAAAGTATCCAAACCTGACTGAGAGCCATGTACATATTGCATCTTCACATAGGAATTTCCCTGTGTCTGTAATGAACCCTCTTCCTGAGAGACACATCCTGCTTACTTCATTCCATTAGGTGCAGGCTGGTGAGAGCCAAGGCTTGGGGACCCCCAATTGTGTGTTGGGGTACTGTTGGAGTTGAATCAACTAAAACCCAATAGTTTGGCCTGCTACTGTCCAGCTAGGACCACCCTATCCATTAGGGCTTTGCCTTGGAAGTTAACAGGAGCCATGTGGGAAGGATCCCTATTCCCAAGTTCTGCTGGTGAGGCTGGCTGGCTGGACTGCCATCAGCAGTGCTCGGAGGTCCTGCAGACCTGCAGGGCTGAGGAACTTTGACTTGATTCCAACATTCCATTACCAAGCATGTCACCTTGGAGCCCACTCAACTCCAAGGAGACCCCACTTACCTCACCCTACAAGAAACGTGGCTCAGATCAGGCAATGGGCATATCTTCGAAACATAGATGTAAACTTGTACAGTCTGTTGTGTGGAGCATTCATACATTTTGCCACTCTTTCATTGTGACAATTTTTGTGTTAGGTCCAGAAATATCACAACTCATGTTTTATCCCAACTGTCTTGTTCCTTGTTAAATTGAATATTATATCAGATAATTATTTGTTAAAAATCAAAAATAAATTTGGCTAATCAAAGGTATTTAGAAGGATATTGTGAAATCGTTGATAATTTTACCTTTTGCTGGTTAAACAGCAGCTATTTCCTCATCAAATTACAAATCCTGATTGAAGGTATACAGAAATACAAGTTGAATCTTGTATAGTACAGCCCAAAATACAGAAATAATTTTAAAAATACTTTAGAACAAAGCTTTGTAGATCCACTAAATTGATTGGTTTTGTCACGTACATGCAGAACTGAGAATGATTTAATGTAAAGAAGAAAATGTGCAAACATTTCCTATTTGTAATAAGTTCACTTATTGTGAATAGCAGCACATTGTTTTATGGGAGATAACCTGGGTATAGAAACAATAAAACATTTTATGTATTGCTAAACAAAGAGGACTGAAATTCGATGTTAGGTTTTGTAATGGATTCACTTTGTATGGATTAGTAGGACTAAGCATGAAGTCAGTGTAATTGTAACTTTAGTAATCATCATAATTTCATGTTGCATTATAAATTTTAATGACTATGCATAGCTATTTCTTGCTTTGCAGATACTTTTGTAAATGGTCATTACATGCAAGCATTAATAGTATTTTTAGTCTGCACATGAAGAAGGACTTATTGGTTTGTATTAGTTAATTTTTTTGTTTATATGCTCAGGATATTTTCCTTGATCTTTATGTCGCTAAAGATGTTTGCGTACAAACATTTATCGCTGAAAATTTAATTTTATCCTTCAGATAACCAAGAGTTTGTGTGTATTTAATAGTAGTGGGTTACCAGTGTAAGTGCTAACAATTGAAGAGTACTGAAGAAATAAATCTCGATCATTTTAATTGTGCAATAAAATATGCTAATATTTTATTATAGAAGAAAATAGATGAAACTTCACAAGAAACCTATTTTGTCCATTTTCCTACTTGCCTATATTATACTGTATACCATAGTAACCAACTACAAAGAAAATACTGCACAAACTGGTAATTAAGACTCCCACATGCTAGGAGTATTTGGACTTAACATCTTCGGCAAGTAAAATAACTTTTTTTTACTTGAAATAATAGAAGAGCCCGTGTATAATCCAAGTAACAAATTACTTGTGCTCATTTTGTGCTTATGTTGTGGTATTTTTCGGCTTCATTCACCAAGCGGATCTTTCAATCTGTAGAATTGGACTTCCCATTACATTGCACTTTGAAAGAACACTGCACTTAAGTGAGCAGATCCTCAGTAGCTGGCCTTTGTGAATTTTTTTTTAAATCATGTTAATCATGTTGTATTTAACGTGTATAATTGTTACAATAAAATGTCTATAGTAGAAAAGCAAAGTGTTTGGTACAATCTTTCTAATCGGGATATTATCTGAACATTCAATGTAAGACTTATATCTTTTGTAACTTGACATTAAAGAGCAGGAAACAAGATGGACTGAAACTGATGATCTTAGAAAAGGTCAAATCATTCATTATAACATCCTAACTGAATGACTACCAGTTATTTCTTCCATGATATCAAAAGAAAAAGTTGACTTGGATTTACCTTTCAGGACAAAACCTGAATTATGCCGTATTGTTACATGAATTATAAAATTCCAAATTCCAATCATGATCAGATAAAACAAAAATCTGTTGATGAATACCATAAATTTTGATGTCTTTGGTTTGTCCCTTTCTTCCCCATCCCATTACAAATATCACAGTATTTTTAATTACTTTGCACTTGTGATTTTAATGTATAAAGATTTAAACCTACAAATTCAATTAGCTGTCTCGACACCATAGATGAGCTGTATTGCCTCTCAAGCATACTCTACAAATCTGTTAGGACAAATCTGAAAGGTAGGACCTGAACCAGTCAAAGACAAAACCTTGAAGGTTGAGGTGGGAAGAGAGGCGGTGGAGAAGGATTGAGTGGTCCACAGTATCAAAGGCAGCGGAGCGGTTGAGGAGGGAGAAGGAGCCCTGGTCAGGATGTCACTTGTGACCTTGACCAGAGAAGTTTCACCAGCACGGAAACTCGATTGGAGGGGTTCATGGAGGGAGAGGGAGGAGAGGAAAGAGCAAAGCTGGGAGGCGACAGCTCTCTCAAGTACCTTAGAAAAGGGAGGTGGCAGATGGACCGTTAGCTGGATAGCTGTGATGGGTCAAGCGAAGGTTTCTTCAAAGTAGTGGCTGTTTTGAGGGGGGTAGGAAACAGTGCCAGATGACAGGGAGAAGTTGATGATGTCGGCGAGAAGTGGGGGAAGGAGGTGGAGCTGGGATTTAAGGAGAGGAGTGGGGATGGGTTCCAGGGAGCAGGTGGTGAGCTTCATGGAGGATATGGTGGTGATGACAGAGGAGGGGGTGACAGGTTCAAAGCAGTGGAAAGAGGGATGTGTAGTGCTTGGAGTGTGGGGGAGTGATAGGGAGGGGGTGGAAGTTGGGGGGGCGCAGTGGCAGCTGAGCGGATTTCCTCGATTTTGGAGTCGAAGTCCAGCACTTCCTCGCAGTGAGAGAGGAGGAAAGAATCTGCGAGGTGTGGCAGGGAGGGCGGAAGAGCTGGTTGGTGGTGGAGAACAGGAGCCTGCGGTTACCCTTCGCCTCCAGGATTAACCTGGGATAGAAGGACGATTTGGCCGAGGCAAGAGCGGAGCGGTAGGTTTTGATGAGGTCCAGCCAGATGTACTGGTGGACCGTTAGGCCAGATTTGAGCCAAGTGTGTTCAGCAGCCCACACCTGGCCCTTGAGCGAGCAGAGGTGACTGGTGAACCAGGGTGAGGATCGGGAATAGGAGGCAGTTCGGGAGGTGAGGGGGACAAGGGCATCGAGTATGGTGGAAAGGGTGCTGTGGAGGAGAGTAAACACAGAGGATGGGTTGGTGCGGGAGGTGGGCCAGAGGGGGAGGAGTTCAGAGGACTCCAGGCAGCGGAGAGGGATTGCGGGAGATCTTCCTTGAGCGGTAGAAGATGGTGGTAGGTTTGGAGGCAGTGGAGAGACAGATATGGGAGTTGAGGGAAATGAAATGGTGATCAGAAATGGTCTTGTCAGTGATGGTGACATCCGAAACGCTTAGGCTCTGGGTGATCACCAGGTCGAGCGGGTGGCCATGTATGTGGGTAGCAGAGTGGATGTGGAGGGAGAGGCTGGAAGAGGAGAGGAGAGAGGAGAAGTCTGAGGAGGTGGAGCAAAGGGGGATGAAGTGGAGGTTGATGTCGCCTAGGATGATGAGGCGGTTAGAGCAGAGGCACAGGGAAGCTAGAAGGGTGGAAATGTCAGAGATGAAGGTGGGGGAGGATTTTGGGGGTGGTAAATTAGAAGAATGCCAAAGAAACCAGAAACTAGTGTCTCCTTTATGCACACTGCTCCACCTCACGTCTCCTTGATATTACGATGTGGACATTCTAATTCTTTTGTTATGTATGTTGATAATTTCATTTGAGAAGATGTCTTGATATGTCAGGGCATTGTAAGTTGTTGTGCATGCACATTTCTAAACTTGTTCGCAATCTTGCATTTTCTGTTTGCGAGTTGGTTTTCTGATGATTAGGGAAGCTTTTTGGAGGCCAGCAATGTGAAAATTGCATTTGATTGCCTGTAGAACAGGCTAACCATTGAGTCTACCTGCAGGCAGGAAATGTGGCTGTGGACACGAGTAGGAGGTAGACTATACCCTTTATCGCCTCAAAAACTTTTGAAATGTTAAGCTGCTGCATTGCAAAAGCAACACTACTTCTTTTTTCTTGCTCGTCCCTCGCACCCTCCGCCCCACCATCGGAGATCGTGCTTTCAGCCGCTACACCCCCAAACTCTGGAACACTCTCCCTCAATCCCTCCGCCTTATGACCTCTCTCTCCTCATTCAAGTCCCACCTGAAAACTTTCCTGTTCGACCGTGCTTAGGGCCCCCTCACCCCCACTCGGAGTCAGGCTCCGCCGTGTTAAGCACAATGAGATGCTATCCTGTGTGGGGGAGGGTGCTATAGGAGTGCAAGTTGTTATTATTTTTATCAATGAGTGGGTCAATTTAGGCCAGTAGTATCAAGACTACTTCATCACCGTGTACAGAAGCAGGTGAGAACCCTTGAGTCACTCAGCTCATTGGTGACCATGTTTTTGCTACTTCTCTGCCTTCAACAGCAAAGTGACATTTATAAAGGAGGCTGAACCACCACCACCTCCAGACTTGGGAGTGAAAGATCCCTTCAAATCCCCTCCCCACTCAACACTCCCTGTCAAGGAAGTCAATATACCATGTGTTGACATGGACAATTACTGTTGACTTCAGGTGTACTATATGTGTCAAATGCGCAGTTTAATTATTCCAGCAGGGGGCTATGCTGTGAAAACTTTTTAACAGATATATGTGGATTCCTGTGAGGATGAGTTAAAATAATAACTCAATGACGAGACTGACACCCAGGGTAAAGAAGTTGAGGTAAGTGGAGCAAATCAATGATGAACTTATGATGGGTGAAACAATCGAAATAGAGAAAATGTATTTTATTGCACCTTATCCAGAATTTTTTTTACAGTAATTATGTGTAGTGAATTTTACAGGTAAACACAGCGAATTTGTACATAGCCACGAGGTAAATAAGCCACGAGGTAAATGATCAATTTATCTGGAGAATTGGTACCAGGACACCCAGAGAAATTCACTTCTCTTTTCTAGTAGTGGGGAAAAAATAAATTCTCTTACTTCTGCTCTTTTTGGCTTCTGGAATGCTTTCCGTAACACAATGTCCAGCCGATTGACACAACCTCCTCACAGCCAGAGCAGCGCTGTATGTCCATAATGTCTTTCAGAATGTGTTCTTGGTTCCCACGTAAGTTACCTGGCAGCAGGATCGCTTGCATTTGTTGCTGGCAATCAGGTGTGAAGGAAATGTTTGGAGTTGTGCTGTGATCCCAACTGTTCTCTGTGTCTACGGTCACCTCCTATTTCTTCCCATCTTGGTGTTAAACTACACCATTGTCAAGTGTTCTGAGATGCCACCCAGCAAGAAGGGCGTTATATAAATGCAAGTTGTTTCTGGAAGATGTTGTGGTCTCCTCTGATTGTCTTAAGATTTTTTTTACAGATTTTTATTGCCTTTATTTGCATTTTTGGATTAAAACTTGTTTTAGGAGTAAACAAAGGGTTCATACTCAGGGCAGATTAGCAAGTGGAATATATTATTTTCCGCTGGTGCTTCAAATGATACTGTTGTTTGACAGGTGTGATTAGGGTGTAACGTATTACCAGCCGCCTTTCTGAGTTCAGATGACTTGTTGCTGTGTTGATGAGGTTTAGCAGCAGTTTGAGTTGCTGGAAGAGTCAACTCGAAAATTAGCTGTAAGTAAATTCTGCCAATGGAGTTTTGAAATCTTTAAATTAAGATTTAAAAAAAAACGTCTGTAGTGCTAGATGCTTTATAGCACTCGTTTTTGCTACTGAATCGCCTACTGATTTCAACACCCTCTATATATTTATAAACATCTTTAGGGTATTGCCTTCTTTCGGTTGTTAGCACTCTCGCCTTAGAGTCAAAAGGTTGTGGGTTCAAGATTGTCTCTATATGTTTGTATGTATGTCTCTCTCTCTGTCTGTCTTCGTCTCTCCTGTTACTGGTTTGAAACATTGAATTCATGGTCTCGGTCAGGGTGGTCCAACCTTTTGGTTGCTGAAGGCTGGATGCCAGATTTGAGAAACGTTCCCGGGCCACATAAGTAACATTTTTGTGTTTCCTATCCAGAAACAACCCGTAAGACTCACATAGACATCCTGTTTTAAATTGTGTAACTGTATGAAATCCCTGTCTCTGTGTGAATATTTTCTCTCACTCTCTGTGTCAATGTATAGTTCTCTCTCTGTCTGCGCGTACGTCTCTCTCTCTCTGTCTGTCTACGTCTCTTCTGTCACTGGTTTGAAAACAATTGACAGGTTCTAGTGCCTCTCGGTGATCTCCCCAGCACCACCATTCATAAAATACAATTAATTAAAAACTCCACCGCCTATATACTCACCTGTACTAAACTCTGCACCCCCATTACCCCAGTCCTTGCCAGGCCCCACTGGCTCTCTATTGGAAAATGGATTTCAAGATCATCACACTCAAGTACAAATCACTTTATGCCCTGGCACCTCCCTACTCTCTGACCTGCTCACACCTCCGCTCCTCTATTTGCACCCTTCACTCAACTGGCTCCGGCCTCCTGTGTATCCCTCATACTCTCTGCTCCACCATCAGCGGCCGTGCTTTCAGCCACTGCGCCCTTAGATTTGGTAACTCTGGAGTCCTGTAGCTCAGTGGATAGAGGACTCACTTTGGAAGCGAGAGACCTGAGTTCAATTCCAGGCAGGGCGAAACCTTGGGCAAGTTTCCTTACTCCACACAGAGCCTAATAATAATCCCTCCAAAACAAAGCAATAATAAATTGGTCATTTTCAATCTACG